ATTATTTTATCATTAAAGTCCATGTAGTTTCATCAATTTGATCAATTTTCTTCTTGTAGTTTGAATTCCAAGCAATCTAAATATAATTAATCCCTAATTTATATCAAATTACTCTAATTTCTTTTCACATATAGGGGCATTTTGGTCCAATCTTGCAGCCCCTCCCCAACCTCTCCCACATCCACCCCAGCAGCCTCTCCTGTAGGTTTCTTCAACTCTCAAGTCTCAAAGTCCCTTATGTCCAATCTTGTGACTTTTTTTAGTCTTAATCTCGAGATTTTGTTTTTGGGAATTTGGGTTCATGAGAAGAGGTTTTGGGCAATGCATGGAATTAGGGTTGGAGTTTGATGAGAGAGGGGGGATTGCCCCTCAATGTGAATAGAAATTAGAATAATTTAATAGAAATTGGGGATTGTCCTTGAATTGCTTAAAATTCAAACTACAAGGACAAAATTGATCAAATTAAAACCATTAGGGACTTTAGTGGTGAGAATGGTAAATTATAGGGACCAAAAGTGATTTTTTTCCCTTTTAAAAGTCATCATTTTAGTTTTCAAACTCTCAAATCAATAAATGGTCCTTCATTTTTTGGTCTACACATCTATCTGGTCCCAACTGTCACATTTTCGACAAAATTTTGAATAAAAATGGCCACATGTCATGGTGTGACCAACTTTAAAGGAATATTGTCATCTAAATATAGCTCATTTTAGTCCTAAATCTGATATTTTTTGTGTAACAACCCGGTCCTTAATTAATATTTAATTATTAATTTATTCCAGCAAAAGACCATTATACCCTATAATATTTTAGTGGTTTAAAAGTTGACGTTTTGACCGGGAAAGAATTTGGAGATTTCAGTTATACCGTTGCGTAGAGCGCAGCAAGATGAGTCCGTAGACATGTAGTGGACTCAAATCGGAGTTGTAACGAAGGAGTTACGAGCAAAAGAACTTCAGTGGCATAACCGTAAATATCTCGAACTTCAGTTTTTATAAACCCAGAATCTTCTGGATTCGGGAGGGAAACGAGCCGACTTTCTGAGCTGATTCCTCTCAGCTCCGACCCCCGATTCAGGCAATATCAGTGCCAAATGAACCACGAAACTTCCCTCTTCCAACCCTAGCCCTTCACCGCCACGATCCGTCGCCATAGTCGCCGGAAACAGCCACGAAACAGGCGGCGCTGGACAGTTTTTGACAGAACTTCCAAGCTTTCTTTCTCCGTCGTCCGGCCACCAAATCGGACGAGTGAGGTATGGTTTTCTAGCTATTTTTCATGCTCTAGCTGCTAGTTTGGTAGGATTTCAGAAATTTCTAGCGTAAATAGCTCGATTTACGTGTTAGGTTTCAGCCGGTTTTCGGGTCACTGTTGCGGCCACTTCCGGCCAATTTTTGGGGTAGGTCCAAGAACAAAAGTGGTTCCAAATAGGGTGTTTTAACTAGGATAGGAGTCTTGAGCTGAGATGTTGAGATTTTCCAGCGAAGCGTTATAGCTTCGAGCAACCAGCGCTGCCAGCGCGTGAGCATCAGGGTAGGGACCACAGTCAGTCCTAGAATAATCTCCTAGTCCTCACGAGCGCGTAGGATTTCGCGGATCTTAATTCGGATAACATTTGAACCCCGAACAGATCTCGCCTAGTATGCGATTTCCGGGTTCTATACGTTTGAACCGTTGGATCGTAGTCATTTTCAAGTATGTTGATCTAGGTATTTCCAGGATCGTATGGTAATTGACGGATCGTAAAACGGAGTCCCGGATACTCCAGAAATGTCAGCCCTAGAGTATGTTTTACGGATAATTAAACCAGTTACAAAATAACGAACCAGTTGCAGGTCAATAACAGAGGAAAGAACTACGTGTGGCTTGATCCCTCAGTAAGGGTACGTAGGCAGCCTACAGTTGTCAGGTGCAGCCACGAGTTAGGCCCCCAGAGTTTGTGTTATCGTTTTCAAGGCATTTTGATCATTTACGACCCACAGATACCAGGTGTCAGTTTTAAATAGGTTTCGACCTGGATTCCAATGTGGAAATTGGGTCAGGTCATTTCATTTTGCTCCACAAGTTATATTCTCTCCAATTAGGATTTCACATTAGGGTCCACATGAAGCGGAGCATATTGCTTTGTTGAGCAAAATACGTGATATTTACTTTGTTTCATGGGTGGATAGGTTGTATTTTGACTAAAAAGAAAAACCCCTTCAAAGAGTCAAATAATATGGGTAGAATATTTTTGAAGTTGTATTTCATTCTCCAAAAGAAGTTGTTTATAGTTCAAGGATGTAATCCTAGTAGGGTCAAATTAGGAAACAAGATAAAATCGTAAGTACACAATATCTGTACCAAAGGAAAGAAATATAATCCTAATAAATTAGGAAATAAATTTCCTAATTAAGCTAGGATCTCGCTGACAGAAAATTGGTTAAGTGGCCAATTTTAACGAAAATTTTGATGGAATGCAATAAGAGGGACTAAACTGATGTGTGGACCAGAAAATTAAGGACCGCATTATTAATTTGAAAGTTTGATGACTCAAATGAAGACTTGTGAAAAGTTCATCGACTTTTAGTTGGTGATAAAAACCATTAAAAAAATCATCTTATATGAGGGTGACAATCTAATTTTCTAACATAATTACCTGGACCATTTAGAAAGAAAAATTATTGGTGAATTATCTTGGGACTACTGCTAGGGTCAAGGTCACCACGAATTCATTCTTCATACCAAATAATATAGATGTGTTTATTGATTCAAATCTCGGGTACTATTCTTCGGCTCATGTATTTCTAACAATAAATAAAATACTGATACATCATTTGGTGAATAAGTTTAAAGAATAAATTTGGTGAGTTTAGCGTTATTGATTATATTGATTATAAATAAAATACTAACACAATCTAGAGATTCTACATAAAAAAGACCATGGGATGACTCCCCCCAGAAAGAAAATTGATATAATCATTAGAAACTCTAATATATTTCAAGCTCCTTCATATAATTAATGCCTAATTATATCCTTTAAAAGATTGTTGTATCAGAATGATCGGGTATATAGCTTCCGTTTGAAGTCTAATTATGGAATGGGTGTATGGTTGTTGTTGGACCAAATCAAAGAGAGCCTAAAACACTTTACTACATTGCATATGACGCATGTGGTCTCATATATCCTGGAGGAAAGCAAGGAGGGCCATGTCCCCGAAGATTTTAAAAATATTTAAAATCCCTATAATATTATATTGTTAAAAAGTAAATTTAAAAATGTTGTCCACCATAACAATATATGCACTTGGATCTCCCAAATAAAATATCTGATTTCCGCGTTAAATATATAGCTTCCATCGAATAAAATAGTTTGTACCAAGTAGCTCTCGAATCATTATTAATATTTCTCTTAGAAGAACAGTCGAAATTTGTTTTTCTCTTGCAAATTGAGTGATGAGTATTCATGGTTTTAACGTTCATGCATTGTGTTAAATTTCTATTTTTTGGATAGTGTTCATTGAATTTGTGAAATTTATTTCGGTTTATCCTTCTTTTGCATGCTGTCTAACAACGGGCAATTTACCTTATTCATTTTTCATGCTGAAATTCTACTTTGATTTTTGATTTTTATTTTTTAATGGGACTGATAAGAGCCCCCCTCTATAATTTTTTTCCTTCATTCAAAAAAGTCATTAGCCAAGAAAGCCCAAGTCAGTCTGTCCCTCAACCGATGTCAGATCTTCTCTCTCAATCGAGGGAAAATCCAAACTGATTGACCCTCTATCCCTCCGCTCATGCCCACCGCTCAGGCCCATTCACTTGGGACCCCTACAATAAAAGGAAAAATGATCCTTCTCTCAATTGCCCGTGCCTGTAACTTTGCAATAAATTCTATATACTAAAGCTAATGGCTGTGTTCCGGGCAGGACCTGATAACCATCAGTTTCACTTGGGACTTACTGTTTGGAAAAAGGACTCACTGTTTGGACACCAAGAGAGAAAACCAACAAGCAACTTGGAGAATAAAAAGAAAGGAAAAGAAGGAACTGAAAACTTCTACTCAGAAGCTTAAACCAGCCACTTGGGCGGGGATGAGTAGCAGACTAGATGAGGCTGCAAAAGAAGGTCTTGCAGGAATATGTCTCTGGGATTGACCAGGGGTTGGCAACTGCTGTAATTGGACTGTTGACTTTTGTGGGGGCTGATTCCCAAAGCTTATTTACAAAGTGTGGTCTTTTGGGCTCTTATGGAGGGCTTGAAAATTAGTCTAATAATAGTGAATTATACCCAGAGTTCCCAGTCAATATATTTATAAGAAAAAATGGAGTCTTAAAACTTTTCAGTCGATCGCACATGTTAAAACAATTGAACAAGTATATGCCTTAAGTAAAGAACATGAAACATGTCAGTTGCTTAATCTTGAGTCTATAAGAAAACACAAGTCTGATGGAAACAACTTCCTCCATATTGGCCTAGTACAAGTTGCAGTCAAGCCACTTACCAGATTAGGTTTAAAAACCTCTGTCTGTTTGTGTTTAAGAGATGCCAGATTCACTAACTTCAGTGACAGTACGCTAGAATTAATTGAATCCAGTCTTTGTAATGGTCTTGTCCATTTTGATTGTTACCCAAATTTCACTGTAAGCCTTAGTGATCCCCATGTTTGAGGAACGCGTACATTGGCTTCAGGCTTGCTGCTTTGAATTAACAGAGTGTGGCCTTTTGGGCTCTTATGGAGGGCTTGAAAATTCATATTCGTTCCTGTAAATTTCTTATTGAAACCGATGCCTCTGATATATATATCTTTTGCCCTATAGCTATATGCATTTTGAAATTGGCTTTTGCCCAGTTATGGAAGAAAGCTATCAAGTTTGATGCATTCTGTACAAGCTCTTGGCTTATTTCCAAGCAAAGTATACTCGAAAAACGTAGTACATTTATTAAAAACCAGTTGCACATATCAGGATACAAGCGACTGCGGGTAGCAGTTATTCAATAAAACATAGTACAATTAGAAACTAGTTACATATAATATTAGGGTTACATCCATTTGTTGCTGGAATCTTCAGTGTGCTCAAAAAGCCATCACATCTTGGCCTCCACACGGTCCTTGCCCTGAGAACTTCAGACCCTGTCTCGAGGCGAAGCAAGTGATCAAACTCTACCCCTTGGTTATGAGTGGAGTCACCTGTTCCATCTCTAGCAACTGCAGTCAGAGACTGCACCGCGCTGTCCCTCTGACACTCTCTTCGATACTCCAACCTCAAAGATGAAAGCTCATGAGTCTCCAGCACTGAGAAGGGAATGCTCTGAAACCATGATCATGAATTTCCAATTAGAAGAGAGTATTTTTGAAACATTTAATATATGTATATATATATATATATGAACATGAACTATAAGTTATGAACAAGTAGCCCTGGAAAAGGATTCACCTCGAAAACCCAGTCTATGTATTTTGCATGGCTCACGTGCTGATTGACATCCAAATCACTCCAACCAGGCTTCTGCGATTTTAAGATGATAAGCATGTGTTAGTCAATTGCTTCAAGAACAAAAAACAATGTTTCAATGTCTCCATGTTTTAAGCATAAGATATACTTACTGCTACAGATGTTTGAAAGTAGTTTCTAGCATCAATATCCAATCGTCCTAGTTTAGCATTTTTGATGTCAATGAGAGGATCAGAATCCATGAGAGTAGATCTTAACTCATCTGTGATTTCTGCTGTAACTTTAGAAAATTTCCTTGTCTTCATGTGCATCAGCATGAAAAGACTGCATAGGACCAATATCAAACCACAGCCGAAAAAACAAAAATAAAGAGATATATGCATTTGAGAATCTTAGTTTGGATCCCAACCCCGTTGCTCGAACCAAGATCTCTCCTGTCATGTAATCACGAAAGATCCAATCCCGGAACAGACCATTGTTTCCTGATGCACCAGTCCGGGTGTCTATTTGAATAACTTCAGCCCTTCGAACACAGAACACAACATTATTGTTTGATGAAAATAATTTCCACAAATTAAGTTCCAAATATAGAAGTTAAACTGGCTGTTCATAAGATGTTAAGAGTAGTACTAGTAGAGGAACTTAAAAACAATGAAAGGCTAGCTATATAAACAAATAATATTCCTAGTTTACCAAGAAGGATATTTTTCCACTACAGTCTGCAATTTACACATCACCCATACTAGGCCTCTTTTGGTCATCTCTGCTGTCGAACCCAAACCACCAGCATAGACCCCAAGACTCCTACAATGCTGAACTGAAGTTTCCTATACATACAAAAGCCATGAAGAACTAGTCACATATAAAGCATTAGTTTTAGCACATTACTTATGCTATCTTTTAATACAGATAAAGAAATCCAAAACCTACCTGTAAGCGTTCCATCAAGCACCCTATGGTTGCTTTGCCATCAGGGCCTAAATCATATGATCTAATTGAGAAGTTCTGTTGAAAAACAAGGCCCCCCTGCCCCAATTTTCCACCAAAAGTATCATAAACCCCGTCGAACTTCCTCGATTCCCAGTTCAAATGTTGTGGTATTTTCTTAGCAGCTGCTGCGGGTGTGACAGTTTTATCATCATCTTGTTTGGGGGAAGTGATGACATTTTCTTTGGGAAAGACCTTTGCTTGAAAATTAATAGCAGGTGCAGAATTAGGCTTACTTTGAGTAGAGCCATAATTTGTTCCTCCACAACATGCTATTGATTTATTTTTAGGGATGGTTGATAGCAACCTTGGCATGGGGAGTGTTGGTGGAGCAGATGTAAGCAACATTGTGATATTCAAGCAAATCAGATCAAATTCTAATCTGCCAAAACAAAAAATGTGAAAATATATGATGGGTTATGAGCAAACAAATTACTTATGCACACTCAACCATGAAAGCATTTTCATACCATCAACAAGCTTATATAGAAGTTCATGGGGTGAGTGAGTGAGGTGAGATTACTTATTGTTGGGCGCTTATCATGTAGCCTGCCAAACAACTTATAGCCTTAAGCCCACTTTTTATGAATATGCTACCAAATCACCTCATGGTGCTTACATTCCAAATTTTAATTATAAATACAACTTAAAAGGCGCATTCACTATATTTTTAATATCAAAATGGTCCCTTCTCTAATGTAGGATTAACTACCAATTTTTTAGTCATAATTCTCAACAGTTATTTTGTATATTGATCGTTCTGTGACCTTCCCTAAACACCAAACAACACTCCTCTAGTGGGCTCAATACCCTATAGCTTTTGTTCTTTCTTATGTTCCTTTAGTTCAGCATGGCGACAATGACCCTACTTATTCCTTTTTATCACTCACAACACTTTTAAATACAATTTACCAAATACTTCACTATTTTATTTTATAACTGATTATTCTCATAGTACGACAGAAATAATTTTTATTTATTTATAAACATAGCAATACCAAACGCTTAGAGACATATTTGCATGAGTTGTATAATCTGCCAACCTTCTTGCCGGCACGCTTCGTACGTTTGGCGGCCAAAGACCCAAAACAAGGACATATCTATCAATTAACCTACATTCCCGGGTCTTGCTCCAAGGAGGCCCTCATCTAAGAACTGAATAACTGCAAGGAAGTCCTCAGCTAAACTTATAATCATAATCAAATATAAACAGAGACTTCTTAATATAAAGTTTAAAATAAAAAACTTGGCTTCTTTTAACTTACAACACATGTATTAAAATGAGAATATCCAACTCAAAATCAATTGGTAATGGATGAAGTGGCCCAAAATCTTTTAAAACTATAAAACAAGGCTGATGGGGGATTCACTCTCAACAAATAAGTTCTTGTGTCTAATGTCGGGGGTACCTTGACTCAACTGGTAGAAGACCTTGACTCGGTTGATGCCTATCAAGCCAAGGGAGTCTCATTTGTCATGCTACGTAGCCCCAGAGGTCACCTCATTAGATAACTTATTTTTGTCCCATAAATTAATACCACAAGACTTGTGGGTCTTTTCGTTTTATTCGTTTATTTATTGACGTTATAAATAACAACCTCATTGTCTATCTAGGCCTTTTGGAGTTGGGTTTTCCACCTTGACCTTAGATTAGAGTTGGGTTCCACCTTGACCTTGGAGTGGAGTTGCTTGACCCCGACCTCGGCTTGGATTTTAGACCACACCTAAACAGATTTTTATCAAACATGAGAACAATAGATAGCTATTTACCAATGTGATCTTCATGTTGCAGGAAATCTTTATTCAAGGTTGAGCCAAAGTGATATTCATGTTGGAGACCCACCCCCATATACCTTCTTATTCACGTTGGTGACCCAACCCTATATACCATTTTCTCTTCTTCATCTTGAAGGAATATATACAAGATTACTTTTTATAAAAATAAACACATCACTTTCTTTTTCTTTCTTTTTTTGTCAATAAAGAATTGGAGATTCAAACTTGAGACATCTTTCAACAATAGAAGGAAAAAAGAAGTATTACTAAACAAAAATTATTAGTTGGTCAAATAAATACTTTTTTATATTTTTTTTGTTGTTGAATTTTTAAACTTATTATTTTTTTGTCAACTCATAACATAAATGGTAAAAACAAATATATATATTAACAAGTTGTTATCAAATATTAAAACAACTTTAATAAATAAGAGTAATTATTAAAAAAAAATAATATAAAGGAAAGACATTGAAATCAACTTATTAGAGCATTTCCAGCAATGCAGGCAAAACTTGGGCTGGGGGGTGGACCCAAAATTGCATTTCTAGTAACAAAAATGGCCCGGGCAGATGGTGGGACCCAGAAGACTGGGCTGGCCTGATGGCGAGGCGAGCCCGAGTTTTGGTGTTGACGTCACGACGACGTGCACGCGCCAATGTTAAAAACAAATTTGAATGCGCTGCTACAGTGCCACCAACTGCTCTGCCACATGTCGAACTCTAGACTCTCCGATCATAATTTTTCCTCCAATCCAACGACGGCCAATTTTTGTGAAATAAAAAAATGAAAAAAAATACCAAAAAATTACTGAATTTTTTTTCTATAAATACCAACCAATACTCAATATGAATTTGAAATTTATCTGAAATTCGAAACCGAAAATCTTATTCGATATGAATAGTATTGACACGTAGGAACCTAAAAATCTTATCCGAAAATATTATCCAAATTAATTGTTTAGGTAAAAAAAGTTGTGAAAAAAAAGAAAAAAGAATAGTATTTGTCATGGCAAAGGATAATTGCTGGAAACACACATTGCTTTTTACAATGGCAGCCACTATTCACGTGAATAGTAGCTGCCCTAATCCACACAAATAAAATCTAGTCCATGGCTGCACCTAGGCACCACCCTAGGCTGCCTACGTACCCCTTGAGAGGGATCAAGCCACATGTAGTTCTTTCCCAATATGGTATAACAACCCTTACTTCATCTATCTAATAACCACATAATCTCCCCATACGCCGGAAATTCCAACGCCACGTATGGGGTCTGTCAACACGCCGGATAACCTACGCCACATGCGACCTCAACATAATATCACAATATCTCCCCATACGCCGGTACTACCAACGCCACATATGGGGTCTGTTCGCACGCCAGATAACCTATGACACGTGGGACCTCAACATCATATCACATAATCTCCCCATAGGCCGGAACTACCAACACCACGTATGGGGTCTGTCAACACGCTGGATAACATACGCCACGAGCGACCTCAACATAATATCACAATATCTCCCCATACGCCAGTACTACCAATGACATGTATGGGGTCTGTCTGCACGCCGGATAGCCTACGACATGTGGGACCTCAACATAATATCACATAATCTCCCCATACGCCGGAACTACCAACGCCACGTATGGGGTCTGTCATCACACAGGAAAATCCTACGACACGTGTGACCTCATCATCTCATAGTACAGGATGGTACTTACACCGTGTAATCAAACATCTTTATCGTATAAATATATAATAATTCCTAATAATCCAAAAGCCTCAACCATAACATAGCATCCGATAATTCCCCAATTAAAGACAATAAATTAATATCCTAAATCCACATAATCCACATAACTCCACAACGCTCAAGACCTGTCACTAGGGGCATTATAATCCTCCTAGGAAAGTAAGACTACCTCAGAAGACTCAAGGTTAACCAAGGGTCAAACTACTCAAACTTGGTCAAACGGGCCCATGGGGCCCATGACCTCCAAATTCCGATCCGAAAGTTCCTATAGGTTCTACAAGGCTTAGGACACAAGTCCTGCAAGTTTGGTCCAGATCGGATGGCCGGATCGCTCACGATCGCACGATCGAACGGCTACTATAACCCTAGCCCTAGGGTTGGCATTTTCGGAGTATCCGGGACTCCGTTTTACGATCCGTCGAATCCTACATGATCCTAAGGATGTCCAAATTAACCTATAATAAACTCAAGACCATCAAACGGTCCAAACCTAGCAAACCCGGATAACGCGTAATAGGCGATATCCGTTCGAGACTCAAACGATATTCAAATTGAAATCCGAGCACACCTATGCACTCGTGAGGACCAGGAGATCACATCGGGACCCAAAGCCCTTTTTCTACAGTGCCCATGCGCCGCCAGCGCATGGGTGTCCAAAACGATAACCCATCGTCGGAAAAACCCAAAATCACGACTCAAGACTCCTACCCTAGGTGTAACACCCTATTTGGAGTCACTTTTGTTCCTGGGCATACCTCAAAAACTGACCGGAAGTGGCCGAAATCTCATCCCGAAATTCGGTTGATATCCAATTCGAAAATCAGACATCCTAGGCTAAGAATTGATGCAATTCTACCCAACCATCAATTAGATTATGAAGAAAGAATGAATTTCCATACCTTGATCGAAGCCTGTGAAGTTTTGAGCGAGATCGGCGTTTCTCTTCCTTTTTCCAACGAAATCACGGCGGCTGGCGGCGGGACCTGGCTGGGGTTGGAAGATGACGGCGGCCCGATCATTTTGGTACCAGCCCCGTCAACTTTGGTGGCCGGATGACCGAACGGCGGGCCAAAACATGGCTGGCTATAGTGGTCGTCAAGAGAGAGAGAGAGAGATCAGATTTTATCAAACCCTTTTTGCCAAAATTACGGTTATGCCACTGAAGGTATTTTGATCGTATCTCTCTCGTTACAACTCCAATTCGAGCCCACTACGTGTCTACAAACTCATTTCGCCGTGCTCTACGCAACGGTACAGTCGAAATTCCCAAATTTCTTCCCAGTCAAAAAGTCAACTTTAAACCTAATAAAATATTCTAGAGGCAAAATGGTCTTTCATCATGTCTAATTAATAATTAAACATTTATTTAGGACCGGGTCGTTACAAATAGCCCCGATCTCTTGGACCACAGGGGTACAAGAGATTTGTGGTCACCCACCATTGGATGTTAATCTAACGGTTCAAAAAAGTTTCTTAAAAGGAGTGCAAGAGTGAGTGAACCGTTGAATTTACATCCAACGGTGAGTGACCACAAATCTCTTGAACCCTTATAGTCCAAGAGATCGGGACATTAGAACAAATTTCATTTAGTATGTTTTACATGGGTAGTCGCTAATAAATTGCATTATTCATCGTCTGAACTATAAATTGCATTATACTCGCTATCATCACTTTCAGTCTCCCAATCCTCCTCCTCATCACTTTCGTTGTTCGGGCCCACTGGAACTTCGTATCGCGGAAGATCACCGAGGTCAATTGTAATTGACTGAATCGGTATTTCGATTGAAGACACTCCTTGAAGCTGAAACGGTTCTTGTATAACATTTGTACTATGACGTTGGTCAGTGACGTTGTCGACGTCGTTGTCAGTTGGATTTAGTTATGGTATAGCATACACGTTCCTCTGATCTATCTGCTGAGCAACTTTTCAACCGCTTCCAGCTTTAGGGTCATCTAGATACACAATCTGTCTTGCCATGTTTGTCAAAATGTAAGGGTCGTCATGATACCAAGTTCTGTTAATGTTCACTAATAGTAAGCCATGGTCTATTTTAGCACTTCCCTGCTTATTTGGGTTTGTATCAAACCATCGATACTTAAACATGATCACTCGGTATCGGTCTTTGTAAAGCAATTACACGACAGTTATAAGTTTGCCATAGAAATCAATGTCCGTACTTTCGCCTCCACCTGGGAGATGGACACCGCTGTTTTGCGTACACAACTTGTCATCTTGTGTAGTCCCCAAAAACTTGACGCCATTAACATGGCAACCCGAAAAGAATTCAGCGCAAATCGGGCAGAATGCCAAGTTATATAACTCTTCACTATAAGAGGGTGAATTCGATGATTTCAACTTATTCACCTAATATTATACAAAAACATTCACATGTTAGTTTGATAACATTAAATAATACAATATATATATATCAAATACAAAACACTTATAACAAATGTGATGGATGTTCTCGCTTCATCATCTCTTCATACTCATCTAAGTATGCCATTATCTCATCACAATTGTTAAGTATGAACCAATGCGCTACCTCCATGTCATTTATGGAAAACGACTCTCCTTGTACAGGATCTCCAAAGGGGCGTGCGCTTTGGGCAAAAACAGAAAGTTTCTCATTTCTCACACCTCCGTCATTATTGTGCTGAGGATGATTTAAAGTCATGTCCACATCTTTTAAATACATTCCACAGAAAGTAAGCGACTTATATTGAACCCAAGCCTCTATAATTGATCCTTCGGGCTTCGCCCTGTTGCGTATAGTTTTTTTCAGTTCTCCGAGAAACCTGCCAAAATAAAACGAAACGATACAAATTAGCGAGTGTGGGATAAGGATGCATAAACAAATGATGAGGATTATATACCTTTCTATTGGATACATCCAGCGATAGTTGACAGGATCAGCAAGCAATGCCTCTTCTGGCAAGTGAGCCATCACGTGGATCATACTTGTGAAGAAAGCTAGAGGGAATATCATCTCGAACTTGCATAGGACTTGGACAATATCATGGCGCAACTGATTAATATCTATCTTTCCCAATGTTTTTACCGTCAATTGGGAAAAAAATCTGGACAACAACATGATTGGTTTCACTACATCTTCTAGCAAAAGGTGTCGAATACCCACATGAAGTAGGTGTTGCATAAACACATGGCAGTCATGGCTTTTTAGTCTAGTAAATTTACCCCTCGTCAACATTCACGCAACGCGCGATATTAGAAGCATACCCATCAAGAAACTTTACAGACGATACAAACTTTAGAAAATCTTTTTTGTCATTCGGTTTCATGGAAAAAAATGCCAAATCCCTTCTAGCTTTATCACCGTCCCTGTTCATCCATAAACCTCTTCACATGCCCATTCTTTCCAAATCAAGACGAGATTTGATCGTGTCCTTTGTCTTACCCTCGATATCTAGAATCGTGCACATCAATGTGTCAAAGACATTTTTCTCAACATGCATAACGTTGAGATTGTGCCTCAATTTTAGTTTCGATCAATATGGGAGCTCAAAAAACATAGGCTTGTGCGTCCAGTTCAAATGTGTAGAAGGTCTGGTCCAAGTAACTATTTTCTCGAATGGAGAAAAATCCAAACGGTTAAGCTATTCCAAGATCTCATCACCGAACCATTCTCTAGGTCTGAGGCGATGCTTTGTGTTCCCGTCAAACTCTTTATCCTTTTCCCGCCACTCGTGGTCCCATGGCAACCATCTCCGATGACCAAGATAACAAACTTTTCCCGCTTGCCAACCAGAAGTTACATCTTCCTTGCATACAGGGCATGCCATATAACCCTTTGTGCTCCACCTAGAAACCATTGCATATGCGGAAAAATCTTTCACAGTCCACATAACTGCTGCCCGCAAAGTGAACATCTTCCAAGTGGATTTATTGTACGTGCGCACACCGTTTGTCCATAAATCCTTGAGCTCATCAACCAACGGCCTTAAGTAAACATCGATTAACTTGCCAGGATCCTCAGTTATCAAAACAGTCATCATCATGTATTCTTTTTTCATGCATTTTCAAGGTTGCAAATTATATGGGAATACAAAAATCAGCCCAAGTGTTGAAGTGTTGGTTTAGAACCCCATACGGATTGAATCCATCAGTGGCAAGTCCCAATCTAACATTTCGGGGATCAGCAGCAAACTCGGGGAATGTTCGATCGAACTCTTTCTATGCCTCCTCATCTGCAGGATGCCGCATCACATCGTCGTCTACCCGTTTTTCCTTATGTCATCTCATGTCTGTAGCAGTATGAGTCGACATATACAATCGTTGTAGCCTAGGTTTCAAGGGCAGATAACGCATGACTTTTTGTGGGATCTTAGTCGTTTTATTCTGAGATGTCATCTTGAACCTCGACTCTTTGCATATAGGGCATGTATCCAATGTTTCATACTCTTTGTATAATAACATGCAATTGTTTTTGCAAACATGAATTTTTTTCATAACCCAATCCAAGACCATTCAACACCTTTTGCGCTTGTCTATAGTCTTTCGACAAACAATTGTTCGTCGGAAGCATTCTCTTGAAAACCCCTAAAAAGTAATCGAAACACAGGTTCGACATACGATACTTTATTTTTCCATGCATTAGCTAATGGCCGTGAGAACAGAAAAGCTCTCGCACTCCAGGTATAACTCTTGGTTTGCATTTTGTAACAGTTGTTCAGATTGTTCGAACTCCGCACTGTCCGTTGGGGTAGGCACGTCATCTTCCCCTTCCTGATTGATGTTGGTCAATGCAAATGGAAAAGCATCATTTATAATATCCATGACTTGTTCATTAGGATCCACAATAGGTTCAACATTGTCCACTCTTGTGGCATTTGAAGGCAAAACATTGTCTAATTGTTCCCCGTGAAGGTTCCAAATGTTATATGTCTCAATCATTCCATTCCTTACTAAATGAAATCCAACATTTTCAATTGTCTCCCACAGCGTGTCGTTACACCCCCTACAAGGACAACGGATTCTAGTTGCACCCGGGTTGTGTCTACGTGCAAACTCAATAAAATCCTCGATTCCATCCAAGTATTCATCTGCACATCTATTCGGGTTCTGTATCCACCTTCTGCTCATAATTTCTGAAACCACAATCACAACACAATAATCACAACAACTTCATACGAAGTTATAATGTCACCTTATGCCTCCGGTAAGGGCCATATCCCATTCGGAAACGCATAGTCCTGTCACGTAACTACGGCTACATGAGATTAGATTTCGACGTCGATGAATTTCAGCAGCATCTCGATACAGTTCTTGAGGTGAGCATAGGTATAAATACCTACATACCACCCCAAGAACATACCGAGATGACATCGAAATCTCAACAATCGAAACCTAATCTTGTAGCCATAGATTACGTGACAACACTATGCATTACCAAACTGTCCAAATAATGGGACAATTCAAGAATTAATTGGACCATAGTCATGCTTTACGCATCCATGCACGAAATCAACTAATCTCAAACGGGAAACTAAGTGTTATTAAAAAATAATAGTAAAAGTACTAAGTTAATTTCAATTAACTTCGTACATCACAACACATTGTACTACGTCACACACAATTTAACAACATAATATAAATATAATTTCACAACAAAAAATATAAATATAACAAACTAAGTCCAACATAATGTAATTAATTTAATATAAAATGAATAAAATACCTTCTCAATCATTCTACACAATCGCTAATTACAAATATCTATAATGAGAACAAAATTAATAGCGTTAGTATGAATTTACATTAATACTTTTAAACAAACGACAAATAATACTTACCCAATGAGCGTATTGAATTCCCAGCAGAGGCAGCAGCACAGACATAGAGAGGTTCCAAATTTTTTTTGCATTCTATCTCTGCAATGGCAGAATCTAGAGATGTAGATGAAGGATTTTGCGCGACGAAACAACATTTTCGTTGCGAAAACTATTGTCGTGCAAAACCATTTTTTCATCGCATAAAATAACTTTTTTCGTCACGCAAGAACCTGTCAACATCGGGCTTTTGCGCGACGAAATTTCTGATTCGTCGCGCAAAATCTAAACGGCGTCGCGTGTAACACCCCGACCCCAATTTATCCCATGTTTTAATTTATTTAAGTGGAATTGAGAAATTACCCGTGGGATAGGGGTATTTTAGTCATTTTCTTATCCGGAAGGAATTTGGGAATTCCGGATGTACCGTTGCGTAGAGTACGGCGAGATGAGTTCATAGACACGTAGTGGGCTCGAATCGGAGTTGTAACGAGAGAGATATGATCAAAAGAAGCTCAGTGGCATAATCGTAAATATTTGGAAAATGGATTTTTGGTTAAAAGACGGAATTGCCCCCGTCTCTCTCACACTCTCTCTCTCCCGCGCGTCGCTCTCTCTCTCCTCTGGTTCGCGACAGCCACCGTGGCCGACCACGTTTTGGCCGGCCGTTCGCTCGTCCGGCCACCAAAGTTGACGGGGCCGGTACCAAAATGACCGGGCCGCCGTCCTCTTCCTACCCCGGCCAGGTCCCGTCGCCAGCCGCCGTGGTTTCGCCGGAAAACGAGGAGAAAAGCTCCGGTTTTGACAGAAAATTCGCCGGCTTCGTTCTCCGTCGTCCGGCCGCCATTTTTGGCGATCAAGGTATGGAAATTCATCCCTTCTGCATGATCTAGCTGATGGTTGGGTAGGATTGTATCGATTTTGAGCCTAGATTATCTGATTTTCGAGTTAGGGTTCGGCCGGATTTCGGGATGAGATTCCGGCCACTTCCGGTCAGTTTTTGGGGTACGTCCAAGAACAAAAGTGACTCCAAATTAGGTGTATTACCTAGGGTAGGAGTCTGGGCTCACGATTTGGAAGTTTTCCGGCGATGGGTATCGCTTTGGACACCCACGCGCTGCCGGCGCGTGTGGCGGCGCTTGGGCACTGTAGCTGAGGGGCATTTTTGTCCCATTGTGATCCTCTTGATGTCACGAGCGCGCAGGTGTGCTCGGATCTCAATTTGGATATCGTTAGAGTCCCGAACGGATATCGCATATCGCGTATTTTCCGGGTTCGCTGGGTTTGGACCGTTGGATGGTCCTGATATTATAATATGTTGATCTAGGTATTACCAGGATCGTGTAGGATTCGACGGATCGTAAAACGGAGTCCCGGATACTCCAGAAATGCCAACCCTAGGGTTAGGGTTTTAGTAACCGTCCAATTGGGTGATCGTGAGCGATCCGACCGTCCGATCTGGACCAAACTTGCAGGACTTGTGTCCTAGAGCCTATAGAACCTATAGGAACTTTCGGATCGGAATTTGGAGGTTGTGGGCCCCGCAGGCCCGTTTGACTTCAGGTTGACCGTGAGACTTCCGAGATAGTCTTACCTTTATTTGAGGGTTAGAATGACCTTAGTGACAGGTCTTGAGCGTTGTTGAGTAAAATGGATATTATGGGTTTAGGATATAGATTGGTAAATTTAAATGGTGGGAGTTTATGGAATGTTTTATTGGTTGATGTTATTGTATGATTTATTTAATTAATTGTGTGGAGGTATAATGATATATATAAGGAGATTGAATATTAGTTTACAGTGCTATACGCACTACCCCACGTACCCCTCATATTGTGATTATGCTCAGGCCCAAGTGACAGTAAGATGGCTGGTGAGAATGTAGCCAGGCCCAGTGTGAGGTCTTTGGATTAGCCGGCGTGTTGACAGGCCCCGTACGTGGCCGGGTACGTCCCGACGTATGAGTGGGAGATATGGTGGTATGATGGCTGGTGAGAATGTAGCCAGGCCCAGTGTGAGGTCGCACGCGTCTTTGGATTAGCCGGCGTGTTGACAGACCCCGTACGTGGCCGGGTACGTCCCGACGTATGAGTGGGAGATATGATGGTATGATGGCTGGTGAGAATGTAGCCAGGCCCAGTGTGAGGTCGCACGTGTCTTTGGATTAGCCGGCGTGTTGACAGACCCCGTACGTGGCCGGGTACGTCCCGACGTATGAGTGGGAGATATGATGGTATGATGGCTGGTGAGAATGTAGCCAGGCCCAGTGTGAGGTCGCACGCGTCTTTGGATTAGCCGGCGTGTTGACAGACCCCGTACGTGGCCGGGTACGTCCCGACGTATGAGTGGGAGATATGATGGTATGATGGCTGGTGAGAATGTAGCCAGGCCCAGTGTGAGGTCGCACGCGTCTTTGGATTAGCCGGCGTGTTGACAGGCCCCGTACGTGGCCGGGTACGTCCCGACGTATGAGTGGGTGATATGATGGTATAAGGGCTGGTGAGAATGTAGCCAGGCCCAGTGTGAGGTCGCACGCGTCTTTGGATTAGCCGGCGTGTTGACAGGCCCCGTACGTGGCCGGGTACGTCCCGACGTATGAGTGGGTGATATGATGGTATAAGGGCTGGTGAGAATGTAGCCAGGCCCAGTGTGAGGTCGCACGCGTCTTTGGATTAGCCGGCGTGTTGACAGGCCCCGTACGTGGCCGGGTACGTCCCGACGTATGAGTGGGTGATATGATGGTATAATGGCTGGTGAGAATGTGGCCAGGCCCAGTGTGAGGTCGCACGCGTCTTTGGATTAGCCGGCGTGTAGACAGACCCCGTACGAGGCCGGGTGCGTCCCGTCGTATGAGTGGGAGATATGATAGTATGATGGCTGGTGAGAATGTAGCCAGGCCAAAGAGAACAGTATGATGGCTGGTGAGAATGTAGCCAGGCCCAGTGAGAGGTCGCACGCGTCTTTGGATTAGCCGGCGTGTAGACAGACCCCGTACGAGGCCGGGTGCGTCCCGTCGTATGAGGGGAGCTATGTGATTATGTTTGGTGTGTTGTGATGGATAAACCCGAGAATGTATGAATTTATATGGATGGAATGGTTTATTTGACATTTGGAGCCAGGATTGATAGGAAAGAGCTACGTGTGGCTTGATCCCTTAGTAGGGTACGTAGGCAGCCTGGGATAGTGCCTAGGTGCAGCCACGACTTAGACACCACTTAGGTGGTTTTATCGTGTATGATGCGGACCTCGTGGTTGGTCCCGAAACTTGGTTGAATTGAGACTGGTCCGGTGGACTTAGTGAGCGAAGGTGTGCATAGTTAGATTTTGAATTGGTTCTGTGCATGTTTGATGCATGGAGTTATTTTAAAAGTAGTGTGAGTACTTCTGCTAGAATCATTTGAAGGTCGGAGGCCATTTATGTAAATTGCATGAGATTATATTGTGCGTGCTGCTGGTTGGGATATAATATGCGTTTTATGCAGGTGGAAATTTTGGTGAATGTTCAATTTACAGGGGAGACTCTGCCGAAATTTCGGTAGGAAGTCTCGTGCCCTTAATCCTCTCTGGTAAAAGAGGACATAGATTTAAGGAGTGAACCCGGCATGGGGGCGATGCCGGGGTCTCCGCAGGGTTCGTCTCGGGTTTCGGGAAATTCGGGGTGGGTCCTGTCATCGCGCATACCCAAATTTCCGTTGCACAAGAATGTGCCGACATCAAACGTTACACGACGAATTTTATTTCCGTCGCGCAAAAAAAAAGATATCGCACGTCTTTCTGTCCACCTTTACGCGACGAAATTCGAAACCGTCGCGCCAGGATATCGTCACGCTAATGTTTGGCGCCAAAAAAAATAAACCCGGGTTTTTCTTCCCCACTTTGCGCGACGACTCATTTGTTTGTCGTGCTAAGTTTCTTTGCGCGACCAAAAGTTTCGTCACGCATGTTTTCGTCTGTTTGCGCGACGAATTTTTGTTTTCGTTGCTGTAGTGTACTTTGCGCGATGATTTTTCTTTCGTCGCACAAATAGTAAAATGTAGTAGTGATTAATGGGTGGCAACCCTCAAATTATTTTCTTGGATGAAGAATCCATATTGGGTGGCAACCCTCAAATCATTTTGTTGGATGATAAATCCACATAGGGTGGCAACCCTCAAATAAAAGTCTTGGATGGTAAATCCATAATGGGTGGTGTGGGAGCAAAATATCTCACCCTAGGTCAAATAAATAGGCCAATCAATTTGGGAATTATTTGACCTAATTGGGAGTTACCTAACCTAATTGGGAATTACCTAACCTAATTGGGAGTGACTTGAATTAATTGGGAGGTTATATAATTCAAATTGAATGTATTTGATCATCGCCTTAATTGGGGATTTGGTTAAATCCCTAATCCCTAAATACATCAACCTCACCAACTACACCAACCCCACCAATCTCGCCGAGCCCCCCAATAAATACTTGGCTACGCACAAAGATTGAGGTACGTCTGAATTCATACTCAAACTCTGCATAAGCTATCTCTCACAAACTCTAGCTGCCATATTTTTTCTCTCTCTCACACAAGGCTCCAGCCACCACACACGGCTTCAGTCACCCAGTTTTCCTTGAAACACCCTACCTAACTTAGGCATCGAAGTGCCTTTGGCCAACACTCTCCGGGTGTGGTCCTTTTACTCCGATTTGTTTTGCAGGGAGAAAAAGAAGCAGAGAAGACGAAGGAATCTTATGCAAATATTCTAGTGGGACGAAAATGGCTACCACAGGTGGCAACCCTTAAATCATGAACAGCAAATCCATGAGAGGATTCCTGTTCAACAAAGCTCTGCCGAGCAAAAGGAAATCCTTTGAAACAGAAATGGTGTTTTGGGGGTTAATTCCAAAATGTACAAAAAAAAGAGAGTGTGAATTACCTCTTGGACTCTCTGACCACTCCTCTCCATCTCTACTTGAGAAAGCCTTTATTTTTCTCTCTGAGCAAACTACATAAAAAAAAAATTGAAAAGGATGTTAGTCATGAAGAAAATAATAGGCAGAAAAAAAAAAAAAAAAAAAAAAAAAAAAAAAAAAAAAAAAAAGAAAAAAAGAAAGAAGAAGAAGGGGGCCTTGTTTTTTCTGTCACAACCTCTCTCCCTCCCTCTCTTGGATGATCCTCTTGTTGGGCACACAATCACAACAGACAGGAAAAAAATTAAAGCAGGAAAACAGCCCCGTTTCAGGAGGAGGGCTTGGTGTTGTTTGCATATAGACGCAACAGACTAAAAAAAATGGACTTGCAGCCATGTTTTGAATTCTTGGCTTGGTGTTGCATATAATAACAACAAACAAAAAAAGATAGCCACCGAGAAAAAAAGGAAAGAAAGTGGTTGTACGCCACTTCGTGGGTGTTGCTGGGTTAAAAGGAGAGAAAGGTGCCAGCCGAAAGAAAACATAGGTATAAAAAAGACAAAAGGAAAAGAAGCAGAACTTGGGAAGGGCCACATTGGGGTAGCCAATGCATTGAATGCCCCATCTGTTTGTTTTTTAGAAAACACCCAAAATACAGGGCATGATGTATGACAATATATATAAAAAAAAGGTTTGCTACAGTCATAAAAAAGAAGAAGAAAAGTCAACAAGCAAAAGAAAAAAAAAAGGGAAGTGGTTGTATGCCTCTTTGTTTAATTTGCATATTGTTTCACTCTTCCCGACCGGGGCGGCCTTCGGAAGGAACTTTTGGTCCTTCTTCTTTGGAGTGCGGGGCATGCCACCACCAAGCCCCGAATTTGGGCTTGAGTGGAATGAAAATAGATGGATGTGTTGCACTTCTAACTTCTGACCAAACGATTGATCAGCCAAGCAAGGAATCTCCTCTTGGCCTAGATTGTTTCACTTCCTCAGGCTCGAGGATAGTTAGGTTTCGTATGGATGTTTTTGTGATTTTTATGGTTAAAGTAAAAATAATGCAATTAAACTAAATATGTGTATAAACGTAGACAAGAATTGAAGTGCGATATAATAAATCAAAGCGATAAATAAAGGAAGAACGAAATGAAAGCGATAAGAACGACAAGAACGATAAAATAAAATAGACTTGAAATTAAACTTAATTGAAGTGCGATAACAATGAAAATTAAAGTAATATAAATAAACTTGAATTTAAATGACAAGAAATATAAATTGAAACAAGAATTTAAATGACAAGAAAAATGTAAACTTACACTAGAAATATGAAGAACTCACTACACTAGGTGCTTGAAAAATAAAATCCTCACTACACTAGTTGCTTGAAAAATAAAATCCTAATTCTAGGAAAAGAAAAGTGCGATACGAAAAATAAGTTTGTTTGTCTGATGTTGTGTGTCAGATGTCTTCATCGAGCAAGGTTTATATAGGGCACTCGTTAGCCCATGTGCTGGCTATTGAATGGCCAAAGGTCAACTTTTTTAAAACTTCTTTCCTTTCAAGGCCCCCCTAAATCTGTAGGATTGCATTGAGATATTCTGACATGCTTGATTCTTTCTTGCTTTGGAACACTCTGAGTTACTATAAGAAATCCCTTGATTTCTTTCCTTGTGAGGCCTTTGTCACGTGCATATAATCCTCCGAGAATCTTGGGCTTGAAATTGGTGGCTTGAGCTAAGACCTTTAATCTCTTGACATAACATGAGGGTGCCCTTCATGATCTTTGAATTCTTGGAGCTCTAAAATTGGCCCGCCGAGAAACCTAATTCAATCCTTATATTCTTTCATATATATACACACATATATATATATATATATTAAATTGCGCGTATGGGCCCCTTGGTTATTGAAGTCACCAAGCATGAATTTTACATGCATGAATATCAACTTCCCTATGCATACTTAGCTGGGCCAACAGCTTGGGCCTTACGATTTGTGTATATATATATATATATACAGAGAGCTTCCATTGAGGGATCCCTCAAGTAAGCTTATTTGAGGGATACCCCTTGTAGGGCCCACTCCGGATTGTATTTTACTAATCCAAACCGTCTATTTTATAGATACACATTCAAAGATCATCTCTACAAAAATTAACTTGAATCCGATATCATTTGATCATTCAATTGAGTTATTGAAATTTTAGTACTTTCTTGAAGCACCGTGTTCATTGATTTTGTATGACACAATTGGATGTCGAAACGGTTTCCGATTTGTCTAATTTTTTGTAAGGATGATCTATGAATGAAAACCTAAAAAATAGATGGTTTGGATCATTGGAAAAAAAATTGTAGGGTACCCTAAAGGGCGTCCCTCAAATAATTTTTATTTGAGGGATAGAAGGGGTATATAGATATATATTATATACCAACAGCTTGAAATTTGATATATATACATATGTGGCTGGCCCTTTGGTTATTAAAGTCTAATATATATATATATATGTGGCTGGGCTAACAGCTCGAAATTTCATATATAGATATATATTTTAGACTTTAACTTCCAAACCCTACAACCTGACTTCGACCGCAACAATTTTAACATTCCAAACCAACAACATTTGGCCGCCACCCCTTAGCCCAAGAGCCCAGCCGTGCTTCCCTTGGCGCAAAAACCCGGCCGACATTATTTCAACTTCTCCAACATTTTCGGCTGCAAGAACCTCAGCAATCCCGACCGCCCAACAAACCCGGTCACGCCCAGCCGTCTTGCAAGCCCCGGATTTTCTGACAGTGACCAACCGCATCTCGTAGCTCTGTGATTCAAGCCCCGCGGCGACTCCAACCACCAAACTCGGCCGGTATACTCCAGTCATAAAACCGGGCAGCATTCTTCAACCAAGCCTGAGCGCAGCCCGGTTATATTCTCTTCGCAAGCCCTCCAAACTCCGGCCGTAATTTTCAACAGCCCCAAACACATATGGATGAAGTCTGAAGGGTAGGCTAACATGAAGGAAAATATGTCAGTTTCGGAGAAGGGGTAAACTGTGACCCAAAAAGAGAAGTTGTACCTTGCAGAGTTTTTTTTTCAAGAAGGTCTGACAGTGAGGCATTAAAAAAAACTGATGATACGAAGATTGAGCCAGAGTGAGTCTGGTACTCCAAATTTTCTATCATATGGTTAATGGATTAATTTATAAATCTTCATAGCTATATTTGGGTCCAAATACAAATGTCAATTGTAGAAAATTAGTGGGTTCATAAAAATTGCTCATTATTTTTCTTGGATATTGACAATAGGAAAAATGGTACAAAACCATCCAATCTTTCTCATGGGTTATCTACCCATGTAAATTTCAATGAGATTAATCTCTCAAATACAAATTCTCAATTAGTGGGCCACACTTACCCATTAATTTCCAGTCTTTCCCATAGGTTATTCATCTATGAAAATCTTCAAATCGTCTCAAAGACGCAAACTCTAAATTATTAGGCCCACACTTACCCATTAATTTCTAAAATTTGGAACTACGATGGTTTGATCCCATCAAGGGTACGTAGGCAGTCTAACATCTCAATAGACGCAACCGCAACCAAATTTAAATCATTGGTTACATTAACCAAATTCCCACAAATCAAATACCCACCTTTACACAAATCATTTCCAAACTACGTTGGTTTGATCCATTTGAAAGGGTACGTAGGCAATCTAGAGATTCAATCTAGATGCAACCATCCCAAACACAATTCCATATCGAATCCCTGGTTCATTCAACAAAATTCACTCTAACACTCCTCAATCAAATTCATTCAAATTCCTCCATTTGCGATGAGTCATTTATTCATCACGAATCTTTGAACTACGAGTGGCTTGATTCCCGCAAGGGATACGTAGGCATCCTGAGGTTGGACTTGGGAGCAGCCGCAAAACCAAACACATACGTTCTGTTTCTTTATGATGGTATCAAAGGGTTTTCCCTTGTAGCAAGAGATTGTAATTAAGAGACTTGAGTCTCAAATGGGTCGAACCTAAAATAATAAAATCCCATTAATTAATTAATGGTGGTGAAATTATGTTGGAAGGTTCACATTTTTCCTTCAACACCATTCAGCAGCAATCCAAACCAAGCCCTTAGTTTAACTTCTAGTTTGACTTTTCAAGGTTTACCCAAAACTACTGAAAGAAAATTAAATGATTGATTAGTATATAAACCACCAAGCCCTTAGTTTAAAGAAATCAACCAACAATACGTTCCTTGGCTTTAGTTTTAAATCGTTGCTTGGCTTTGGGTGTGTACATTGCCCCACCACATTTTGAACATATAGGTGCGGATGAGGCAAGCACTAATGCCTTCTTCTTTTTTCTTCTTTTTTCTTCTTTTTTCTTGTGTCAAAGTTTGGAAGGGAGAATGGGAGGTGATCTGCAAACAAATGTTCTTAACATTGAATTATGGACCCGCTTGCCAAGTATTAATGCTTTTGGCCAACCAAAATTTTTTCAAGGTAAATTACTCAAATGATCCTCAAACTTATACCAATTTACATTTTAGTTCCTCAATTAAATTATTCGTGCAAATGGTCGATCAACTCTATATTATTAGCTCTATTGGTCATACTGTTACATTCTGTCAATATTTCCATTAAATATGGAGGCAAATTGGTCATTTCGTCCATCAACTCTCTCTCTTCTTCCTCCCAATATGACTGTTGGGTTTCTTCTTCTTCTTCCTCCCAATCTAACGGCTAGGTTTCTTCTTCTTCTTCTTCTTCTTCTTATTCTTCTTCCTCCCAATCTAATGGCTGGGTAGCATGGGGCATCAACTCCACCTCCACCAAGATGATTGGGGCACAGATCCTCTGTAACATCCCACATTGACTAATGGAGAGGGGGTGATGTGCCTTATATGTACATGCCCACCTTCATCTAGCACAAGGCCTTTTGGGAGCTCACTGGCTTTGGAGTCATGGGAATTCTGAAGTTAAGCGAGTTGGGGCTAGAGCAATCTCAGGAGTCACCCATTGGGAAGTTGCTCGTGAGTTTCCAGAAACAAAACCGTAGGGCAGAAAGGGAGTGGGTTCAGGGGTAAAAAAATAAAAGAGTAGAGGTGGGGTGGGGGATTTGTATGGGAGTGGAGGGTGGTCATGGGTGACTTAGGATTTTTTATTATTATATTTTTTCTCATTTTCTTCAATTTTTTCTAATTTTGTATTTATTTTAACCTTATTTTTATTTGTTAATTATAAAAAGTCATATTGACCCTAAAATTTGGTTAAATCTAACAAAAAATTAGATGGTGGGATCAATGTAGCGAATAATATAGAGTTAATGGACCATTTAAACGAACAATTTAATTGAGGGACCAAAATTTAAATCAGGTATAAGTTTAACGAGCATTTGAGTAATTTACCATTTCCAACTAGGATCAATTAGTATTGTCCAATATATTCTTAGAACTAAGCTTAAAACCAGCGATTTTACACCTTACACCCTTCCATGTCAATAAAGGCCCACTTATTATAGCATAAATCAATTAACCTAAGAAAAAAAACTACTGAACACACTACAAGAAAAACAGGTATTAGTGGCCACCCACTTGGTCACAGTAACTACCCTTTTTGGTCACTGAATGCAATCAGTGTCCAAATATTGGTGGTCATTGGGTGGTCACTAGAAGCTCGTCACAAATTCCATTTAGTTGCCAATGTCAACTATTGGTCACTACAACACAAAGAATTAGTGGCTATCCATGTCTGGTCACTAATAAAAACACTATTAGGGACCACAAATTTGGTCACTAAAGGGCTACAATTTGGTCACCAAAACATGCATTTTGGTCACTGAAACTGCGTCACGTGCCCGCATTAGTGACCAATGGTCACTAGTGTTTTTCAAAAAATTGGTAACTAATTAGGTTTACCTCTCCATGTTCTTTATTTATTGTATTACAATATGAAATCACAATTAATTTCTTTTAAACAGTGTTGTAGATAAAATTAATAGCATCGAATAATTCATTGCATTCAAAAGCAATCCATATATCTAACATTCTTCCAACAAATTCACAAGATGTCTCAAAAACAAAATGCTACATGTTTAAGTTCAACCTAAATGTCAAGTGATTCCCAAAAACAAATAACATAAGATTCATCACTAATAGATTGTCTTCTGCCCTTTATCCATCAGACCTGCATCAAACGAAGAATAATGTCAGTTCTTACTTGGAATGCACTAAACCGGGAATTGACTAAATGCAATAATAATTAAACTCAAGAGCTAGCTAGCACATCTCTAATTAATTAGTTGCTTAAATTTTATCTGTCACTTGTCTGAAGTAACTGGAAATTAGGAACTCATTGATGATAAAGTCAAGGATAACTGGAAATTAGGAAATTAGTATATTGTGCAGTTTGCAAAAATTGTATACTAGTAAGATGAGAGTTATAAGCTAACCTCATTGATGATGAAGTCGAGGATAACTGCTATAGCAATCTTTTTACTAGTACACTGATCAAAGTAACAAAATTAGATAAGACATTAGCTTTTACTACACTAGGCCCCATCCACATCCACATTCAAATCTACCTTGAAAAAATTATCTGGGAATATTGAGACAGCGACTCAATGCTGTCAACTTGTATTTGGATACTGGTCAAGATATGTTTCCAACTGCCCTGTTGCTGCCAAGATAAGACCTAGAATTGCAATGTCACAGATGTCAAATGAAGTACAGAGACTTAATGACTTGATAGAGCATCACTGAATGTAAATGGGAATTGTAAAGAGACAATACGTAATGTACTTCGAAACAAGCATGGCCCAAGTTCTATATCAAACACTAGAGATACAGCAGAGAAACATGGTAATTCAAAGATGCATGTTGCAGCATATACATGTCTCCCAGTAGTAACAGGAAATGTGAGTATATGACATCTAAAGCTCACTTGTTTGTACTAGTACCTAAAAAGAGAGATGAGGGCTTCCTAGGCCGTGATTTAAATTCTGGATGAAATTGCACTCCTACATAGAATGGATGGCTTGGAAGCTCTAAAATCTGCATAACAGAAAAGTAACACAAATCATGTAAAAAGTCAAATATTCAAATTCAATCCTTTTCAGTAAATGGTAAGAAAGGATTGTGTGCAACTATAACCAAGTAAATTCTGACAAATGCTCACTACAAGTGAGCATAAGACCAGCAGAAAACCCACTTGCTTGGTCAGAAGTGGCTAGACGTGAGGATTACTGAGCTGGAACTATACTATGGTACCTGTCCTACTTGGTTAGGGCTCTCCATAAATTTGTTGAGGTTTTCATATTTGTAAAAACTCAAACTCTGCTTGTTTTGGCTTTTGCTGAACCAAATTTGTAACGAGAGAAATCTTGTTTTGAATGACTTATTTCTCTTAAGTATGAACTGGAAGTTCTGATTCATAGCTGGCCTCTTCTATGGCTTGAATGAGCTTTTGGTTGCTTCAGTTTGTTTGAAGGTTCTCAAAGATCAAGTGATCATTTTGAGTTTTGTTTTTGGTTGATTTTTGGTTGTTTGATTTGATCGTCCTTTGCTATGTTCACCCTTCCTTATATTTATAGGGAATGCTAAAATAAGATTTCTAATCTTTTAATAATGGGCGGCAAAAAATCCTCAAAAGATCTTCCATTTTTATATGCAAAGGAAAAAATGGGGTTTTATCAATTCTGGCATATGATCTCTCAATAGTTAGTTCCTATGGCAATCACTTCCCTGTATTTTTGAAAGGAAACCTAACCCTTCTTCCAATTTAATTGCCCTCTGTAAGAGCTCAAACTGTGATTGTTAGTTTGATTTTCTAGTTTTGAACAACTTCTTGTTTCCTGCTTATCTTTTTTATAGAAAACATAGCCTTTGTATCCTTGAAAGATGGTGCCTTCTTTTGGAGCATAAACAATATCTCTAAATATATAAAAGGGTTTTGATCTTCTGGTGGCAGAGATTCAGAGATGTCCCTTCCTTTCACTTGCCCTTGTCAACTCCTTATCAACCCAATTGAAATTGTTGACTTTTCTAAGTTAGAAAAAATCACGTGGGTCTGTTTCTTTTGGGCTTCTTCTTCTCTTTTAATCACGCCAATCCCATTTTGAGTTTTCTGGAGCTATGGGCTGATTGCTTTTCTTTTTCGAGGCCCAAGTTTTGTTTGCCATATTTTGATAGATCCTGGCTGATCCTTCTTGGATTTTAGGCCTTCGATTCCTATTCATTTGCAAAGTCCAGATTTGGGCCATGTGGCTTGCTTTGTTATTCTGGGCTCTTCAGTGTTGTGCTGGGTGCGTAGGATTTTGGCCCAAACAGTAGTATTATTTGTCATTAAATTCACTGTATTTGTGACCATTATGGATGTGGTCACAAGGAAATTGGTCACTATTGACCTTTTTTATTGTAGTGACACGTCCCTCATTCGCCTTTTATTAATATAATAGAAGGTGAGGCCGGCTCATCTGTGCGTTCACTAAACATACTCAAAAGGGCTTTCTTTGAATACAAGTATGCAATCTTCCCTTAAACATCTCTTCCTGTCTATTAAAGTTTTGAATTTGTCTAAGATCAATTAGGAAATCAAATACATATATTTATTATCAATGCCAAAACCATATAGTATAGAAATAGAGATTTCGACAACCCATTAAAAAAGCAAGATGTTGAAAATTGAAACAAGAGGTTTCAATAGCATACAAGTTGTATGATACACATAGCCATTCAATTTTATATTTTTGAAAATTGAAATATGTTAGTATTGTTGTTGTTGTAAGTGTGGTGCTATTACTTTCATTGTTGACCATTGAATTTCGATCAATTATGTCACAAGAGAAATTGAATAGCTTAGTTTTGTTCTCCATTAAAAAGGATATGGTAGAAACACTTGATTATGTAAAGTTAATTGATACTTTTGAATCAAAAAAATGCAGGTGATATTTAAGTGATATTTTGATGCATATTATTAAGTGTTTGTATAAATTACACTTTATTTGTTTCTTTTATGATACATTTGTGAATTTGAATTCGTATAATTTTTTTTTAACTTACCCAAAAAATAATCACATAATATACATATAAAGTAGAAGGCCCCATTTATGTTATTCACCTAGGGCCTCCAAAACGTAGGACAGCCGCTGCACATGTATGTGTGCATTAATTAACTACATGCATGTTTGTTAGGCTAGTTATAGATGATGTATTATAAAAAGAATGAAGGGTGAAAGGTCCAAGAGTACTCTAACGGAGACGAATCTTCATTCTTGTGATTTCTGGTCATTGGGAGATCTCAGAACCTCCTTCAATGCCCTCTATGGAAAAAGCTCTTAAGTTTGATAGGTGGGTTAAAGAAGCTCTCCTCAATGGAAGGTATGATGATGTGAACCACTGCTTAAAGAGAGGGCCCCATGCCAAAATGGCTCACCCCAATCTCGAGCATTTTTACCCATTATTGGTGGCAGTAGAGGCTGCTGTGCAAAGGCAAAAGCAAAACAAAGACAAAACCAATTCATCATCATAGTTTATTCCAACTACCAATTCATGTGCACAACCACCTAATATGTACTAGTTTCATAAATTCGAGGAAATTATGGCAGTGGAAAGGGGTTATTGAAAAGTTTTTTCGAGACTGATTCTCTCAAGATCTTTTCAACTTTTTTATCGGCTGGCTGAGGCCATTGGGAAGTTTTTATCCATGTCCACCATATTGCTAATGGAATTACTCCTTTTACAATTGTGTCTTTTGTACTATTTTTTCCTATTGATCTAATAAATTTTGTTTCCCTCTTTTCCCGGATGGAAGGAACTTATGGTCCTTCTTCTCTTGGATTGCATAGGCGTGCCACCACCAAACCACTGATTGGCTTGAATGGGAAAAGTTGGATTGTTGTGTTCGAGCTTTTGACTTCTAACCAGCTGGTTGATCGACCAAGCAAGGAACCTCCTTTTAGCCTAGGTTCTTTCACTTTCTCGGGTCGAGGATGATTAGGTTTCGTATGAGTATTTTAGTTTTTTGTTTTTTGTTTTTTTTTGGAATTAATGATAATTATGCAAATTAAATTAAAAGACGATTAAACTAAATAACAAGAAATTAAATGTAAAACTAAGATCGAAGCAACAATAAACATAAATTTAAGTAAGAATGAAACAAGAACAATATGAACGATAAAGGCAATAAAATAAAGCAATATGAAATTAAATTAAACTTGAAGCAAAGCCGATAACAATTAAAAGTAAAGCAATAAACTTGAATCTTAAAACAACGTAATGAAAAATGCAAGAAATTAAACTTACACTAACGAAAGCGAAGAACTGATCTAGTCTACTTGCTTGGAAGATAAAAACCCAATCTAATGATAGAAAAGTGAAAGACAAAAAGTAAGTTCGTGTGTCTGATATTGTTGGGGGTACCTTGACTTAGCTGGTGGAAGACTATGTTGGCTTGCGCATTAGGAAACAGATTCTGATCGACACCCATTGTAGCTTTCTCTGGAAATTTCAAAATCTTTCAATCAATGAGGTCCTACACAACATTTCTGAAAACAAGGCAATTGTTAGTCGCATGAGACCATACATTATGCCACTTTCAAAATGTCTTATTTCTAAGTTCATTAGCCGATGGAATATCATGACCATTAGACAATTATATCATTTTTTTTTCATTTAAAAGTTAGTCTAAGATTAGTTCGGCTTTCGAAATGTCAAAGGTATAGAACTTGGTTCCGACTCCCTTTTGTGAGGTTTTGCTAAATTTAGCAATGTGGACCGTCGTCGGCCTCTGATCCTTGGAGGCTTTGGACAAAGCCTTATGTACGTGTAGTCTGCTGACCACGATTTCAGCCAAGTATACCTCATTTGATTCTTCTTCTTCCTCTAGGAAGACTTCCTCGTCTCTTTCCTCCGAGTCCACGTTCACTACATGGATAGTCGTGGTTCTAGATATGGAAGGCTTTGGGAGATCTCTATAAAATGTCAGCCGAGATGTCGACCCATTCTTTTGTAGTTCCTCATTCAAAAGAGCTTTATATCGATCCACCTGAAGTAAGAGGTCATAAATGTCATGGAACTTAATACCCTCGAACTTCTTCCGGAGGTCTAGCAACAACCCACCCTGGGAAAACTTTGCAAACTCATTGTTCGCGCTAAATTTGAACAGATAAGAGTTTAGGCTAACTTACAAGTGTGCTGATGGTTGAGGATTGGAGTGACCTTCTTCCGTGATGTCTGAAGGTTTGAGCAGGGGCTGGATCCGAACTTAGGAGGGGATACCGGTGTGGTACCTGCCGAAGGCACTCCGATGCCAAAGTCAGTAACTAAGAGCGATTCTATTGACAGGGAAGCACTTAGTCCAGTCAGAAAGTCTTACCACTTGGCTGGGCCAAAGGGCTCTATTTATAGAGAGCATTTGCAATGCTCTTAACACTTAGTTTCGATGTGGGACTCGTGGGAGTGTCTTCGGAGATCGACACGTGCTCTGACAGGTTCTAGCAGAAGTTCCGAGGTAATATGACAGAATTGGATTGACGTGATGATTGGTCGCTCGGCAGACCATGCCGAAGGTTAGCGAAGGGACTAATGATGCGTAATCGACCCCCTGAATCGGTACAGCGTGCCGAAAGAACATTCGGTATGGCCCGGTTGAGCTGGTCTCGGCTTTGAGGGTGTTCCACGTGTCACTACGTGAGTGGGCGGTCAGACATGGTACAAACAGTAGTCCCCCCAAGTTTCCGATCGAGGAGGGACTTCTTAGTTGAGGACTTGCTTGTCCCTGAGCTCCGGCATTCTAACCCGAGAACGAGCGTCTGTCGTTTGTAAGCCGGTGATGATCATATAGTCCCCCAAGTCCCCAAGCTAAGAGGTTGGTTTGAAGATTGGAAGGGAACGACAAGAAGAGGTTGGTTTGCCGAAGGTGGTTGAACGACACGAGAGGTGAGTGAAAACCTGACCATGCGTGCCTGCCGTTCGGCACGAGAGGTGAGTAAAAACTCGACCCGTTCGTGCCTGCCATTCGGCACGAGAGGTGAGTGAAAACTCGACCCGTGCCTGCCTGCCGTATGCTGGGAAAGGTGTGCTCTGTCTCAAAAAGGAGAAGAATGGAGAAGTCGAAACGTTCGAAGTGTAGGCGCAAGTGGGGAGGTGAGGGCGGTTGGGCTCCCCTATGCATGGGTGACACGTGTCGGCAACACTGCGAAGACTTGTGACGTTTCGGTTCCCGATGCTAGGCTCGTCCTATAAATTGAAGGAAGAGGCGGTAAGAGGAGGTACTTGAGGTTCTGAGAGCAAACGGAGCTTGTGAGAGGCGATTTCCGGTAAGTGCATTGCGGCATTGTGGGCGATTTCTGGCGAGGGTTTGCGAAGGCATAGCGATTTCCGGCGGCTTCCACCACCGTGCAAAACAAGATATGGTAATGTTTTCCAGCCCAACATGAATCAAATGCTGGTATATTTGCATGAACATGTATGAACACGGAAGAACATGTAAGAACATAGATGATCATAGATGAACATCAGCTCTTGGGCTCTAGGATAGGGGTTTGATTCGAGCATGTCGTTTAGTTTTGCTTTGCTTTTGTTTGTAGATGTCAGACACCGAATCAGACTATAGTCGTAGCCCAAGAGCATTTGATGGAGAATCGGCATCGGAGAGCTCGACCGCAGGGCTTGATAGTGCCAATTTCGAGGAGACCGAGGGAGGAGAAGTGCCGGAGGTGTCCACCGATACGGGGAGCACATCGAGTGTGGAAGTAGAGGGGGTTGACGACGCCCACCCATCGACATCTGGTCGTCGAATGGAAGAGGCCGAGGCCGATGTGCCGGTTGCCGATCCTAGGGAAGGCGTGCGGACGGTGGTCACCGATCGACAAAGGATACTGATGGCGAAGCCAAAGGACCTTGTGTTCGGGGTGGACCACCTAGAGCCGAGCGTCTTGACCGAGGTGGAGGTGGCGAAGATCCGAGCCTTGTACAACATTCCGGAATTGGTAAAGATGCGGATCCTAGGGTCGTTGGAATCGTTGAGCAATCCGAAGGGAGAGGTGGTCTTCTTCACGGATGTCTTCAAGCACGGGCTTAGGCTGCCGCTAAGACATTCAGTACAGAAGATCCTGGCAGCAATCGGCTACGCCCCTGGGCAGTTTAATCCAAATTTTTGGATTACACTCTTGGGGACGGTCACGGCCTTCGGCATAGCTGGTGAGGGGGAGTCGAGCTATGAGCAATTCGCCTATCTGTATAGTGTGACGAGGGCGAAGAGCGCCGATCAGAGGGGTGGGTGCAGTCGAACTATTTGTCGACGGGGCAGAGGGGGCACTTCGTAGTTGCGGTGCCGACCTCGCAGAAGACCTGGCGTCGGCGTCGGGTGTTGGTGTCCGGAGCTTGGGAATCGGCGCCGGAAGTGATTGTGGAGAGGCATATCCGCACTTCCTTCCAAACAGTCGGTAGGCCCATGGGGTGCCGTTCAGAAGCAATAGAGCCATTTTCATATATATATATATATATATATATATTTTTACCTAAGCTAACTGGAGGTTGTATTTTTGTGTTTCAGTGTCCTTGAAACGGCCGATCTCTACGAAGAGGGAGATAGAAGTGATCAAGCGCGTTCGGTCAAGAATATCTAAGGAGGGTCGTATGCACAAGGCTCTGCTACAAGAACCTATTCAAAGCGGGTCTGATCAGCGAGCTGGAGTACCTCCGAAGGAGGAAGGAAGCGTTCCGGAGCTGTGCTTGCGATCGGCGTTCGTCAATGAGATCCAGATTGAGGTCGAGCTACTGTTCATTCTGCTGAGGGTCGTAAGATGCCGTTCGGCATGTGGGCGCATGTACTTCTACCGGTATGATAGCTTCGGTACCGAAGGCTAGGGAGAACGGTGTCTCACCAGTTGACCTTCGGTAAGAGGTATTGATGGCCCATAGTGTTTCTGGTACTATGGTAGGCCAATTGCCTTTGGCGGCTCCCAGCTTCTTCTTCAATGTTTTCTTGATGATCTTGTTGATAGCTTCTACCTGCCCATTGGATTGCAGATGTGCCAGAGATGCAAAGAAGATGCTGATGTTGAAACGGGAGCAGAGATGCCAAAACCGTGAGCAGTTGAATTGCTTGCCGTTGTCCGTTACGATGGCGTTTGGTAGGCCGGATCGGCATAGGATGTTTTTCCATACAAAGTGTTCGATCTTAGCTGCCGTTATTGTTGTGAGGGCCTTGGCCTCAGTCCATTTGGTAAAGTAATCGACGGCTACGACTGCGAATTTAAGCTGACCTGTGCCTTGTGGCATTGGGCCGATGTGATCGAGTCCCCGTTGGGCAAATGGCCACGGGCTAGTCATCGAACTGAGTGGTTCGGCAGGGACTTTCGATACAGATCTGAAACGTTGGCACGGATCGCACCTTTGCACAATCTGGGTGGTGTCAGCGTGGAGAGTTGGCCAATAATAGCCTTTCCGAACGGCCTTGAAGGCCAAGGATCGGGATCCCAAGTGGTCACCATACGCGCCTTTGTGAATCTCACGTAAGATGTAGTCTCCTTGTTGTGGTGTAACTCATCTCAGCAACGGCAGGGAGTAGCTGCGCCGATAGAGGATGCCTTGCAACAGAAGGTAGCGAGCCGATCATCGTCGTACTGCCTTTGCTTCAGCTTTGTCAGTTGCTAGGGTGCCGTTGGTGAGGTGGGCATAAATCGGGTCCATCCAACTAGGGTCCTGACGGACGGTGTTGACATTGGCTTCGGTCGTGCTCCACCGAACGAGAACTTCTATGGGGACGTGGCGTCCGACACAGTCGTCGATTGCCGAAGCGAGCCTAGAGAGAGCATCGGCGTGGCTGTTCTCAGATCTGGGGATCTGGCGGATGTAGTAGGTTTTGAACTGTTTGAGCAATCGGCGGGTCTGCGCGAGATAGGTAGCCATGTATTCGTCTTTTGCTGCGAATTCGGTGATTACCTGGTTGACGACGAGTTGGGAGTCGCTACATATCATCAGCCATTTGGCACCTGAGCTTTAGGCAAGCCGAAGGCCTGCTAGGAGCGCCTTGTATTCGGCCTCGTTGTTGGAAGCACGAAATTTAAAGCGGATAGCATATTCGATTGTGGTGTCATCCGGAGTCTTGAGGACTAGGCCTATGCCGCTGCCCTGCCAATTAGATGAGCCGTCCACGTATAATGTCTAGTGAGGGCTGTTTTGATCAAATGTATTGGTTGAATCTACAGATGCCGAAGGTGGTGCCGTGACAGGGTTGATTGGTTGACCGTCGTTGGTTGGAAGTGTGAATTCTGAGATGAAATCGACCACGGCCTATCCTTTTTCAAAAGGCCGATGGTGATACCTGATGTCGAACTCGCCAAGCTCGATGGCCCATTTGATCAGTCGTCCTGATGTCTCTGGCTTCTGCAAGACTTGTCGTAGGGGTTGATTGGTTAATACGTCGATGCTGTGAGCCTGAAAGTAGGGCCAAAGTTTGCGCGCAGAGAGGACGAGAGCTTAGGCCAACTGTTCAAGTTGGGGGTACCGTTGCTCTGCGTCCTATAATGCATGGCTCATATAAAAGATGGGGAGCTCAATGCCGTTCGGTCGACGAATGAGCACGGAACTCAGGGCCGATGCTGAGACCGAGAGATAGATGATGAGGTCTTCTCCGGGAAGAGGGGTGGACAGCAGAGGAGCTCTGCTCATGTAGACTTTCAGATCTTCGAACGCTCGGTCACATTCGAAAGTCCAATCGACCTGCCGTTTGCTCCCTTTGAGAGCTTTGAAGAAAGGGGCGCACCGATCGGTGGCTTTTGATATGAAACGGGCCAAGGCGGTGACTCGCATATCGATGAGTGCTCGGATCTTCTCGGGGTTGGCCTCAATCCCCCTTTGGCTGATCATGAAGCCCAGGAATTTGTCGGAAGAGACGCTGAAGGCGCACTTGCTTGGCTTCATGCGCATGTTGTATTTTTTTAGCTTGCCGAACATGAGTGAGAGGTTTCGAAGATGATCGCCGGCAGTTCGACTTTTGACTAGCATATCGTCTACGTAGACTTCCATTGAAGTGCCAATGAGTTCAGCAAAGATTTTGTTGACCAGTCACTGATATGTAGCTCCAACATTCTTTAGGCCGAACGGCATGACGTTGTAGCAATAAAACCCTCTGTCGGTAATGAATGTCGTATGCTCACGATGTGTAGGATGCATGAAAATCTGGTTGTAGCCGGAGTAGGCGTCCATGAAGCTGAGGAGCTCATGCCCAGCCGTGGCGTCCACCAGTTGGTCAATTCTTGGTAATGGAAATCTATCCTTCAGACATGCTTTATTCAGATTGGTGTAATCCTGATACATTCGCCAGGCGCCGCTGGATTTCTTCACCAAGACTGAGTTGGCGAGCCAAATAGGGTAGGTGCCTTCGTGGATGAAGCCGATTGCCTGAAGCTTGTCTACTTCGGTCTTCATGGCCTCGTATCGTTCGGCGTCATAGGATCGCCTCTTATGTCGGACCGGCTTGAAAGAAGGGGAGATGCTGAGCTTGTGGCTGATGACGTCCAGGGAGATCCCAGGCATATCGTTGTAAAACCAAGTGAAAACTTCCGAATTGGCCCTTAGAAAGGTAATGAAGTCGGTTCGGAGAGACGAACTGAGGGAAGTGCTGATTCAGACCTACTGATCCTGTGTGTCGGAGATGGAGATCGTTTCGAGCTCTTCGGTAGGTTGAGCTTGCGGCGTGACGTTGTCGTCCCGGGGGTCATCCGGACTTTCGGTCCCTCCTTTGCCATTCGGCATGCTTGGGCGGGTAACGGCCAGTGTTTCGAGCGGCCTTTGCCCTGACGTCCAGGTTGTTGGTTCCGCCGTGGATGACACGTAGCATATCCGTGCCATCAATTGGTTCCCCCGAACCTGACCGACTCCTGAGTGTATTGGGAATTTAAGCAGCATCATATGTGGTGACAAAATGGCTTTCATTCGGGTGAGGGGGGCCTATCGATGATGGCGTTGTATGCGGTCGGACAGTTGACTACCAGGAAGTGAGTGTAGATGAAAGCCCTTCTAGAGCCGGAGCCGACAGCAAGGGGAAGCTGGATGCTCTCGATTGGCTCGACCACATCGCCCGAGAAGCTTAGAAGAGGAGTGATCTCCTTGTTGAGGCTTTGATGGTCAATTCCGAGGCCGTTGAAAACATCGGCAAAGAGTACGTTGACCGAGCTTCCGGTGTCGATGAGGATTCGGCCTACGTCGAAATCGGCAATGTCTGCTCGAATGATCATGGGATCAGAGTAGGGGAAGATGATGCCCTTCTCTTCTTCTTCGGAAAAGGTGATGGGTTCCCATCCGAATCGCCGAATTTTGCGGTTGCGCTCCTCAGTGAGGCTGAAGACCTAAGGGTGCTGAACGGCACGTACGTAACTCTTGACGGACCGACGGCTGCAGTCAGCGATCGGTGTACTGCCCCTGATCATGTTGATCTGTCGATTGCCCTGGTGCTCGGGACCCGATTGTGTACTCATATACTGGTCTAGTTTGCCCTCGCTAATCAGTTTTTCAACGATCCTTCGGAGGGCGATGCAGGACTCGGTATCATGGTCGTTGTATTGGTGGTATCGGCAGAAGACTCCTGTATCCTTATCAACTTGCCGAGGGAGCTTCCGAAGGCTTGGCTTCGAAATCATCTGATTTTTGACCATGAGGACATGTTCGTAGGTCAAGTTAAGAATGGTGAAGACCTCCGGTGGTCGATCGCTGTTGGTGCTTCGGAAGTTTCGGCCACCTGACTTCTTATTGCGCTTGCCTCTGTCTTGCTGACCCTGGAACAAGTCCCTTCGCTTATCCCCCGTCGTGCAAGGTGCGGGCACAGTGGGTGTCGTTCGGTAGGGAGCTTGATTAGTGGTCTGGTGTGGCGGGAAACGATCATAGGTGGATGCCGAAGGCTGACTTGTGCTTGTCGTCTGGCCAGGAGATGCCGAAGGCATTCCTTTAGAGTTGAAGTGTTCGGCCTTGGCGTGAATGGCTGCCTGCTTCATAAGTTCTCCATAGGTGGTCTAATTGCTGTTGTGTACTAGGTAGTGAAATTGGGAGGCTCGGAGACCACTTTTGAAGGCGTCGAAGGGTGCTCGGTCGTCGGTTTCTGGACACCGAGAATACTCGTGGCCGAATCTAGCTGCGTACTCCCGAATGGGCTCACTGTCTCCTTGCTGAATGGTGTAGAGGTCGTCGACAGAGTATAGACGATCGGTCTGTATCATAAAATGATTGAGGAAATTTTGTTTCAACTGGTTGAAAGAGTCTACCGTACTTGGTTCCAGCCGATAAAACCAATTCAGAGCTGCCCCGGCCAAGATAGATGGAAACAACAGGCATTGGCCTTCATCGGTGAGTCCCTTGCAACCCAAGGCCGATTGAAATGTGTGAATGTGGGTGACGGGGTCTTCCACTCCCGAGTAGAATGAGATTCAGAGGGCTTGTACCTCTTTTTCAGGTCGGTCGAATAGGATTCGGCTGGTGAATGGTCCCGATTGTACCTTTCCCCAGGTTGGTGTCCAGATCTGATTTTCCTTTTCTTTGATCCGATTGACTTTTTGAAGGAGGAGGTGGATTGTAGGATCGGTAGGAGGGAGGTTGGTCCAAAAGGGTTCTGCCGTTTGGGGGTCGGTTGGGAGGCGACCCTCATGTCCTTGTGCCTTGTGGCCCGCCGTCGGACGTTCTTGCCGCCCATGGTTCCTTCTGGCTGATCCGGATGTCGTCGACTGGCGTGAGAGTGTCGTGCCGAGGGAGGTCGGAATGTAGTCAGATTCGTCTGTCTCCTCTAAGTCGATCACGTCGTACCTCCGTCGAATGGGAGATTTTGGTCCGAGTACGTCCAGATGCCGATCGTTGAGTTTTGCTTGGACGGGAATCGGTGATGTCTGCCGTTCCCGTCACGGCAGTCGGAGTAAACTTGGTATTCCCGGTGGTGCTCTGCCGAAGTTGGCACGAACAGTCTTCGGGAGGCGGACGGTTCACCCTGGGCTAGCTGCTTCCTAGCCTTTCGATCGTTAGGCCTTGGTACGCTCTTCAGTGATCGTTCCTGCCAAAGCTGCGTGGTTTGTTCCAAACCGTCCTGCAGTTGGGCTGACTGTGATTGTTGCTCGTGAAGCTGTTTCTGGGTGTCATCCAGTTTGGAGGAGAGGATATTGTTGTGCTCTTGCAGGGCTTCCATCCTATCTTCCAGGGTGCTTTGTCGACCAGGCATCTCCACTCGGGGTGTGCCGGGTGGCACAGCAGGGTTCTCTCGGTCGGCGAGGCCGAGGATGGGACCGTCGGCCACAAGGGGTGAAGGCGGGTTCATAGTTTAGAAGTAAAAGGTAGATATGGGCTGATTGTCAATCAGCTTCCCACAGACGGCGCCAATCTGTGCACCCTGAATCTGAACATATAAGAGTTTAGGCTAACTTACAAATATGCTGATGGTTGATGATTGGAGTGACCTTCTTCCGTGATGTCCGAAGGTTTGAGCAGGAGCTGGATCCGAACTGAGGAAGGGATATCGGTGTGGTACCTATCGAAGGCACTCCAATGCCAAAGTTAGTAACTAAGAGCGATTCTATTAACAGTGGAAGCACTTAGTCCAGTCAGAAAGTCTTACCACTTGGCTAGGCCAAGGGGCTCTATTTATAGGGAGCATTTGTGATGCTTTTAGCACTTAGTTTCGATGTGGGACTCGTGGGAGTGTCTTCGGAGATCGACACGTGCTCTGACAGGTTCTGGCAGAAGTTCCGAGGTAATCTGACATAATTGGATTGACGTGATGGTTGGTCGCTCGGCAGACCATGCCGAAGGTTAGCGAAAGGATTGATGGTGCGTAATTGACCTCCTAAATCGGTACAGCGTGCTGAAAGAACATTCGGTATGGCCTGGTTGAGCTGGTCTCGGCTTTGAGGGTGTTCCACATGTCACGACGTGAGTGGGCGGTCAGACATGGTACAAACACTCATGTTCTGGCATGTTGACTGTACATGTGGCCCTTACTTCTATGAAGTTCCCCAAGTATTCTTGGACTAACTCATTTGATCCTTGGCGCATCTTAGCCAAATTGGCCATCAAAACCTCTGAATACGGCAAATAAAATTGTTCATAGAAGATTTGCTCCCTGGTCTGCCAATTTGGAACGAAGTTCTGATGACGTTTGATATACCATGAAAAAGCAGCTCCTTTGAGGGTACTCTGGAATAGCCTTAATTTAAAGGCCTCGTGATGTCCAATTTCTGCACATTGAGCTGTGAATCGGCCAATATGCTCCACGGTTAACTGAAGTCCGTCTCTTGAAAACAATGCAAAATTCAAAATTTTAAATCCTCGTGGAAATTCCTCTTGATCAAAATGCTTCGAATAGGGCCTTCGGTAAACTATTCTACCAATCCTCCTAGCACGAGGCACCATATCTTGGATCATCTATTCGATCGATCGCTTGGTTTCCTAGTAGTTGATTATTCAAGTGTGCATTCCCACCAAGATTATTCCATCAATTGATTCCGGCGAATTGGTTGATATGAGGTCCAACGAAGTTGACTCCTGCCCCCTAGTGGGCTTGTGGGCGGAATTGGTTATATGGTGGGAATCTTTGAAATTAGTTGGCAGTCGCATATGGGTTACTAACCATTAGCAGAATATTGACCACTAGGGCTGGGTTGCTCCAAGCTAGTGGATTCAGTTGAGGCGGATTTGCACCAAAGATGTTTGGTTGGTCCTCCACCTGAGGCCCCGCCACTAGCACTCCATTCGGAACCACTTGATTCCCGTTTTAGTCATTTTGTTAGCTTAGCAATCGATCAAACCTCTCATTTATCTAAGAAGTTTGGGTAGCTATGGTTTAAGCCATGTCTTGCATCCGTTGATGGTTGAGTTGGTTTGATGTCTTCATTGCTCGGATGAGTTGTTGGATCTCCAATAAAGTGGCCAACTTTGGCCTTAAGACTGGTCCTCCAACGACTTTCGTAACATCTTTGACCACCATGTGGTTGGGGTCGATGGTCGTGGCTCAACCAATGCCATTTTGGCCTTGTTGACCGTTCAGAACAATTTGTGATTGAGTGTTCATGGGAAGTGAACCCTCCATGCTTGTCTCTGATGTCGAATGACGTCTACACTCTTCAAACTCTTAATCTCTTTTGGGATTCCTCATAGTGTTTACCACCATACGGAACCTAGTAGTTCCACTGAGCGTGCCAAATTATATTTCCCTCTTTTCGGGCAAAGTGGCCGACGGAAGGAACTTTTGGTCATTCTTCTCTTGGATTGCGTAGGCGTGCCATTATCAAGCCACTGATTGGCTTGAATGGAAAAAGTTGGATTGTTGTGTTTGTGCTTCTAACTTCTAACCAGCTGATTGATCGGCCAAGTAATGAACCTAATCTTGGCCTGGGTTCTTTCACTTCCTCAAGGTCGAGGATGATTTAATGGGTATTTTAGTTTTTTTTTTGGGATTTAATGATAATGATGCAAATTAAATTAAAAGACAATCAAACTAAATAACAAGAAAGTGAATGTACAAATAAGATCGAAGCAACAATAAATGTAAATTTAAGTAAGAATGAAACAAGAATGATATGAACAATAAAGGCGATAAAATAAAGCAATCTGAAATTAAATTAAACTTAAAGCAAAGTCAATAACAATTAAAAGGAAACCAACAAACTTGAATCTTAAAACAACGTAATGGAAAATGCAAGGGAGATAAAAACCTAGTCTAAGGATAGAAAAGTGAAAGACAAAAAGTAAGTTCTTGTGTCTAATGTCGGGGTAACTTGACTCGGTTGATGCCTATGAAGCCAAGGGAGTCTCATTTGTCATGCTACGTAGCCCCAGAGGTCACCTCATTAGATAACTTATTTTTGTCCCATAAATTACAAGACTTGTGGGTCTTTTCGTTTTATTCATTTATTTATTGACGTTATAAATAACAACCTCCTTGTCTATCTATCCACCTTGACCTTAGATTGGAGTTGGGTTCCACCTTGACCTTGGAGTGGAGTTGCTTGACCCCGACCTCGGCTTGGATTTTAGACCACACCTAAACAGATTTTTATCAAACATGAGAACAATAGATAGCTATATACCAATGTGATCTTCATGTTGCAGGAAATCTTTATTCAAGGTTGGGCCAAAGTGATATTCATGTTGGAGACCCACCCCTATATACCTTCTTATTCACGTTGGTGACCCAACCCTATATACCATTTTCTCTTCTTCATCTTGAAGGAATATATACAAGATTACTTTTTATAAAAATAAACACATCACTTTCTTTTTCTTTTCTTTTTTTGTCATTAAAGAATTGGAGATTCAAACTTGAGACATCTTTCAACAATAGAAGGAAAAAAGAAGTATTACTAAACAAAAATTATTAGTTGGTCAAATAAATACTTTTTTATATTTTTTTTGTTGTTTAATTTTTAAACTTGTTATTTTTTTGTCAACTTATAACATAAATGGTAAAAACAAATATATATTAACAAGTTGTTATAAAATATTAAAACAACTTTAATAAATAAGAGTAATTATAAAAATAAAAATAATTAATATAAAGAAAAGACATTGAAATCAACTTCTTAGAGCACTTCCAGCAGTGCAGGCAAAGCTCGGGTTTTGTTGGTGGTGGGGGGGGCGTTTGGCCCAAAATCGCGTTTCTAGCAACAAAAAATGGCCTGAGCAGATGGTGGGACCCAAAAGACTGGGCTGTCTTGAGGATGAGGCAAGCCCGAGTTTTGGTGATGACGTCACGACAACGTGCATGCGCCAACGTTAAAAAAAAAAAAATTTGAACACGCCACCAATTGCTCTGCCACATGTCGCACTCTCGACTCTCTGATCAGAATTTTTCCTTCAATCCAACAGCAGCCAATTTTTGTGCAATTAAAAAATAAAATCAAAATCAAAATTTTTTTTTTAAATACCAAAAAATTACTGAATTTTTTTTCTATAAATACCAACCAATACTTGATATGAATTTGAAATTTATCTGAAATTTGAACCGAAAATTTTATTCGATATGAATAGTATTGACACGTAGGAACCCAAAAATCTTATCCGAAAATATTATCCAAATTAATTGTTTAGGTAAAAAAAGAGTTGTGAAAAAAAAAATAGTATTTGCCATGGCGAAGGGCAACTGCTGGAAACATACATTGCTTTTTGCAAGGGCAACTACTATTCATGTGAATAGTAGCTGTCCTAGTTCCCCTTTGCCATGACAAATAGCAAACTGCTGGAAGTGCTCTTATGCGCACACAACGCACTCTCCCACAGAGTTTGTGAGTAAAATATGTGTACTGATTTTAATTATAATTAGTTATAATTTTTGCACGACCAAAAAAAGCCATTTATATTTTTTGCATCTAAATATTATAATAAATTGGACAAGTAAGCGAGTTGACTTGAGTTTGGTAGCAGACTGGAGCTTCGATTTTTGACTCGTGAGTCGTGACAAGCCCGAGTTGTAGTCGATTTTAGTGGGATTTGGTATGGCGTGTCCAACCATACCAAGTGAATTTCAACCGTCCATCAAAGACAACAACATGATGACATCAGTGTCCACAATCCAACGGTGCAAAAATTCATATCGCTCACTGCCACAGCTCAGCTTTGATCTCGACGTTTACTCTCTCTCTCACTCTCTCTCTCTCTCTCTTTCTATGATGAGTTTGCGTGAGCAATGGAGCAAAAAAGCTGACGTTATATTTTTTTTTATCTCGAGAAAACTGAAAATCTGAGAGAAAAATAGAAGACATGGGAAGAAAGTAAGCTCTAAAGCTGGTCGCCTGACTGTGATACTCATTGCATCTTATATTATCAGGTATAATCTAGATGAATCTGCTACGATTTTCTTCTTCTTTCATTTATTTTTCATCATCGTTTTTGGGTTGTGGGTTTTGTTTTCTGTGAAATATTGTTATATCTTGCTTAATTGGAAGGATTGTTAGTGGGTTTTAAGCTTTTCGTGGGGTTGATATCATTGCTTGATTTGATCGTTTTGGGATGGTCAACTTGGGAAATTTCTTATCTTTAGTGTAATTTAGTGTGTGAATTGAGTGTATATGAAGTTTTTGAGACATGGGTTTTGCTTCTATGCTTGACATATGTCTTTGATATTCTGAAATTGGATTTATTTTGCTTTTCCACTATGTGGGTCTCTGAGTTTTGAGGCTGTTGTGTATTGACTTGTGTTGTAGTACTGGTTTGAGAACTAAGAAATTAGTTGAAAATGTAATGCATATCCGATCAACTTATACTTGCCCATAATCACCCACATAAGGATGTTTGATAGCAAATCTTTAGTTTTTTATGATATCTGTTGGATAGATTTATTCACCTTCCACTTGTCTGGTTTTATCTTTTTGTTGAAACATGGTTTTGTTTGTTATGTATCTCGCTCCCATTCTTGTTTCTGTATAGTGGTGATCTCCCCAAAAATTTGAGGTGTAAATTAGTAATGTATGAACAACAACTAGTCTGTTTGGTTATGTGATCCTGATCATCTTTTTGGTGGACTGGCATTGCTCATTTACCAATTTTGTGATATTGCAATCCTGCTCTCCTGCATTTTACTTTTCTCTTTTAAAAATGCTTTAAATGTAGCATTGTTCAATTTGTGTTTTATAGAAATGATTTTAAAAACCTAATTATAGTTCTGATTCTGTTGCAGCTTACATATGAATAGAAATAAATTATTTGAATCATTTAGCTTCAGACAGTGTTGAAAGTAAAGAAGGAGGAGGATTTGTAGATAAAGTGAAAGTTAAGTATAATCTATGCATCCTCACCTTCCAATTTGGTTGGCGGACTTAGATGGATGTTCCCTCTCCAGAACCAAATAGTGATGCTCAAAGTGACCAATTTCCTTTGCTATTAGAGCAGATGGAAAGCCCTAACGATCATGTGCACATAATTGATGTAACAAGGAATCGTGATACTTCAGCAAGTTCATCTAGTGATGACCAACCTCCTAGAGTGGACTTGCCTCAGCATGAAGACAGACCATCAGCTAGTACACATGCCCCCACCTATCAAGCTGCTTCATCCTCAAACAGATTAAATTCTAGGAATTCGTCATTTATGAGGAGAGGTGATGGGTACAGTCGTCGCCGAAGAAGCCCTTTGAATTCAGGGTTATGGATTTCTGTTGAGCTTGTTGTCACTGTGAGTCAGATTATAGCATCTATTGTTGTTTTGTCATTGTCGACAAATGAAAATCCACAAGCCCCTTTGTTTGCATGGGTTGTGGGTTATGCATCAGGTTGTGTTGCAACACTTCCTATTCTTTACTGGAGGTTCCGTAACCGCAACAGAGGTGCTGAGCAAGAATCCATTCAATCGCATCAAGGGTCTTCTGAAAGCAATCCTCCTGAACCAATGTCTTATACAGCTATTTCAATTTCTCAAGCATCTGATGAAGAAAACAATCGCACCTCAGAAACAGTCACAAATAACCCTCAAATTGCAGGACCCTTAAGTGCAAGGTTTTTCAATTTTTCCCTCATTTTTCCGTTTTATGTTTTAATTGATGGGTGATGTATTGCATTTTACTTGATATCATCAGCTGTAAAGTTTCCTGGTGTGGTTGCTTTTAGGGGAATGGATTTGGTTTAATTCATTAATTTGTGTTTGTTCTGATAATTACACACGCACACACACCCTTTCATAACTACACTAAGATTTGTAGTCCTATTTGCTACAACAAACAATTTAAATGTTATCTTCAAGTTTTAAGCATCTTTTTCTTTTCTTTTTGTGTTTCCCTACATTTTACACATGATTTATAGATGGTGTAGTGAAGTGAAGAAGCTGGTTCTATTTTGCAGACTTAATGGGTTAGTGGATCATTTCAAGATGGCCTTAGATTGCTTTTTTGCAGTCTGGTTTGTGGTAGGCAATGTGTGGATTTTTGGAGGTCACTCTTCTCCCTCTGATGCTCCAAAATTGTACAGGTACCTCTTAATGACATAATGTTTAATTTATACTGGTTATTGAGTCATCTAACGTTTTCTGGGTTTCTCATAGGTTATGCATAGTGTTCCTAACCTTTAGTTGTATCGGATATGCCATGCCATTCATACTATGTGCAACAATTTGTTGCTGCCTGCCCTGCATCATCTCTGTCCTGGGATTTCGAGGGGATTTTTCTCAGACTAGAGGAGCCACTGTGGAATCAATTAATGCTCTCCCAACCTACAAATTCAAGTTAAAGGAAAATGAGACCAATAATGATCACGAGTGCAACCTGGATAGTGAAGGTGGGCTCTTGGCTGCAGGGACAGAAAAGGAGCGCGCAATATCAGGAGAAGATGCGGTGAGTAGGTTCTGTGCCTGCTGAGTTCCTGGTCTTGAAATTAAGCAACACTTAACCAAATTTGGATTCTCACACCAACTTTCACCATCAAGTTCAGGAAACTGTACCTAACAGAAAATTAAAATTCATGCTCCTTCTGCATAGCTTGCTGGTAGAAGTTGCTTTTATGTTGAATATGAAGTATTCATGTTGAGAACATCCCTTTCTCATAACAGTTTCTGTTTCTGTATCCAGATATCACTTCATTTTTCCAGTGCTTTAAGGAAGACGCTGCCACGACATCCCTCAATATTTGATTAACTTGCCTCATTACTTATTAGGCTAGCTGGATGCATCTAGTATTGGAACAAATAGAATTTGAATTGCTATAATCTGAACATAATATTAATGAAAATATAAAACACAGTCGATGTTGATACTGGTTAATTGGCTGTGATAATTTTTTGGGTTAGCTAAAACTATTAAGTTATATTGTGGATTAATTGGTTATCTATAACAGTACGTTTATTATGGGAAACAAAGGGTTTATGTAGAGTAATAAATTATCTAAACTACCTGGTGCCTGTTTATATAACTTTCCTTCCTCATTATTAAAATATTGGTCATCTGTAACTTTCTTTTCTGAATCAACTACCTGGTGCCTGTTTATATATTACTAAATTGTTGCAAAGTAGAAGTAACAATGAGACAATTTCCAAAATTTTCATTTGATTGATGTGCTTTTCTCCTTCAATATGGTGCAGGTTTGTTGTATTTGCTTGGCAAAGTATGCAGATGAGGATGAGCTAAGAGAGCTACCATGTTTACATGTCTTTCACGTGGAGTGCGTTGACAAATGGTTGAAAATCAATGCATCATGTCCCCTCTGTAAAAGTGAGGTTGGAGAGAGCAGCAGTGCCTCGCCATTGGCCAGAGACTCGGACCAGCAGTAGAGTGAGGGAGATGGGCTCAGCTGATGACATTGTATATGAAAGCACAGGCTTTATTCTGAATTCTCAAATGGTCAAACCCCAATTGGGGTGGTTCGTCGAAGTGCAAAAAATTCCATATTGTTTCACAGAAGAGCCTTTGACGGGTATCTTGTCTCAGGTTCTGTCATGGGGACACGCGGTTCAGTATATCTGTAAATTTCATATGTACTACTCAAATATACAGGTGAGTTTTGTACCTTGTCCTGTACTCTTTTTGTTTGGTGGGCACATTCATGGAGCCCTTGCTATGGAAGGAAAAAATGATAAACATGTCTCATGTCCAAACTACACTCCCTGCAAGTAAACCTTGTCACCTAAGAAGCAATTTTATCTAAATTCAATTCCGTTCGGGTTCTGATATTGAGCTGCCAACATTTGAACATGCCAGGATGTTCAAATGCCTGATACATTAGTTTTTGGCTTTCTTATTTAAAAGTTAAAACTGATGCATACTGAGGTTTAGAAATTTGAAATATCCACTACTTTTGTGACCACAAGATTCAGAATGATGGTCGATTGATTCTTGAAGGAATCATATGTAGACCAATTCCCAGACCGTTCAAAATATGATACAATTTAGGAGTTTTTTGGTTTTATTTATTATTATTAATTTTTTATGACCAGAACTGCTAACCTAAAGACACCGAACAAATGGCATTTCCAAAGACATGCTTGCAAACGTGGTAAGGTCCGTGTTTAAACATCCGACATGAAAGATTTTCTATATGCGTAAACTAGGAGAAATAGAGGAAATTAAGAATCATAGTAAATTTTTCGGTCAGAAGAATTACAATAATTTAAGTATCCACAATTGTCGTCATTCAATATTTGATGTGCTTTTCTCTTTCAATATGGTGCAGACTTCTTGTATTTGATTGGCCAAGTCTGCAGATGAGGTTGAGCTAAGAGAGCTACCGTATTTACATGCTTTCATGTGGAGTGCGTTGACAAATGGTTGAAAAATCAATGCATAACCCCGCCCCCCCCCCAAACCACCCCCCCCCCCCCCCCCCCCCCCCCCCCCGAAAAGTGAAAAGGTGGGAAAACAATGGGCTTGTAACTCAAGTGGTTAAGAGAATCTACTCATGCACTCGAGGTCCTGTATTTGAATAATTCATCCCCCAATATCGCTTGCGTCAAATGAAAAGGAAAAAATTTTGAGGTTGAAGTGAGCATCAATGTATCACCATTTCAGACCATCTGCCTGCCTTGTACATCCCATTTGTGTCTACAACACTCATCTCCAACCGTAGCAGTGTCTCACCAATGCGAGAATCCGCCTTGTAACCGGTTGTATATCCCCTATATCGACAAAGTGTGCTATATGCACAAGTAGGCTTGGGCGTGGATCGATTCGGAACAGTAGAAGACTCTTCCGTTAACCAAATCAAAGACTTCGGTAGACCATTTTCTCTTCCGTTAACCAAACCAAAGATTTCAGTAGACTTCAAATCGATTAACCTAATATTCGATTCGGATTGGTCAGTATGCCCGTAGTACCGTAATATAAACATACTAATAAAAATACAATTTATAATACTTTACATAACATAAGTTCTTGAACAAATACACCAAATTATCCTTGTAAAATATAAAAATTCAATAGTCTAATTCATCCAAGTATGAAATCAAATAACTTAGTCACTATATCATTCAATATGTACTCAAGATGTATTAGGAGTCACTTGTGTTTGTTGTTTGAACCTTTGAGTGTTCTTTTTATTGAATTCTCTACATTTATGTAAATGATTTTGACATTTGTTCCGTGAAGAGTTCTTTAGTTTTTCATGCTGAATCCAAGCATATAAAGAACATAAAATTTGGATCAACAGTTAGAAAGTTACAGGTCAAAAACGGAACAAATGTTGAAACTGGAAAACTTAGGAAGTTCATAAATTCCTCTCTGACCAAACATTACTACAATACCTAGGTAAGTGATACAATGGTGATAAAGAAGTGATACAATGATGGTAAAGCAGTGAAAATGGTGATAAATTAGTGATACAATGGTGATAAAAGAGTGATACAAAATGCTAATTGTATTTATCTTTGGTTTCTTGTTTTGTATTTAAATAATAAAATAAGAATAAATATCAGATTGGTACGTGTTTCCGTCGGGTTAGGAATTTTGTTTCTGTTAACCAAACCAAATATTTCGGTACAGATCGGATCAGAATAATTAAAATTAAAAAATAATTATTTAACCAAACCAAACCAAACCGTTGATACGATACAGTCGGTATGCAGGATACAGTCGGTATGCGGATAATTCGGTATGAGATGCCCACCCCTATGCACAAGGGCATACACAACCAGCGATAGCTAAAATTCTCTCCCTGCTATTGGCCAGATACCAACATTGTTCCAGACATGATAAAATACAACCGGAGTTCTCTTCTCACCTTGGCCTAAATTATTAGCCACAATTTCGACCCAAAAGAGACAAAAATAAAGATTGTTAACCCAAAGGTGATACCACAAAGACATGCTTGCAGGCAACCCGGTAAGATCCGAGTTTAAATTTGAGTTCAGCTTATAACGATTAAACTAGTATAAGTTCCAACAAGAATTTGAAATGAAAACAAGAGCTCGGAAAAAAGTAAAGGAATTCAAAAGGCAATGATCCCAAGGAGCTTAATTGAAAAAATAAAATAAAATTTGTTCGGTCTCATGGCCTGTATGTCACAAACCACCAACGCTGGAATCCATGGCAAAAATTTTCAAATAATCTAGGGTTTATACATAATAATGAAGTCAATGAAATGGGAAAAGTACAACATGCTCCGGTATCTATTCTGACCGGATCTAAAACCAGTGCCAAAAAAAATGATATTCTGTAGCTCCTCCCTCAACCTATTAGTAAGATCAAATTTAGGCGCACATCCCCAATAAGTAACCTCACCTAAGATCCTCACAAAAATGTGAGCAAATTCAAAAAGAACGAAAATAAACCCTAGAGTCACAATGGAAAAGTAGATTATACACATTTTCAGATTCACAATTGGAAAGGCAGAACTGGTGGGAAAAGTAAACCTGATCTCAAAAGGAAACCATAACTTTGTGCACAAAACCCCAGCATAGTTCTCTTCAACGAGCTGCAACCTATTTGCTGGGCATATGTTTCTGACCTGCAGCTTGGTTTTGGGATTCATCAATCAAACATGGTGAACTTGCAAGTTTCCTTGGCTAATGTTTCTCTTCAACTTTATGGTTGCATGGTGAGGTCTTTAAATGCCTCTAATTTCCCATTTACTGCGATTGAATCTGCACTTTGCCCACCTTCTGAGTGGTTCGCACTTCCATTTTGGTTGTATGCTGAGTTGGGTACTGCAGAGCTACGATTCCCTTCAAAGAACGTAGAGTAAGGGAAGTACTCAGCACATCGCTCTTTCCATCCTACAAAAGAACTAGAGAATTATAGGAGCCCATATCTTGAACCAGATGAACATATTACTGATTCGCATATTCTTAAATTGGATGAAGACATGTAAAAAGCTACACAAAATCCCAGCAGTCTTCACAGTTCCCTAAGGACCTTTTTTCCCCAAACAAAAAAGGTGTCATCTTTGCAACATGGACTACCCAGAAGGAGAAAATCACTAAGAAAACAAGCACAGGTAGCATATTTTGTCAATAGCAAATGGAAACTAGAGCATCATGAACTGGAGCAATCCAAGACACCATCTATACTGTTATCTCCAAATTTGTGAGAGCAAACCCAGCTTTTAATATACAAACATAAATAGGCTAAAATATGCCAACAAACGTACAACTGCTTTTAACATTCTGTTGAATATAAAAAGAACAGAAATAGACTCTAGCTACTTTACTTACTCAGAGCAGCCGCAGGGTCAACAATTATTGTTTCAAGGAGTTTGTTGACAGTAATGCAATCTTTGAGTTTCCACTCTTTGACAGGTCCAAGTGCTCCACTTCTAATTTGATGCATGCAGACATTTAAGAACAATCACTCTTACAGACATGTAAACCAATTTTACAATTTTCGAAGGCAATTTAGAAGTAGGAAGTGGAACAGGGCATTACTTGGGCACCATATTGTTGGTTGACTCTTCAATTAATTTAATAGCCTCAGATTTCTTTTCTGGTTCCATAGTATATAGCATTTCTGCAACTGCAGCTCTATGCATCAAGGAATCTGCAGAAAAAACAAAACACAAAAACAACAAAAGACGTAAGGAAAACGAATGCTTATGCATTTTTCTTTTACAGTGATAATCCTAAAAGTCACCTTGATGTTTCTCCAAGAAATTCTTGTTTGCCTCAATTAAAGACTTCCCTTGCAATTGACTAGATAAAAATAAAAAATAAAAAGATGTTTGGTAAGTGAAATTAAAATTGTCAAACACATACAGGAGCATGAGAGAGAGCGAGAGAGAGAGAGAGCGGGAGAGAGAGAGAGAAACAGAGAGCAAAGTGCACGTTAAAAGAGAACCTGATCAATGGGCGCTCTGCTTCCAACACACTCCAAATGAGTTTCTCATTATCAGTCACAGGAGCAGGCATGGAGCCAACTTTATGGAAGAATTTAATCTGCAATACATGAAATCTTACAATAGGGCCTACAGAAAGATCACAACATACACACCAACACACAAACAAGCAAGCAGACACTAAACAAGTAAAAATACCAAGGAGCGATGTGAATCTGGGTGGTCAGCATTCAACCTCAGAAGCTGCTTCAAAGCCTATAGTTAAGAAAAAAAATTAATTTAAAAAAAGCTGTGATAAATCAAAAGAAAGTTTAACTATAACAAACGTCTGTAAAATCTTGCGAAGTGATTTAACTAACAAACATGAAATTCCATTTCTGACAGACTGCTCTTTGTTAGAGATGAAAAAGTAACAAGAACAAATTCTAAGTATTCCTTTTGTCGTTGTTTCTGACAGATGTCTTCGGTATCAATATTTGTGACAAATCTTTGCTTTAACTCTTTGAACCAATAAACAAAATGGGAGTGCTTCAAGGAAATCAAACTTAATGAGAAACATCTCACTCAACATTTGAACAAATTTTTACCTGAAAGGCAAGCAAAATCTTCTGCTTTCTCATATTTACTTCAAAAGAAAGCAAGTGTGTCACTAAGGACTCGGGCGAGTTCTTCTGAAGCAGCTTCAAGTACTTTGTAGCTTCTAACATTGGATCCTCAACCTGTGTAAATATGTAACAGCGTAAGAGAGACAGGATAATGCCATTTACTCTATGCCCGTACAGCAGTTAGAAACGTGAAGCGAAGGGGTAAGAAGCAATCGGGAATAGAAAAAATAACCTGCAACAACTTCTCCCCATGTGGATCTGGATCAACAGGCTTTACATGTCGTTTCCCAGACTTAGATACACCACTCACACTAGATTCTTCATTTTTTCCCTCTGCCTCCTAAAAGAAAGCTAAACATTAGAATGAGGAAAAAATGCTAACAACCCCAAGCAACACAAACAAAATACAATACTTTCTTAGCTCGTGCTTCCGCCTTTCTCTGCTTTTGCCTCATTTTCTTTTTTTGAGAAGGGAGCAACTTAGACATCTCATCATCTTCTTCAGAGGTAGATTTCAAAGGAGAATCATACAGCTTCAAATAGCATCTGCAAGTCAAATACAACCATAAGTATGAGTGTGGGTCAATATTTAAATAACTGCATATAGCTTTATTGCAAAGTGACAAACATAACACAATATTATTTGGATGCAGTAGTGAAAATTGGACAGATTAATTATCCTCTTTCACCTAAAATTTTTCTAGGGGGCCCTTTAAAAATAAAAGATAATACGACTTTATTTGTGATAACGGAATCAAAAGAACAATGTTCAGTCAGGCCTTCTTTCCACTTTTGAAGCAACTTATGCGATAATCAGTAATGCAAAAACACAACCACTTTTACAGCCAACAATATATATACAAAATCCTCAGAGTTTACCTAATCTGAGAGCACGTTCAATGAAACAAGAAATCAAGGAATACAAGTCACAAACTAATGTTAAAAAGTATAACAATAATAATAAACACACAAACTCCAAAAGTATCTATACTCATTACAACTTACTTCACAGTTCTAATGAAAATACTTCACCTGATTGCACCAACTGCAGCTTTGTGAAAATATGCATGTGAATGCAACCGATCTTGAAATCTAAGCATTTCCACATAGGCACGTAGAGTCATTTTCCTTAAGCAATAAGAATGGAAGTCAAACTGATCTTCTGTAATATCAGCATAGTGCTTCTCCACGGCTAAAAATTTTTTCAGAGCTCGTCCAAGATCACCTTGGCGGTAATAACTCTCACCAGAAGCAAGTTCATACCTTCAAAAGGACAACATAAAACATTAAGCATTCCTCACCAAAAGTGATATTTTATGAAAGCAGTAAACAAAATCGATACACACCACATGCACTGCATATCATGAAGGTTGTTGTGCTGATCACCATCTTTTGTGAACAATACAGCAGTTTTTTCTGCCAAAGGAACCTAACAAAGGAGGGAAAAAGCATGTAGAAACACAATCAGTATAGGGAAGAAATAGAGAAGAAAGCAACACAAATCAAAATCTAATTTCACATTAAAAATGCATAGAAAGTGTGCGGCCTATATAGTTTTGTTTTTTTTGGTCTAAGTATGGCATTACTTGTCTTGTTTTAGGTGGTTTGGTTCGGCTGGACCCCTTGTCCACCCCCTTTTGCAATGTGTTCCCTCTTTCTATGAAGTTTTTTTTCTATTAAAAAATAACAAAGTAAGAAAGGAGATTAAAACCTGATCAGCCTGCAGCATACGCTTAACACAGTCACTGTTTATATAGCGATCTGCAAGATCCATACATCTAGCTTCATCTGCCAATGCAGCAGCAGCAGGCAAATCACCAGCATGCTTCAAAACCCGGCTCTGCGAACATAACACATGTGAGAACTATTTTTTTGGTACAAAATGAAAGCTTTCCAACAATCCATGTAAAACATCATTCAGTTTAAATAATCCACTATTTTTCTACATACGTCCAAGACAGAATATAATGAGAAAAACATAATTACCCAAGGACGCTAATTTGGATAATTAAAACTAACATTAATGCAAAATATAAATTAAAAAATTACAACCTAAGGAAGAAAATTTAGACGGTCTGCATAAGGCCTTGCTTGTGGACTTCCAATATGGCGGGGGAAAGATTTTTATTTAATGCATTCCAACAAACCACATAGGAAAATACCAGAATACAGCACTTATTGTTTGACCTTTCGATAATGACGCATGTCAGAAGTTATCAAGGCTTCCATTATCTCAGTACCAGGTTCTTACACGTTACACTGAATCTCATTTGTGCAGCACTTTAAAAATTTAATTGAAAATTCAAAAGGAAAAAAAAAATATGCTTATGTACTAATTCCCATTGCTTATATGCATTACTTCAATAAACAATATCAATCTTGACATCTCTATGGTTTGCACACATTGTTATATTTCGCAAGAGAAAACATAGAATAGCAACACTTCAGGAAACTAATTATTTAAAGCCATGGAAAGGGAAATCAGAAGAGAGCATAAACAGAACAAGCTGATAAACTTAGTAATATGTATCAAACCAACCTTGGCAGAGTATAAATCAATCACAGTTGGAGTGTGCTCCATGGCCTCATCAATTTTAGATAAAGCAATGTCATATTGGCCTCGTCTATCATAATGCTGCATCAGCACAGAATCCATTAGTACATGTGAATTCAGATAAATAAGGATGGAAGGAGAAGAAGCACCAAAGAAAAATAAAAATAAAAACCATATAGTCGAAGAATGACAGTCAACCTGAGCCAACAAAAACAAGGCCCACAAAAGTGTTGAAGGGGGCTCCTTCTCTGCCCTGCATTCAAGATGAAAAACAACAGCACATAAATCAATACTAAAAGAATTCAAAGGCACAAATACAACTAAATTCATGAAATATATTAGAAAGTGTTGGTTATAATTTTTCTTTTAGGAAAGGATAAATAAGAAATGGGAAAACTAAAACAAACAAAAATACCCTGGATCACTAAAAGTAGAGAATTGGAATGAAAAGGTATCTCATTTATGATTGAGTGATCCCAGATCACAGTTTGTTAGGGTAATATGGTATTCATTGTATTGTGATAACTATGGTCTACTACCCAAGTAATAAGCGCAACTGACTGATAAGGCACAGAGTTCAAATAGTATCCTCTTAGCACATGTAAAAGCCTTGCCAGTACAGACAGAAAAACACCTCAAGAAAGGATGGCCCAAAAATACATAATGTTCATTGCATAACTCCTATTTTCCAACAAGTGAAGCGAAAACTAAATCAGCTTCCAAATCTATATATTTAGAAAGCCAACATCCCTTTGGTCTCTAAATTTATCGTTCTTTAAAACTGGTATGCTGTTATCCGAGCCTTCAAAATATAATTTCTGATATGCAATCTAACCAAAGCATAACTCTTCAAGCTTATTCTTCTCAAATCATAATGGAACAAGTAAAGAAAAAAGTGGCCATCTAATATGGGTGGAGTTCATGTGGGACCAGTATTAAAAAGAGAACACCGAAAAGAAACATCTGTGATTCCATTTAGCTAAACTTGCATGAGAATTTATTGACTGGTTTTCATTCTTTATTCTAAACAAGGCATCATTGGCACATAGGGGAGCATCAACACGTACTGGTTTTATATCACACATAATTTTTTACAATCGTATATTACCTCCCAGGGTATCGGCCAGTCATCCTAATTGAATGTTCCAACTCAAGAATAAGCTGTTCCAGAATGTCTGCCTGGACAAGAGTTTCCAAAGTAAAAATTTCAAAACCCAATGAGTTAATGATTCCACAAAAAATACCATTCAGTTTCATAAGATAAACAAATCCAAACAATAATACCAAATGATTAATAAGGATGATAAGAATTACCTTTCCAGGGTGATCATACAAAGGAGAAAGATCGGAGAATAATGAAGGAACTCCCTAGAAGCATCAACAAGATCAGTCAATTTAAGTTGAACACCAAAAATCAGGCAGACTGATAAGAATTGTATGCAAATGACCCTAAATACCTTGGTAAGAAGGGGCCTGATATAATTATCTGCTGCTTCTCGAAACTTGTCACCTTGTAAAAAATCAAGTGGTATTCTCTGATGGAAGAGAAGGGAAACCAAAGAAAAGTTATAAGATATGCTATGAAATCTTCAGCATGCACCTTAGACTAACAACAAAAACAGCAGCAGCAGCAGCAGCAAAGATGATAAAGTCCCCTTATCCTCTTATGTAGTAAACTATAATATCCTTCCCAACCAAGAAGGTACCAATGGAGTCACATCAAAAATCACACTGATCGTTCATCTCTCTTTGCCATGAGAACAAAACAATAAATAAATTCTATTATGACCTTCCACATTTTCCGACGTAAAAAGGTACTCAGAACACATGATACCATTGCATCACCAAAAAGAAACTCTAAAATAATTCCCAACAACAGCAAAAAAGTTCCCTTGGTTCTTTTCTAGATATCCCAATTTCCAGCAATACAACAAAATGAAGATGCAAAAACACTACTTCCTACATTGCAAAAAGCATCACAGAACAAGGTTTCTGTCAGAGTTCAGAATCACCAGATAATCTAGAGTGCTATTATTGCCCAAAAGAATGAGCAACTTTAATAAATGATAATCACTAACATGCTTTAGAGGTGACAGAGAGAATGAAGAATAACATGCAAAGGATAAATGCTGGACATAAGTTATATACCACATAAATCTAGGACACCCTAAATAAAACTATAAACATAAATTGATGGAAAATGTTACCTTAGCAGCAGACGACCAACTGTATTTCTGCCCAAGTGATTTGTATAAGGCATCTAACCGTTCAATTTCATCAGGTGAATACTGGGCATTCTCAGCATACAGCACAAGACATTTTTGCAGGCCTTGATAATATCTGAGCATTGAAAAAGCAACTACAATAAACTCACCTTAAACAATAAGGGAATACGTGCATGCACGCACAAATAAGAGAGAGAGAGAGAGTGTGTGTGAGTGTGCGCACGCACACACACGCGGGACAGAGAGAGAGAGATTACATAATACATGGTAATACTAAACTTAGTATACAAAATTAAAGAAGTTAAAAGCAGAAAAGATGAACACAATCATGAGATGACCAAGGTCACAACCCATTGATTCACTTAATCAATAAAGCTTTAGTCCTAGGATAGCATATGATCAACAATATTATTGTCCAAAAACAATGAAGAAAAACCAACCACCGTTCTCTATAATCTCAACTCAAATTAAGCACATCTCCATTCCCTCAAAAAAAAATTCTTGCAGATCCTCCAATTTTTGAAAAAAGAAATTAAAAACCATCTCTGTAAACGTGGAAAGTGAAAAAAGAAAATTACCTATAATTGTCAGGATTCATGGAAAGCAATATCCTATACAATTCAGCACCTTCTTCCAGGTGATCAAGCTTCACCAAAAGAGAAACTTCTTGTTCTTTATAATCTAACTTATCAACCTAGAAAAGGCATCAACAAAGAATGGTAAGTACCATAGGATCCTAATAGTCAAAGCATAAATTTAAACAGCCCATATTGACCAGAAAATTGAAATACACACTTACAATTTTTGTCTCTTTCTTGTGCAATTCCTCAAGAGCTCTCTCAATTAAGTTGCATTCCTCTAACAATGAAATCTGCAGACATTAATACGCAACAACCATCAAAAAATTATGAGGTAGCTACTAAAATATAACATTAATTTGCATCAACTAACAATTAGAAAGGTCTTGTACCACAACAAGTTAATGGAGTCATGGCTGAAAGAATTATAAAGAACTAGGGATGATTATGTAAAAGGAGATAAGCCAAATTTTCAGTTATTCCCATCTTGAGCAATGGCACCATTTCCCACCACAACAAAAAGTTTTGTAAATCACTGTACAAAGCCATATCATAAAGATTTACTTTAAAAAATGATAATTAAAACGTTATGGCTATTATTAAACAAATCATTTTAATGGCACTGTTACCAGTGAACAGAAAGTACTTCAGATAAAAGTATTTTTACTTGTGGTATACTAGCTCAGTACTAATGAAAACTTGATCTAGCAAATCCAGCTTCCCCAACTTTATCTTCCAATTTCAGCCTTTAAGTTCTGTTGATTCTTCCCATGGCATATCCAAACTTCTAAATATATTCATGGGTTAATCATTTTATTAGTCCCTGAACTTAGACCTAATTTGCATTTGAGTCCCTCAATTTCCAAAATTGTTCCCGTGGTCCTTCAACTTCAGTTTTGTTAGGACAAATGGTCCTGCCATTAATTTTGTTAACTTATCTGTTAAATGCAGGGGCAAAATGGTATTTTTGTATTAAATTGATTAAAATATGAATAAAAAATTAAAAAATTAAAATTAAACTCTCTCTCTCCCTCTCTATTCCGATTTCTACTCCCCCAAAAACTTGATTTTTCTTTTTTCTTTTTTGGTTTTTTATTTGATTTTCTTTTATTGTTATTTTAAAGATATGATTTTTTATTCTTTTTTTTATATATAAAAATACCATTTTGCCCCTGCATTTAACAGAAAAAGTTAACAAAATTGACGGCAGGACCATTTGTCCGAACGAAAGTGAAGTTAAAGGACCAAGGGAACGATTTTGGAAATTGAGGGACTCAAATGCAAATCGGGTCTAAGTTCAGGGACTAATAAAACGATTAACCCTATATTCATCGCATATATCTAACATAAACTATACGATTGCAACAAAAAAAAACTACTTATGCGAATTACTTAAAGACCTCCGAAGAATCAATTTATTTCGAACCAAAGTTGATCTAACCAAAGTAACTCATGAGTTCCAACATGCTTGACAGTATGAAGCCTGAATAAAAATCATAAAAGAATACATTCAAGTTTATGTTTTCTAGACTAGAACAGTAACCTATTAGGAACTCGGCAAAAGTGTCTAATAAGTGCAAGGGGTATCTGAACAAAAGCTTTATATTAAAGGGCAAAGCTCCACTCTATTTGTATAAGAAATGGGGATGTACAAGTATTTGATCCAGACTGTTCAATGTACACTGCCCCTGTACTGGAAGCAGACCCCCCATGGGTCCCAGATGGCTCCAGATTAAACAGGCGTTCTCCATTTTGTACTGCAAATGGAGAGTTGAGCTTATATGAAAAACATCAATGAAAAATACCTTATATAAAAGCATCTCCCCATGCTCACAGCGCTCATTATCTGGAGGATAATCATCTTCTAGTGTCCCTTCATATGCTTCGAGAATTTCAACAGCTTTTAAAGCACTAATAGATAACAAGAACATTCATTTAGCGTAGTACTCGTTACAGAATTTAACAAATCACAGGTTAGATCATACTTTGCATTTAAATGCTGGGCAACAGCAAAGCCAATCCAATTCATGCGATGATTTGGTTTCAAAGTCAGAAGTTGTTGTCTTGTCTCAACAAAACCAGTCAAATCCCGCATTTGAGCCTGACACATGATTGGTAAATGCGTCAGTAGCTGATTGAAATTTGTTTATAAATAAATCAAGTATAAAAGTTTGTATAGATCGCAATAGAAAAGAAAGAAATGTAACAAAAGCATCATAACCATAGTAACAAAACAAGTGAACCTAGTGCAAAGTGTACATGAGCAGGGAAAAAAAACCCCAGAAAGACTTGAGAGTCAAAGGAACATCCATAACTTCAACACCCAGGTCCTGAAAAACTTTTGAAGCTGTTGTTAACCTGTAAGGTGGACTCATCCTATATAGGTGAAACAGGTGGGAAAGATTTACTGCAATTTCATACTTCAAATAGATTATTATACAGGAGTATTGACTAGATGCCTCATACACTACCAGAACACTAATATTAGCTATCAGAATATTTTCTTATATCAATTCCCTTTTCTGCAAGTCTGATAGACCCCAGGCGAAATATCATCTACTATTAAAATAAATACATAAATATTTAAGTACATAATTTTATTATATTTCATATATATTTCTATGTATATTATATATTTTACATAAATAATTAATGGTACCTATAATAAATAAATTAGAAATTAGTTAACAAACATTTCATATTATGACGTTGTAGGGCAATCAGAAGATAGAATAACGTGGTTCCATGGACCACCTTACAGTGTCGTAAACTCCTAATAGCTAGAAAATAAAAATGCAAATTACATAAGTCTAAATGAGCCTATAATTACTGCCCACTTTCTAAACAAGTGTGCCATATTTCAAACGACCAGGATCTGCAGTCTATATAACATAGAGGTGAATCCCCAGCACTTCAACTTAGTTCTCAATGAAATGTAGCACAAAATCTTTTTGGTGGTAGAGACCTGAGACCCATAAGAAAGATGGATTTGATTTTAAGCGCAAGGTAGGAATAGGCAATGGCAGATAGCCAAATTCAACATACTGCGAACCATCTCTCCAATAGTAGCCAAACAGATGTGTGCTGTTTAGCCATTTCCAATGTTGACTTCCATTTGCAACCCATTATTGGTGTCAAAAATGTATAACCTCTAGTTATGCATTTCCCTTTCTCCTCACATACACCCATGTGTCCAAATCTCATCCAAGTTATACCAAGTTTAATTCACAACTTTAGTTACAGGCCTGTTAGAGCAATGAGGTCACAAGATTTGGAGACTTTCTCTTCTAAGCTATCTCAAACATAAAGTCACTCTTTATATATAATCTTTTAATTCTTCATAAGTCAGACTTTATGATATCCTCCAAAAAAGTACTGTGACAAATGACATCACAACTCAATGACTCTAAATAAACATGAAATGGTATACATGCTGGCAGAAAATGCCCTTGAACCCTGTCAATTTACCAGAAAAGCATAAACATCCAATACTGTTACCACAAGGACTAACAGTAAATATTAGCATTAGCATACCAAGACACTCTTAATACATAACATTTCATTTTCAAACCATACAAGAAGCCATGCTGCAATTGATAGATTGCAAAATGTGAAGTCATTCGACAATGTCAGACACTGATAAATCACAATGTCATGTTTACCTTTTTCTTAGGCAAGACTACTGTCTTCTTGTGCGCAAAATTTATAAGAATTATTCAACAGACATTTACTTGGTTACAAGCTTTAAGTGGCATCTAACGCATACCTGTAAGAGTGACAGGTCACGTAATATTTCAATATTGTCTGGATCTATCCTCAGCGCATTTCTGTAGCATTTTATGGCCTCCCTGTATTCTCTGTCTGACCGATAAAGTAGACCATAAACATGCCAGCAAACATGACTTTTGAGGTCATTCTGGGAAAACAAAGATAAAAAAGTAAGCCAGACAAATTACAAAGCCTTAGCAATTATCTTGGAAACAATACTAAAATATCAAAAGAGTTAAAACAACATCCTGACCTTTAATCCAATCCTGACAAGTTCATATGCTTCGGATTTGCGGTCCATGCAATTTAATGTCAACCCCTTCATCGACAAAGTTTCTGCCAAGGTCACAAGATTTGCATTCAAGATGACTAAGCAGTCTACCATAAACAAAAACAGCAAATAAAATCAACTACCAACTCAAGAAACACCATAAGTAGTATATCACAAGGAAACCACAGCAAATTGGGGGAAAAGAAACAAGGAAACTTTTGGGTGGACAAGTAAAGTATCATAGCCCCAATAGAAACAAAACATATCAAATAAAAGCACCCTAAACACATCACCATCTCCAATATCTTCAGCTTCATGGGCCGTGCTACAAATTCATAAGGATTACTACTAATTAATAATATTTTTTGACAAGGCAGACAACAGTATCATCATTACATATTCCACATCAGAGGAATCCTACACAATGGATAACCTAACTAATGACATCAATATCCACAAGATGATGGTGACAACGACTATATCACCAGGATCATGGTTTCAGTATCAGTCTTAATTTTCTGAGAAGTGCTAATTATCTTAGTCTAAATGTAAGTGTTTGTAAATATGGGATAGATAATAGAGCATTTCAAGTGGTTAAGCAATCATATTTTGAGCTCAAGAATTTCCACCATCCCACACTTTCATTTAAGTTGTACTGGTTCCCTATCTTTCCAGAACAGTACTCTGTCATATCACTTGTTCTACCAGATTTGCCCATTTTTCAGAAATTACCTTAAAAAAAACTCCCATGAAGAATCTCATGCCCTCTTCTTCCTTTAAAATATGCTTTTTAGAAGGGAAAAATGGAAGGTTGGAATCATGGAATTGAGTGGAAGAGGGATACACAACCCCTTCAGGCCCACACATTTGTACGAATTGGGGGAATATGTGTGGGTGCCTGCGCTCGTGAGAGAGTGGTGAAACCAAAACAAAAAATCTCCTTGCGGTTTAAATATATAGAAAAACAGAAACCTCTAGGATATCTCTCCCTCCTCTTATCTTTCCACTCTACCGAACGACTCAAGGCATGAAAATTCCACCCTCCCTCATTTTCCATCCCACCTAGCAATCATAGTATTAAGCTTCTATGCATTCTCACGTGCTTCATATCTTTATTGTGTAGTTAAACAAATAAAACATTAAACAAGTCAACGAAAATGTCCAAATACGAGTCAACATCAAAATTTACTTGGGCCAAAAGATAAGCACTTCTAAATTAAACATTACATTTAGTAAAGGCTATAACCATACCTCCATGGTCTGGAAACTTTTTCAATATGGCATCTGCTGCCTTCAGTCCCTTCTTATATTGTTTGGTTTCATATGATTTCTGCCATGATGTAAACAAGAAAAAACAGGTTCGAATTAGTCGTAGCAAAAAGATTTCTGACACTAAGAATTTGTGATAAGTACATTACAAGAGATACAGATCACATTGCCAATTACTATCACCATATCAATATAATAATAGACACCAACAAGACCCGGTAGCATAATCATATTTCAACTAGAAAAGTCAAACAGCTCAATTAAAAATAAGCTCTGGTAATAACTTGGATACTAAATCTCATCAATGCACCCAGCAAAAGAAATTTACTTAGAATCTTTATGATGTATTTCTTTCTTCTACCGAGGCAGCTCATTTGATGAAAAAGAAAAAAGGTAAAATTTTAAGAGGATTGTTTGATACAGTCAACAATACTATCTCAGAAGTTAACTGTCTGCAATGTAGTCATGGTAGTGTCAACCTCAGTTAAAGTTACAGTAAAATGCTCGCAATCCAAATTACGAATCTGGCATCAGAATCAGCACCATATAAATGAGACATATTGTTATTAAACCAATTTCAACTCAACGAACAAGGGCATCACAGAGCGTTGAAGTGTACACTGTACAACTCTCAATAAGCTTAAGAATGCACTACCATAGCACAACAAATTACCAGAAAAAGGAGTGTGTTCAAATTAGCTTCTCTTACTAATTTTTGTGTACATAATAATCACTACCCAGTTCAAAATTTCACTTCTCAATCACTTTCTTCTGCTCAAACACTAAATCATAATACCCGATGCAGTACCAAAGTTTAAACCTTTACACTCACTAAAACCGAAGAAAACAAACACAACTTAAATTGTTATGCTTCCTTAGCGATAAAACCAAAAAATTCAACTAAGCTAACGAAATTACAGAATACCCAGTAGACTTGACCATTCATTTTATTTAAAATCCCCAACATCAATCACAAAGAACCCCAATTACTACACTTTACTCAAGTTCTCTAATTTCTGAGCAAAAGAGAAAGAAGTATACAATCAAAGCATAGAATCGGACACAAAATCTAGGGTTTTGCTTCTTTTTACTTTTCCGTGATTGTGTTAGTGAGAATAAGTTATCTAACTTGGATCCTAGTGATTATCAGTAAGAGAAAGAGAGGAATCGGAGCTTACGACGATGAGCTTGAAGAGGTTGGCCTCTTTGGGGGGGAGTGAGGCACCCATTGTTGAAGAGAAAGAGAGAGAGTTTCAAGTCCAAGAGCGCTTGAAGAGGTCTCCGAGAGTGTGTTTTTGTGGTGAAGAGCTGCGTTCGGAGAGAGAGGAGAAAATGGTGGCGTTTATCTGCTGCAACCCTACTGTGAAGGAGAAAAGCAAAGAGAGAGAATATAATAAGACCTCGAAGTTCTTGGGATTTTTCCTTCTTCTTTTTTTCTTTTTTCTTTTTTTTTGGGTAAGAGCGGTTTAGGAGTTTCTATGTCCGCGTGTGAAATGAAGACTAATGCCTTTTGTTATTTTTCTTTTTCTTTTCTTTTTTTTTTTTTTTTTTTTTTTTTTTTTTTTTTTTAGAGGATTATTTTCCTTTTTTTTCTTTTTTCTTTTTGTATTTTTTTACTTTGCCTTTTCATTCTTTCTTCTAATTAGGGGTGAGCGCAATGTCGGGTCACCATACCCAATTTGACCCTACCCACCCCTACATAGAAAAATGTATACGAGTTTTAAAAATGAAGTTGTTAAGTCACATACATACACTATCAAACCATGTATACCAATTTGTCCCCAAAAAAAAAAACTATGTATACCAATGAAATTCTCCTAGGATGATTGATAAATGGATGACAAATGATATTAATACAAAAAACTTGTAAAATCACAAAAGACAAAGAACTGAAACATGGTCACATTTGACATAGCTCATAATTTAAAGTTTGGCATCATGCATTTTCATACAGTATGGTAGATTGTTTTGAAATTGTCATGTTTAATTTTTTATTTTTTTAATAAACCGTCGTATTTAATATTTGTGTTTGAATCCCAATATAGTTACGTATAATTTGATAATTAGAATATATAAAATTTAAAACAAAATTAAAAAGAAAAAAACTAAACCTTTAATAGTTTAATTTGAATCCTAAATTGTTGAAACCGATCAACTCAACCCAATTACAAGAGATGTCGGGGTGATTTGGGTTGGCCTAATAATGAGAAGGTATTGAACTCAAGAAATCATAAATTGCTATGTATGGGTTGAGTTACGGGGTGGGACCAAAAGGTACCCAACCTAACCTTGTATCGACCCCTACTTCTAATTTATGTACAAAGTAAGTTTGGATGAGGGAAATAAACTTGGGATTTTGACAAAACTCAAAATTTCTAAATTGACATGAATCAATTCCCGTGTTTGGATAAATAAATTTAAAAAAATTTAGAAATTTCGCGTGAGAAAAAACATGGAATTTGGAGATCATAAATCTCAACTTTAAATTTTATCTAAAAGTCATCATTTCTAAAATCCCAAGAGATATTGAATTTTAAAAAAAGATAACTTTACAAATAAATGTTAAATTCCGTGTTTTAAATCAGTCACCCAAACAAGAAACTTTACAAATTCTAGAACATTAATTTCCGTCATTTTAAATTCCGTCATGGCTAAATTATTGAAATGCCCCTGTAACTCAATTTCAGTCTTAGTTTCCCCCCTGAAACTCTAAGTGTCTCACTTTCCCCTATGAAACTCCACATATTGTCTCACTTTGCCTAGATTCCATCCAGCCTTAACAGAAGTCGTCAAACTTGCACAAGTGAGGCCCATGTGCATTTCTTCTGGGTTCTTTTGTCCCTGGCAAAACGGAGCCACAGTCACTTGCTCTGTTTTATGTGGCACCTCAAGAACCTCACTAATTCCGTGAACCGAAAGCCAGCCATTGTGATACACTTCCGGCAAAATGATCGACACACCATTGAGCATCAACACGTCTTGGGATCGAGTGATATTGTTTGTAAACCCCATCAGATTAGTCCTCAACACCGGCCCATCATTGAAACTCACCAAATCGCTCCACAAAAGCCTGCAGGGCACCACATGGCGATGAAATATGGAGGACTGCTCACTCAAGTTCCCAACTCAGTTCATCAAGACTTGGTCAAATGGAGCAAACACAGTCATCATGGTCTAGTACTTGAAGAAAACCCATGAAATTGCATTTCAAGAAGCGAAGCCATAACGGAGCACCCTTTCGACCTCAGCGCATTCCAAGAACCTGTCAATTCAGAAAATTATCAACGACCCATGATCGAAAATTAGGGAAACAATGATGGGGACATTGTTGAGTGAGACTATGGGGTCGTAGGCCAAAGTGGTGACGGAGAGAGAGAGGTCAAAGAGTAAAGTTGAGATCTTGGCTCCGTAAGGCAGGGACTTTAGGGATCAGAGAGAGAAATAAAAAGGGATAATGTGGAATTGCAGGAGGTTCAACGGTGGTTGACCGGAGTGAGAGAAGGGGTCTTCTGTGGGGGTGAAGATGGTGAAAGAATGAGACTGGGAGGAGATGAGGGTTTGAGAGGCGAGGTCGAGGGTCAGAGCCATGGAGGTGTAGCCAAAATCTGAAAGGATTTCGGATGCGTTGACGAGGGTTTGGGTGGTGAGGGCGGAGGAGATAGAGAAAGAGAACTGAGAGGATGATGAGAGAGAGAATGAGTTGGGCTGCTGCCATTGTTGGAGGTTGTTCTTCATTTCTTGGAGTTTGGAGAAGGGTTTGGTTTTGCAAATGAGTTTGGGTGTAGTTGCAAATTCAGAGAGTATTTGAATTTGTAAGGGAAGGTTGTTTTTTGTGGGTTAAGATTTGACGACTTCTGTTAGGGCTGGATGGAATCTACGCAAACTGAGACAATATATGGAGTTTCATAGGGGAAAGTGAGACACTTAGAGTTTCAGGGGGGAAATTGAAATTGAATTTGAGTTACAGGGGGCATTTCAATAATTTAGCCTTCCGTCATTCATGAAATCTTTCGTACTTTTAAATTTCCTCATCTAAACGCACTATAAAATCTCATACCATTTTTATACAAATGAAATTGGGACACGAAGTTATGCATGTCAACCCACAAGATGAAAAATGTCGAGATAAAGTTTGGATCAATCTGCCAAGAGCCAATTAATAAACGAATAACTTCCAAGTAAATCCATCAAGTGCCAATTCCGTTTACAATCCAAGACATTTAATTCATTTAACTTTATTTGTTTATTTTTATTGAGTTAAAAATTATATGTTTAACATTACATTTATGTTTTTTAAATAAAAATTGTGTATTATGACAAGTTTTTTTTAATATGAATGTTGATAACAATAAATATTTAATCCATTAGTTCATGATTTGGAGGGTTGATTGTGAAGTCTTCAACAATATTGTTTAGTCTTCAACAATATTGTTTCTTCTTCCTTTTTCCCTTGATCAGAAACATAGAAATTGACTTTATAAACTTGAAGAAGCAGTAACTAAACCTAAGGAGCTTAATAATATGTCTTAAAACTAAGCCCTCCTCTCTATCCACCTCCTAAGAACCGTTAAGGAGATGGTGTTCAAAAAAGAGCCAAATTGTATTGTTTCAGAAGTTATAAGAGAAAACAAACAACAATGTGAAGAAAAAAAATATTTTTAGATAACTTAGAACCTTTAAACCTTCTACTCTTTTGTATGTGAGGTAAAATACATCTAGGCTGAGCTAGGCTACACCATGGTGCTAGTGGTCGGGCTATGCCAGACCACAGTGTTAGTGGTTGGGCTGGGCCAAACCACATCGTTAATGGTCAGGCTAGCCTCGAGCCTGGTCGCCATATATTTTTCCACCCTTACCCATGTGGACTTGTGGGCCCATTTGAGCTCAGCCTCAGTATATATGAGTTTGATTTACGTGGTGTTCACTCAAAAGACTTCTAATTCCAAAGAAGTTTGGATGTTTCGGGATCACCAAGATGCCAATCTGAACGGAGTCTTAGTCCGAGGAGGGTTAGGTTGTTCTGGAGTCCTAGTTCGAGGATATATGGTTTGCTCTAAAGTCCCACTCCGAGAAATATTAGGTCGTCTGGGATTATATAAAAGGCTAAGACCATCCTCTATGAAAGGTATGCAATTCTAAGCATTGTAACCTATTATGCAATTTTACTTTCAAACACTCAACTAACTTAAGCATCGGAGGGTCCTTGCCCGACACCACACCGGTGTCACCCACTGAAGCTATCTTGTTTTACAGGTTCTGAAGGATGACTTGGTTGGTCATGTTGACTTAGTTCGGAAGAATTGTTTGACCTTTATCTCGAAGAGGTCATCTTCTGTTAAACCAATTTTAGGCATCAACAATTTGGCACCGTCTATGGGAATCGACTTTTTGTTGATTTTCATCTAAATTTTTAGACAACAATCATTTGGTTGACACCATGAGTCAAGAGTCCAGCCAAGACAAACTCGTCACCCTTACTGTGCTTAAGAAGGGGAGGAAGAAATCCAATCGCCTAACTAACATCGAGACCTACCTGAAGGAGATGAGGAAAGACATTAACAAACTTCGTGATAAGAACAAGGAGGTTGGAGAAGAATCCGAGAAAACCCATACAAGAAGACAATGAAGGCTAGAAGAGTGGCACCAAGAACATGGAGATTCTCAATGCTACGGACCCCAACGCGGAGGCAAACTTCAATGTAAGGGACATGATGATGAAGAGGGTGAGAGCCATCCCCGATCTCCTAATGGAACGAACCGTGAGAAGCTGCAAACTTTCAAGCCTAGCCCTTACGACTTATTCTTTAGTTTCTCTTGCATGTCAGCCGAAAGCCAGAAGGAATATCTTGACTAAAGGGATTTGCTTGAGACAAAGAAAGCTCAATATCGCGATCGTGAAGTCAATCATGATCGTGATCGGGAAGTCGATCAGTCTGAAGTTCGCCCTAATGCAGATGAGCATGCTGGAGAAAGTAGAATTTTGGAAGCCATGAAGTGGATGCAAAATGAGATGGATTAGAAGCTGGAAGTCTGCCTAACAGGCCTTGAGCGTGAGCAAGGTCCAGGACTTCTTGACCTAGCCATGACAACTAACACCCTACCATTCACTAGGGACATCATTGAATTCAAGCTCCCAAAGGATTTCAAACAACCCATGATGCAACTCTATGATGGGACCACCGATCTAGTGGACTTCCTGAACAACTTCAGTTACTGGATGAACGTGAAGAATGCCAGGGATACCATGAAATGTCGAGCTTTTCCTCTGCTATTAGAAGTATCAGCTAAGGATTGGTTCAAGTCCTTAAAGTCGGACTCTATCAACTCATTTGACCTATTCAAACAGAGTTTCGTGAACCAATTTCTATTTGCCTCAAAAAAAAGATACCCACCTAACTACCTCCTCAGCATCAGGCATGGTCATAAGGAGAAGTTGCCAGACTACATCAACCATTTCAATCGAGAAGTAATTAGCATCCCTAGTTGCTCCAAAGTTACGACCTATACTGCCCTTCTAACTGGGTTCCAAATATGACCTTTTTTGTTCCATGTCAATAAGTTTCCAACTTAGAGTTATGAGGATCTGGTGTCCAAGGCATATCGTCATGCCATAGTTGAGGAGATGACATATGATACACTAGAAGGGAAGGATCCGTCGCAGTCTGGTGTAGGAGATAAATGGAGAGAAGATCATAATGATGTACACGAAAAGCCAGACTACAAGAAAGGAAGATTTGAGAATTCTAGACGAGGTGGTCCTCTCAGCTCAGACTCTTATGATATGCTCCAACTTCCAACCCCGAATGGAAGGTTTGACCCACCTATCTGCAAAACCCCATATACACCGTGTATTAGACCGTCAACCAATCATACAAAGGTGCACTAATTAAAAACATGTTGATCTACATGACATGCAATTGCTCACCTGCTCGACGGAAGCAAGTTTGAACTCGAGCACCAAAGCCCAAATCACCCTCTCTAAACTCCCAATTCCCTGTAGCAAAGGCATACTTGTTTTTCCAAGCTTTCTTTGAAGGGTTATTTGTTATCAAGGCACCTCTTATATTCATGAAAGCACAAACATACCATCACCCTGTGCTACCTGGATGCTTCTTCAGACAATATTGGTTTGCGAACTGAGCAAAGAAAGGCTCACCAAGCCCTAGTTACTTCCATAACACATGCATGCTCAACTAGGCTATATAGACATTTGGGTTGATTTGCATGAGAGCCAACCCTAAGGTTCTAAGGAATTTATGGACATACGGGTAGAGGGGCAACCTGAACCCACACAAAAAGAACCCTGGGTGTATCAAGACCGAGCCATTTGGGGGCTGACTTGCCTTATCATTCTTCCTAAGCAACCTCAACTCTATTGTGTCTGGGATCCCATACTCCAACCGCAAATTCTCAAGCTCACCCTTGGTCATCTCATTTTTTACCTTATAAACGCTATATTGACCTATTCTCTCTGCGACCACCTTGTTTTCCATATTTACCTCATCATCAACAAGACCGTCATCTCCTCCTACTGGCTTGGCTTCTTCATCCTCATCGCCCCATTCGCTTTCGTCTCTCGGATCCCAATGTCTTTCCCAATTCTCAATTCCAAATCGTGAACTACCAAATTCAGACATCTACGCGACACATCTCATGTTCTAGAATGGGGACTTACCCAACTCAGATGGCGAGGTTCCTTTCTTTTATATTCTGACCCCGTCGATAGATCATGATGAGCTCTCATACCCCTTGCTTGTGTCTACCTGCACTAATAAACCTATCATTCAATCATGACGAAAATGATATGGACAGACCAATATGACAAAACTAAGGACGAGCCACACGATGCAGCAACATATATTGGATTTTGTGACTATTTAAAATTCTATTTTTTCACTTGGCCTTTGCAGCAAGGTATATGAGGGTTCATATGAAGCACATGGCAGTAGCCCAGCAACTCACATCCATATATTTGGGTCATACCCACACACCAAAAAAAAACAAGAGAGAGAGAGGAACAAGAGATACCAAGATCTCAACAGCACAGGTGCGCTATGTCAACAATTTAAGGTACAATGGGTTTTAAGGAAAAAAAATGTGGAACAAAGCCTTGTCCCAAAGACTAATTCCATGACATAGTCACATAAAGAGGGACAAAACCCCAAACTTTTTTCAACATATCAAGACACATGGCCTCCTAGTATCACAAGGTAGTGAACTATTTGGTTTATGTTTACTTCAACAGATATATTCATAACAAAGAAAGGCAGTCAAAAATTCATAAAATTCTCCATGTTTCCATATGTCTGGGGACTTTTTCCTTGTGTTTTAGTCATCACACCTACCTATTTGGGTATTGGTTCTCATACATGGGTTGCACACCAATATACCAAACCCATGGGTTTCTATCAACATATTGGCCGTGAGTTTTCAAATATAGGTCATGTTCATAAAGTCCACCATGGTTAAGTATTGCGAACTTGGCCCATATAAATATGAGATGTTGCCATAGAGTTCATCAAGTTCACACAATCCATGCGTGGTTACAATTCATCACATATATATATATATATATATGATGAACTGTGTTCTTTTATATATACATATAAGAACACATCGATTTCCTACAAAATGTCACTGGAGTAGGCATGAAGTTTCACACATTGTCAATTCATATATGGCCTCTACCAAAACAGCAACAAATGATTAAACAGCAAGAAGACAAGCATGCGTCCAAATAAAAAATAAATAAAAGGGAAAGTATGGATCTCTTTTTACAAAATAAAAGGTGGGGTGGTGATGAGATCTTACCCCCTGGATGTATTGGCGTGGCTTGTATCGAATCTCAGGCCTTGTCTTTCCACTACAACGTCACTCTCCCATTCCTTTCTTCTCCAAATAACAACTAGGTTGGGGGGTGGTATGTTTGCATTTTTTGCTTTGTATTTTCGTGGGCTGACCCCAGCTCTTGGGTTGTTCTCATTTCAAAAATGAGGCTTTGTCTTGGAAAGCTCAATTCTAGTTCTCCACCAATCCCTACTTGCCATGTGGCGTCCCTACCATTGGATATTTTTAAGCATCATCTTTTGTTATTCTCAAAGACACGCCAAGTTTGAAATCAAATATCAGCTGTACAATTAAAACTAAAATAATTGTACGCAAGCAGCCACACGGTAGTTAATGTGAGACAAGGCAAGCATCAGGTTTTATTATTCTCTTTCACGCTAAATTCTTACTCTCTCCGCCACTAACCAAGTCATTTTGCCAAGCTCATTTTTTGTGGAAACTTGGGGGACTCTTGGTGCCGATCTGTGACATGGGGGAATATTAAAAAATTATTTTATAACTTAATACAGCTAGCTCGGCCAAATTATTAAAATACAACTCCCCACACAAAACTCTTTTGTCTGGGGAATTGGGGGACTTTTGTTTGTGAGGTAAATTACCTCTAGGCCAAGCTAGGCTACACCATGGTGTTAGTGGTCAAGCTGGGCCAGACCATGGTGTTATGGGTCGAGCTGGGCCAGACCACTGTGTTAGTGGTCGAGCTAGGCCAGACCACAGTGTTAGTGGTCGGGCTAGGCCAGACCACAGTGTTAGTGGTCGGGCTAGGCTCGAGCCTGGTCACCATATATTTTTCCACCCTGACCCGTGTGGACTTGTGGGCCCATTTGAGCTCAGCCTCGGTGTACATGAGTTTGATTTATGTGGTGTTCACTCAAATGACTTCTAATCCCAAAGAAGTTGGGATGTTTCGGGATCACCAAGACGCCAATCTGAACGGAGTCCTAGTTTGAGGAGGGTTAGGTTGTTCTGGAGTTCTAGTTCGAGGATAGATGGTTTGCTCTAAAGTCCCACTCTTAGAAGGATTAGGTCGTCTGGGATGATATAAAAGGCTAAGGCCATCCTCCGTGAAAGGTATGCAATTCTAAGCACTAGAACCTATTGTGCAATTTTACTCTTAAACACTCAATTGACTTAAGCATCGGAGGGTCCTTGGCCGGCACCACACCGGTGTCACCCACTGAAGCAATCTTGTTTTAGAGGTTCTGGATGACAACTTGGTTGGTCACGCTGACCTAGTCCGGAAGAATTGTCTTACCTCGATCTCGAAGAGGGCATCTTCTGTTGAACCAATTTTAGGCATCAACATATTTTTTTTTTTGGTTGCTACATAAAGGAAAGAAAGAGAAAAATAAAACTGCTAACATAACATGCTGGAAGCAGGATCAAACCCCAACCCTTTTGTTGTGCTGAAGCGTCAACCAATACGTACAAAACTGTGAGTGCAAACAAACAACAATAAGCAAGAGACAAAGATAGCAAACCAAACAACAATAAGAACACCAAGATTTATACTGGTTCGGCTTTATACACCTACTTCCAATTTGGAGGCGACAGAGCAATCCATTGTAATAAAATGAGAGCAATACAAAGTGTTTTCACTCAAGAAAACCCAAACCCCAAATACACCCAAGCTCACACACTCAAACAATCAGAAGAGAAACCAACACTAATATAATATGTATCTAGTAACAAAAACAATTAGAGATACTAATTTATTCTCTCTTGGCCGATTGGCTTTCTTGCAATTTTCTCTTCCTCACACAAAAGTGCAGCAACTGGAACTATCTCAAAGACTCTCATTGAATAACTCACAACAAGATAGGCTATTCTTCAACTTAGGTTGCCCACCCTTATTTGTCCAACACCTCATTTGCACTAATAATAGTTGTACCAACCCCAAGTGGCTTCTCAGACAAGCCATTTCAATTAGTTGACAGCCAATCCAAATTAAAGGTGATGTGGCAAATATAAAACCACACAATACAAAAGGTGATGGGTTTTAATGTTGAGCTAATAAGTCAATAATCTCCACCTTGGCTCAAGCATTGAATTGAGCTCCCAAAGTAGAACACCCAACTGTAGCCTCTCAATCCCCTAATGGACAATTAACAAATTTTACAAATGCCAATCAAGTCTAAGCCATGCTTAAACTTGAGCAAACCAACTTTCTTTGTCAACATATCCTCAGGATTATCAGCCGTTCCAATCTTCTAAAGAGGAATATCTTCCTCATCCACAATCTCAAGAACAAAATGGAACCTCACATCAATGTGTTTCGTCCTTGGATGATGAATTTGATTCTTTGCTAAATGAATGACACTTTGACTATCACAATTAACATCCACATGGTCCTGTAGGACCCCCTAAGTCATCAAGCAACCTTTGAAGCCAAATAGCTTCCTTAATAGCCTATGTTATCCCCATGCATTCAATATCTCACCCTCTCAAACCCTAAAAGCTCCAAACCTCCCAACCTCCACCACACCTCTTCGTCGATGCTAACCACCACCACCTTGTACCACCATCCGCCTGCCACCTTATTTTTCAACTGCAAGTGAGCAAAATTGATTTTTATAAATTTATAATGATAATATATATTGTTGATATTGATATTTTTTTTATGGAATGAAATTTATGGATATGATAATGTGGATTGATTGAGTTTATAATTGATTGACACTTTGGATTGATTGAGTATATTGAATATTGATTGCTATGATAACTTGGTATATTGAATATTGACTATTGATTGATATGATAATTTGGTATATTGAATATTTGTAGTGGGTTATTGACATTTTCATATTCATATGATGATTTGGATAAAAATTAATAATTGATTGAACTAATTGATGTGTAGATTTATGGAACGATTCTTTAAAAGAAAATTATCCACGAATAGTCCTTCTCCATCTAATCCGGGTAGTTCAAGTGCAAGACCAATTGAAGTAGATGAGATATTGGCTAATCTTCAGGCATACCTTGGACTTAGAACTCGAATGATGAATTATAGTCCTAATATTCGAGATGAGATCCAAAGAGCATATCTACAAAAAAAGATCTTGTTAACCTATAAGTCATAGATTCCACAAACTAATCAATCAGGAATTAATAGACACTTCATTGCCCAATGGTTTGATGAGTTTGATTGGTTGGAATATAGTATATATAGCTAAAGATGCTATGTTTTGTCTTCATTGTTATCTCTTTAAACCTAATTTTGATCAAGTGGGTGGTGACACATTCACTAGGGTAGGCTTTAATAATTGGAAGAAGGGAGAGGAAAGATTTAACCTTCATGTTGGACCGATTGACAACCAAGCAAGAGAAGTTGCTTACAATTTGATGCATCAAACTACACACATTGAAATAGTTGTGATCAAGAAAACAAACCAACCTCGCACGGTTTATCGCACTTACTTGAATGCATCACTCAAATGCATTAGGTATTTGTTGTGACAATGTCTTTCTTTTCGTGGTCATGATGGAAGCTACGCTTCAAGTAAGAAGGTGAATTATTTAGAGCTCTTGCAATTTCTTGCGGATCATGATGAAAAAGTTAAGAGTGTTGTGTTATAACAGAATGAGTTGCAACCGCTTCAGTGGAGAGGGCATTTTTGGGGATGAATATTATAAATAAATCCACTTCACAACAGAGTGGGAGATCATTGGTTGAATGATAGCTTAATTGTTTACATTGAGAGATATGTTTTTGCTTGTATTGATAACAAAACTATAATGCAATGTTTTTAAAAACTGAAAACTCGTCATGGACAATTGTAAATTGTATTATTGGTTTTGCCATGAATTATGAATGGAAGTACGATCTTTCTATTTTTTTTTAGTATTATTTTCTTTGTAGAAAATTTTCAGAACTTTTACACTATGACCTCTTGGCCACAGAATCCTGGATCCGCCAGTGGTTGCCATATTCCATTTTGTTTACAAAACAAGGTGAAGCTATTGTGCATTCAATATAGGAGAGAGACAAGAACTAAGTGCATCATATAGGCTTAAATATATTTACAACTAGCGTGTTTTCTTTTTATTTTGTTTACTTGACTTGCAAGAAAATAACAAAACCTACCATTGAAAGTTTTCTTGATACGAAAAAAATAAATTTTCGTGATGGTTCTTATTTATGAGAATGCTTCTCTTAGGTTGGTGTTTTCGTGCTGGTCTCATAGCGTAGCTTGGACAATCAAAGCCACATCAGACAAACTAATTCTTAAACTGAGAATGCTTGCCCTCAAGGTGGCATATGTCTTTCCAGCATGGGGCAATTGGTATCGTATGAGAGAGCAGCGCCTTGGAAAGTGTTGAATAAAGAGGAGACAGCTCACTGCATGTGTCTACATTATTTAATGACCTCTATTTACTCTGGTGCATTTTTTGCATTTCCCTTTTCATAAAAGCTTGGATCAAATTCAAAACTTATATATGAAAAATGTTATTAGTTTGATAGAAAAAAATTTAATTGGAAAAAGGTGTTGCACATGCGAAAGAGCTAAAGAGCTTGAAGGAATGGGGTTCGTTTGAGAGTGCTTATGAAAAGACTAAAAACACTTTCTGACAACCGAAAGCGCTTTTGACAGTGTTTGGCAGAAAAGTCTAGAAGTACTTATGAGTTATAGAAGCGCTTTCGGGAGAAGCACTCCCAAGTGCATTAATTTCTAGGAAGCACTCCAAAGTGCATTTCTAAGAAGCAATCCCAAGTGCATTTCTAAGAAGTACTTTGATTTTTTATGAAAATTTCAACATCTTTATAATAAAAGCACTTTTGTTAGAAGCACTTATGAGCAGAAGTGTTTCCTAGAGAACTCAACCTTAGTAGAATCTAGGAAGCTGTAAAACTCAACCTTTCCTTTTTTCTTTCTCACCAAAAATCAAAATTTGAAAGTTTACATGTTTTAGATATGATTTGAATTTTGATGGTGTATTCTTACTTTTTTTTAAGTTAAATTTATATTTATACAACAAATGATATAAGTACCAAATCAAATCAAATATACGAATCCACAATTGCTTCTTTTGAACCAAATCAAATATACGTCAAAATCAAATTAATGCTTCTTTTGGCTTTAAATAATTCATTGGTTATGAATAGGGCTGGGCACAGTCCGGTTCGGTCCAATTCAGAATTCTAACCAAAACCAAAACTGACACTGTTCATCCAGTCTGGTCCGGTTCAGTTTTAAAAAAAAACAATGGAAAAACCAGACCAAGCTGAACTGGCTGGTCCGGTCCGGTTTTCCGATTTGGGCCAGTTTACTGTTTTTCTTTTTAAAATTTTAAATTCTGTCTGTGTTGGGCTTTAGTAGCATATAAGGCCCTATTTCACATTCCTGTAAAAATTGGGCCTAAACTTAAATAATTTATAGGGCCATCCAATCCAAACATACAAAACATGGTTATCCAATCCAAACATACAATCTTATGAATTATACAACCCAACGTAAAAATTGAAAATTAAATTACAGACCAAATTAGAAGTTCGAAACATAAGCCAAAAATTAAAACATAACACCAATGAAGGCTTCACATATTAAATGATCACTGGAACGTAGGACTTGAGTTGGTAGTTCCCAGTACACTTGTAAGATCTACAAATAAAAACATAAACACATCAAATTGGTCCATCCCTCTTTTGATATTTAAAAATCAGCACCTAATTATTTATCAATACAAAAATCAGCAGCATACCCTAATATCAACATACAGCAGCAATAAACTAATAAAGAGAGAGAGAGAGAGAGAGATTTAACTGAAAGTCTAAAGTACAAGAACAATATCTACACAAATATTTGAAATATATAAATACCAGCAACAGAGTGTCAACTATTTATATATGACAACATTATTTAGATCAAATGCTTCCTTACTCACCAAATAAAGGATAAATCCCAAATCTGGTGGCTTGTTAGGGTAAATTGTACTTCGAAACAGAAAAGCTGCAGGAAATAGTACAGCGAAATAGTTTTTATTCTTATCATATCATCGTTAATTTTTTTAATTGTTTTAGTTTTCCATGCATTGCAATAGTCATTAACATTCACAAAAAATAAGCCACTACAATTTCTAATAACTATTTTCGGGTATTGTTATTCATCATTCAAGAGGTAAAAAGGTGCAAATAATTGGATTCCACCACAATACGCTCAGGCGTATATGTGTAGCATTGAAGTTAAAAGGAGTGCATTGATCTGTAAAATTTTCACTGATACATCTAAGAAGCCAAATTTGAAGGCATGCAAACAACACTGAGCAAAATTATGAAAACAAAATAAGCGAAACTGAAGTTACATAATCAAAACAAGAAAACAGTGAGACAATGTCTTGCTGAATTACTTCACATTTCAAGCATCAAGTACAAACTGGCAGTGCGAAAGGTATTTAGAAAACCAAGAACAAGGCATACCGTTCCACACTGACGATAGGATTCCTTCAGCTGCCCCAGGATGTTATAATGTCTATCTGTGCCTGTAGCATAGTCAAGGTCTTTCCCTAGCTTCTGGAACTCATTCCTACATTTAGCATGAATAAATTGTTTTGAGATGCACAGATTTGAACAAAATCAACATAAAGCCATTAATTAAACAAGTAACAATAAATAAGAAGCAATAAACTAATTAAGCATCCACCACATTCAAATATTAATTAATCATCACTACCTCCTGGTCAAAACTTTGCTAAAGCTGACTCGACATTCTTGTGCATCTTTGATTGAAATTTGAAATCTGCACAAAACAAAGCAAACATCTGTAAGCTCATTGAACTTAATGTGGATTAATTTAATATTTTAATGACCAATTAAGCTTGTAATTAGCTAGGCAAGGAGCAATAACGCAAATCTAAAAGTGCTAACAAAAGAGCCATAGATTGTGTCTGTTGCATGTGAAAGCAGCAAACTCGGGTTTTAAAGCAAAGAATCGTTCGTACCCCTAGAAGCCAAGCACAAGGCACTGGAGATCAATATTCCTAATCATAATCACAGGAAAATAGTCCCCCAAATTTGTGCTCAGACAACAAGATTTCCAAATCACAAAAAATTACGAACACATCCAAAATAGCAAGCAAACAGAGAGAGAAGCGGAAGATCATGACTTACTTGAGGTGTGCGCTGCGTGATTTTCGTTGTCGACGGCAAGGAGCGGCGGCGTGGTCTGCTGCGTCTGAGAGAAGAGAAGCAGACAGAGAGAGAGAAGGAGAAGAGGAGACTGAGGGAAACCTAATTTGCATAAACTTAAGGGGCCTGTTTCGTTGTAATCAGATATGGCCAGTTCTATTCTAACAAAATAGAACTGGCCTAATAAAAAATATTTTTTATATTGTATATTATATAATATATTTAAAAATATATATTAAATACTGGACCGGTCTAGTCCAGTGCTGTCTTCTGTAAAATCGGAACTGAAATCGGTTTGAACCAGTCCAGTCTAGTCCGATTTTGTTGACTTTTTAGTCAACTCGGTTTTTTCTGATTTTTTTTTATCCGGTCCGATTCAGTTTTCCAGTTTTCCGGTTCATATGCCCACCCCTAGTTATGAAAGAAGCTAAGTAAGTGGGCCGGTATTTGAAACACTACAAGTACTTGAAATAGTTCCTCCACTCGACATAGTTTGCGAGGAAGATGTCCATGTCTTCACCAACAAGTGTTTCAAATTCTTGATAGCTATATTGACATATATTCAGCAAAGTTGAAGCATCAAAGCCAATATCAAGGTGAAAAAAAATACTAATTAAAGATCAAACTACTCACCTCCACATGTCTCATATCTATTCCATCTTTTCATCAATCTCTCTTATTACTGAAGTTATTTCTCTATATGTAGAGAAATGGCGAGAAGCTTGACTTAAGAGCAGTGTGTCGGCACTATATAGAGAGTGAGAGAGTTAATAACCTTGTGTACTAGGAGTGCAAGCCGAGATCGTCTGATGACATTGTTCGTAGTGAAGAGAACACAGTCTCCATGTAGCGTCTGGGTTGTGTCGTGGGTTGCGAGGGACAAGGTGGGGTCAACAAAAAAACCCAGCCAATTTCAGGTGGATAGATTAGGGCTTGTGTTGTTTTCGGTAGGTGTGGGTGTTGTGTGGATGAATGGGAGTGTCGTGAGAGTGGGTGGGTGGGTGCGGTGATGCCAGTTGTGAGGTAAAGTGTGAGTCTGGTAGGGGGGCGGTGCCAGTGTGTAGTTACTGGGTCTTGATTCGGGTCAGGGTCGGGGGGGGGGGGGGGGGGGGGGGGGGGGTAATCGTTATCTTGATTGTTTGTGGTAACTCAGGGTGGTCTCAAGTTTGAGGTGTAGCTGTGTTTGTGAAGACCGCTTAAAAAACGAGATGGCAACAAAGAAACCGCACCATGCTAGAAAAGGGCGAGGACAAGAGCAATGACGACAGGCCCACTGTTGAAGAGTAAGGAGGCGATTGGGAGGAGAGACGTACGTCATCGAGTCGTTCAAGGGGGGGAGGCGGGGGGAGGAGAGAAGTAAGCGAGGGCGTGGATAACCGAACATGGTCATCGCCATATCTATCTGTCATATTTAATATTATTTCATTTAAACCCCCTTTTTCTTTCATTTTTTTCTAACCATATTAATCAGTGCAGTTAACTACTAAAGGACACCCATTAGAAAACATATACCTATGTGACATCATCATTATAGAACTTCGCTTCTTCATCTTTTGAGATGTTGGGCCTTGATTTGGTTTCTCTACTCTTTCAAGTGAGTTGAGATGTTTTTGTTATCTTATTTCGTTTTTTAAAAATCTTTTGCAGCAAAAAAAAAGGGACAAATCTGTTATAGCGATAGTACGTTTTGGTTGGACAGCCATACTTGAGTACAACTTTTGTTACTATTCCTTGAAATTCTCTAACAAAAGAAGAACAAAAAAAGATTCAATGTGAGACATAAAGCAAAAATACACATTATTCTATACTTTTAGGCAACTTACAACATTTAAACCCTATACCTGTTTTTTTTTCTGCGTTGTTGCTACGAAAAGGAAAAAGAGAGAAAAATAAAACTGACCTAACATGCAGGAAGCAGACTCGAACACCCACCCATTTGTTAAAGAAAAGGAACACAAAACCAACTCAACCAAACGACTCTTGTCTATATATGTAACCATGACAATTCAAGGCATATATATATATATATAGATTTTCTATTTAAACTCCACACTTCTCTTAGTTCACCTCATGTTCTAAGTTCGCCCCAACTTTTAATTTAAAATTTCACAATTTCAAAGAAAACCCCATTATCTTCCCAAACTACCCTTAAATACACCCCAAGCTGAAAAAATTAGAAATAAAATAAATACATTGCAGTTGCTACATTTTGCACTAGGAGTGGGCCATCTGATCGACCATCAATGGAGAATACATTGCAGCTTTTATCAGAGTGGAAGAGCAACAAGAAAAATAACCCAACTATTGAAGCAGCAGTAGCAGGATTATGATTTTAGATGCATACTGGAATTCCCAAAGTGACAATAATATTACTATTCCCAGCAAAAAAAAATACAAACAAATGGAACCCCAAATCTGAAATTTAATACTTTCTAGAGAAAGAAAACAGCTTTACCAAAACATCAGGTATAAAAAAAAACAAACAAACAAAAAACAAATAAAATCAATCAACAGTCAAGCAATCAACAAAGGGAAGAGAATAAGATCATTACAGCCAAACAATCAACAAGTCTTTCCATAAGCTCCCACGCAGATTTTAAAGAGGCATGCTCGTCAATGTTCTACGTCTCTGGCAATACGATGTAGAAGAGTTTGTATTTTTCTAAAATTTAATATGAAGAGTAGTGAGGTGTGTGTATAGATGTACTAGGATTAAGTATTAAGTTGGATGGTTTTTTTTGTCTTTTTGCACAATAATAAAACTTAATGATTTAAGTATTGGGGTGAACTAAGAGAAGTGTGGGGTTTAAATAGAAATTCTCTCTCTCTCTCTCTCTCTCTCTCTCTCTCTCTCTCTCTCTCTCTATATATATATATATATTCTACCCAAAAAAAAAAGTAACTAAAATGAGCTACTTGTTTTTATTTTATTGATAGTGATATTAGAAAAGCAAAAACTAATTTAATTTTTGGGACAATTCAACAAACATTTGGGTGGCTCGGATAAAAATACTTGGTGTCCAAGTCTTTTGTAAGCCAATGAGGGATCGATCTTAGTATAATTCAGTTGAGTGTACTATACCAGCTACTCCAATAAATTCAATTTGATTCAATTTGATTTCTTTTTCAAGTTGTTGAACTATCATATGAAGTTTCAAACCAGTAGAAGAGCTTCAGCAAAGACTCAAAATACAATAAATACCATCCCATGTCTTTTCCTTCATAGCTAAAAGCTCATCCATGCAATGAAATAAAAATCCCACCTTGACCAAACTCATTTTTTTTAATCGAAGACTGTCAAGCTATGCAACAATAATGCCCCTAACACAAACTTATCGAAATTGACAACAAAACGAAACTAATCCACGTCCTAAGTGTAAGTAATATCAGACAAACGTAACAATCAGAAAAATTACAGGTAAATAAAATCAACCAAATTTAGGAGGAGCACCCATAGATATCAAACAGAGAAAAGAATCAAAATAATAATAATAATAGATATCAGTATATGATAGATATAGATATAAGATACAAAGTGATATCCATCCAAAGTTGTCTATACTTTATCCATTTTTCTATTTGCTTGAAACACAAAAAACAAAAACTCCCAGAACAAGCAGAGAATATAATAATAATAAAAACTACAAAAACAGATCAAACAGAGAAAAATGGAGTGTGGAGCTTATTAAGAAGAATATAGTAAATTTGGCTTACACCCTTCAAATTCAACTTACCTTACCTGGGTAAACTTGTCTTTAACATTTTATTAAAAGTCGGATGGGAAATAGGCTTCTCCCTTTGCAATCAAGTTTCATCATTCTTACTATAGCTTAGAATCTATGGATTGTAGAGAGAGAGAGAGAGAGAGAGAGAGAGAGAGAGAGAGAGAGTCCCAGAATTGATACTGTAACTGAGGCTATGAAACAGTCAACCAACAGAAATATACAATACTATATATGCTGCCAGTTTCAGCATCACGTCTGCACATCTTGAAATGGTATTTACATCCTATGATATCCCTATCCTGTTCTGACTTATAAAAAAAAACAAACAAATAGATTCTACCTAAGCAAAACTGTAATGATAACTTATATTAACAGAACTAGAACCGTTACAAAAATTAATCTCTCAACCGAAGTAGCATCCTATCGTAGCCACCTAATGACCAAAGCAGAAAATTCACCAGAGTGAGTGTGGTCCAAGAAGTGCATTGGCTTTTTGCAACATCTACTTTGACTTGGAATGCGTCCATCTCCCCATTTTCATTGTCATCATCTTCCTTTTCTTGTTGGCACGATGCTTCTCCGCAATCCTCAATTTTCTCTTTGCATTTCGCATAGGATCAGTAACAGCCATGCGCTTTTCTTCATGTTTCCTCTTATCCCTCTTTGCCTTGAGATTCTTCCGGATGTCATTGTAAACCAGTACATAATTTTGTACGCCTAGTTTATTTCGTACACGTTCAGAAATTTCTTGTGCTAATTGCTTCATATTTTCTGGAAGACAAGATACGACCATGAGATAGCAACTTGTCAGATGGCACTTCAAAATATAGATAAACAATAGGAACATGAGATAGGGAGCTATCTTATTCTATTCAATATAGTAGATAAAGATAGTTTTGACATTTCGTGATATTAAACCACTCATGAATTCAACCAAAAATAAATACTCAAATATAAATAAAGTTTGAAACAAAGGTTTCACAGGTAACTCAATTTTGATTTTTGAAGCAAATTTATAAAATGGCCTTCCTTAGCAGAAACCAAAGTGGATATATACTCTTCCACTTTGACTGAAAAATTAATAGTGAGCCCTCATCAATGCAATGTTGCATAAAAAGGCCACGTACAAAAGGATCCATACCAATAATTTGTTGTGTTCTAGCTGTACTAGGATCGTCGCAGAGGGATGCAGATATGGCATGCAAAGAGCCCGAATGCAAGCTATTTATTGAGGCAGCGAGAGCCTATAGCTTTTAGGATATGCTGGACCAACTTTCTAGATACTTCTACTGTATGCAATTAAAATGGCAACATGGGGAAATAGTGAGACAGAAAACTCACCAGGAATCACTCTCCCAGAAAATCCTTCGCAAACTTTATACAAGGGCAGCAAGATTTCAGAGGCATGAAGCAGGCAGTCTTCCTGACTTATTTCGGATGAAATTTTTCCAAAACTATCAAAGACAATTTTCATCTGCATGGAACAATTACACTGATTTTTACCCCAAAAAAAATACATACTAGAGAATTACAATGTCACCAATAGTAATAGCTATTTTAGTGAATAAGACCAAATTTTTTTAAAAAAAACAAAAATTTCAAAAAAAAAAAAAAAAAAAAAAAAAAGTTAATAAAAAGAAATCAATCCTCTGGGACAAACCTGGAATAGCCTCCATTTGAAGGGCAATTTTTCCCATTTTTTTGAGCAGGCTGGAGACAAGCAAGTACCGAATATTCTTAGAGGGGCTTTCATTATTTTTGTCGCATATTCCAGAGGTAAGAGATAAAAACATGATCCTTCCTTTTCTAGCATCGAGCAACTCAAAAGCTTTAAGAAAACAGCCCTGCTCATGCTGTTCAAGGGTGGACCAGAACTGGGTGGGATCTGCACACTCTGTTTGTCCCACCAACGAATGCACCCCACAAATAGTGGACACAAGATTTTGTGTAATCAAATTACTTGCAGCATCATCAACAAGCTGTGTCTTCATTTGGCAGCAGAGATAAACGGCTATCATGAAAAGTCTACTTGGTCTAATAAGATAGTAAGTCCCAAATGGTTTTTCATGATTTTTAGCGCATGCCTCTGTGACAGCAGCAAAGTAGAAAGCTATGAGGCGACTGGAAATGCAACGTAACCACATGTGTGGATGCAGCAGTAATTCACAAATTGCTTCCCATATATCCTATATTTAAGCAAAAGAATGGAACAGTTACAACAGAGAAAAAGAGATTAGAACATCTTCAATGCCCAGATTATGAATATAAGTTTATCTATTATGATCATCTTTTCTAATATTTTCTGGACTACCTATTTCTAAATTACCATATTGTAAAGTTACAATTCGTTTGAGGGATTTTTGAAATACCATTAGTCATTGCAATGTTTTATGATGTGTTAACTAATGACATACCTCAAGATCCCTATCAAAGCATAGACCATGGAACTGATGCAGCATTTTCTCCAGCATCACTAATGAATAATATGCCTCCTTCCATAAAGGAATGTTAGTTTCATTAGAAAAATCTAGTTGCCCATCAGTGACTGCATTGATGGTAGACTGTAAGATACATTTAGTCACTGGTAATATTCTGTTGATATGCTTATGAAATTCTTTCTCCATGACTTCAACTGGCAATATCTTGTTGATATGCTTGTGAAATCCTTTCTCCATGACTTCAACCAGTAATCCCAAAACCTATCAAATAGACATAAGACATTAACCAAGAGAAATGTGAATGAACCACAAGCAGAGTCGGTATAAAGCTATGATAAAGGATTTGGAAAACAACTATGATAATCTCCTCAAAATTAGGATTACAACATTTGACACTAAAACATGAGACAGCACAAACAGAGACAAAGAACAATGCAGATCCAATTTTTGTAGACATTAATCAGATCCCACATCACTCAGGAAAACACATGCATCACCCATTAAGACTACATGCTTTCTGACATACAGTATGCACTCCAAATATGAAACTTCAGGCAAAGTGACTTTGTCTCCACATTCTTTTCTTATTTAACAAACTCCCGATGGCAAAATTTGAGAGAGCTTTGGGATATATGGCATAGAGCATTGGGCATATTGTATCAGTTAGACTCCCCCAGCACACCAACCACATTCGTTTAAAAGTGCTAATAACATTAGCATACTGAAAAAGTTCTTAAAAAAATACATATAAAATTCAGTCAACTTCCAAGATTACTTTTTGTCTAGATAACAACCTTACATATACCTAAATTGTGATATTCTTGAAAGCTAATTCTTCTCTACAATTGGTGGAGAACTATAATCATGACACAGTACACGGAAGAAGAGTAAGAAATCACATCATTCAAATAAGAAGGCTAAATAACTTTAAACTTGAGAAAAAAATGAAAAAAATGTACCTGTGCCCCAGCACTCCACAGTTGTTGCTTTGCACCCAAATACCAAGATAGGCTGTACTCAAGAATGGAACGAAATGAATGTAGGCTTATATAGCCAGTGAGACATTTTATAGCTGCACCAGCCAAGGAACGAACTTCATTATCTTGATCATTAGCCAAGCAAACCACCAAATGGACAAAAAATGTCTGGGATTGCTCATCCACAACGCCTTTTGGAAATTTAACAATAATTGTGTGGAGCATGTCAAGCACGGATTTTCTTCCACTCGAATGCTCATACCTGTGAAAAGAGTCAAGCCATCATTAAACAAAACAATAAGGAAAGAAAAAGTTTTCTAAGGCACTACTAGGCACTCACCTCAGATTTGACAGCAGAAAATCTAAATGCTGTTGCAAGCGTTTTTCAGAGAGACGATAATCAAGTAAGAATTGCAATAAAATCTTGCTACATTTGTGACGAATTGGTTCTACTTGGCTCGTTACCATCAATTCTGCAACTCTAGTTACAAGATCATAAATCTCAGGAACAACTAGCTTGCGGTTAACAATTGCCTTTAGAAGTGAAAGAGCAACAAAGGAGGGATTCTTCTCAAGATCAACAAACAGTGGAAGCTGAATCAACAGATGTAGCTGATCAGATGACAGAGTGATTTTGGTGCCGCGCAAAAGTACAGTCAACAACCTCAGACATGACTGCATTAGAGAGCTGCCAGTATTAACTGAACTTTCAGCAATACCAAACAGTGCGGCCTTAATATTATCTGCCTGAGATTCGATGGCAGGCAAAGGCAACCTGACAAGTGGGGTGAGGCATCTAAGTGATGCAGATACGACATCTTCATACTTGGAGTTCAAGCACTTACCTAACAGTAAGACGAACGGATCTAACATTGACAACATTTGTGCATCATTATTTCCCAATTTCAAATTCTTTATGCGCTTCTGAAATATCCCAAGAGCAAACACTGAAATAAGATGTGAACATACTGATTTAGCACCTGCAACACAGCCTGACGAAACAGCTTTTCCAGTCAAATCATTTCGACGGCGTCCATTTACCCGTGTAATAAACAAATTCTCACCCTGGCCATTTTCTTCATTTATTCCATCTTCAATCAGACCATATACAAATATAAATAGGTCAGTCTGATCAACAGTTGGATTGTATTCAATACCAGCCGCTATGTGAGTTAACATACTTTCCAATTTTGTCTTGGTTTTTGGTGTCAAATGTTTCTCGAATTGAGCAGTAACAGGGGATAGAAGTTTCAAGGCGTGGCTTTTGAATGTTATGCTTTGAGCAATCAATCTCAGGGTTTCAAAAGACTTCTGCTTCTTAGTTTCTTTCATCTTGGAAGCAATCTTTTCAACATCTTTTTCCTCAGCAACGTCTCCAAGAATGTCATTCTGTACAATATAAAGGAGATCTTCCAAACAGTAGTCCAATTTCCCACTAATTGGAGTGACAAGAAACTTTGACAAAATAAAGTTCAGTGTGTATCCCAACACATGTAACTCATATCCCCGTTTCAATGTACTTCGCAAAACCTTGACTATAAAATGTAAGTATTCCAGCCCCAGCTCCTTCAAACAAGCAGCCAAAGCGGACCTAGCTTCTTCACGGATGCTTTCTAATCGATTCTTCAAAAAATTTGAAATTCGATGAACAATGCTAGGAAGCTGTGAGTCCATTACATCTCCCGGTAGCAACCTTAATACTCTCAGTGCAGCAAGATTGATGTTAGCATTGACCTTCTCAGAATCACTCAGTAACTTATGTATCTTAGGAAGCACAACTTTTTGAAGGCATGTCTGTATTTCATTTGCCAAAACAGAACTACTACATCTACGCAAGATTGACGTGCCAGAATCAGTGGTCCCTGTGTTGGAAACATTATCCAAAGAGTCGTCGGCATCTGAAAAGTGAAACTGGTCCAAGATAGAACAGATGAGCCTCAGAAGGAGCTTTTGTTTATTAGGATTCTTGATCATCTCATTAAAGCATCTCATCAACAATGTGTAGTATGAATTCCATTCCATGTGACTGGAAATTGAAGCAAGGGCCTCTATGCAGACATTTTTTACATGTTCTCCTTTTCCTTCATGCTCCTCCAGCAACATATTGAAAAAGAGGGGTACAAACACTTTCTTTGTGATGCCCTGGATGTGATATCAGCAAATTAGATTTTAGTGACTCGGTTGAAAACTCTGAGAAGTGAAACAAATCACCAAATTATTTTTTGAGGAAATAAAAACAGAGAGAAAAATAACCTCTGGCATATAGCTGGCATTGATAACATTCCTAAAGCGTGACAAAGCCCTTGCTCTCCTATGTTTCTGCACAAAGAAGAGTAAATATGTGAGGAGACTCATCACTCCTTTTCAAGACAAACATTTCCTCTGAATTGATCAGCAGTTGATTTTTAAAAAGAATATAACATGTTTTAATTAAAAAAAAATGACCACAGATGTGTTAATTAAGAATATAACATGTTTTAATTAACATGTTTTAAAAAGAATATAGCATGATGCAAAACTTCACCTGTAAGTGAACGATATTGTTGAAAAAATCAATTTCAGCATCTTCATCACAAAGAGCCTTCAATGAACCCAGATTTGCCACTTCTGGGAGTTTTAACACCATTTCTCTTAGTAAATCAATCCATTCCTGAAACCCCACCAGTCAATCATAAAGAGGGTGAAGTACAGAAAGAAGTGTATCTTGGAGTTGCAACAAATCAGATTTTAATTTTTTTTGCCAGTAATTTAGGCATTTTTTTTGTTTTTGGCCATTAACTTAGGCATTATTATTGCAATGAATTTTTAACACACTGCTCAACATTTGTCCTATATTAGATCGGCACTGACTCTTTGAAAAGTTCTAGTTACACATGCATGTGCATGGTCTGGTAATGTATTTACAGGATGTTGTGTGATAGTGCAGATTTGACTTCGTGTTTAATTGGCATTGATATACCGTCAGTCCTGCAGGAAGATAAGAACAAACTTATTACCTTTCTAATAGAAGTTCCTCTCTTCAAAGCATTACCCATATGGTTCAAAAGAAACTTGCTTGTTATTCTCTGAATGCATGCTCTTGTCCAATAACAATTATCAGAGGCCAACATCTTGTCAGGCATATCAGGCATTTCACAGTGGTTGTTCACTACTTGGCCAAGTATGAGGGCAGCAAATTCAACAAATGAACGCAATGACTTGTAAGCACTGTGCCTCAAGATTAATTCTTCAGATGACATGTCATAGACACAATGAGACAAAATGACCAATGCATGATCCTCTCGAATTGTATAGAATATATCAACACTGATCTTTTCATAAGCATTGACAACATTGTCATAATCCAGGCTACCCAATTCTGTATTAGAGGTTGCATTCAAGTCCTGGACAAGTTTTGCCTGCATTCCTTTGAAGAGTTATGAGAAAATAATGACAATTTAAAATTACAAAGCCAATGAAATTCTAATAAAAGAGAGATAAAGAGGGGTTCACACAGTACCACAAAGTGAACAGAAGGGTCTACTCTAGCAACAGCATCCAGAAGATCACAGATAAAAACACGCTTATCTAGATCAGTAGAAGTAAGTAGGGGAGATACTGCATTAAGAATTTTATTTGTAATCTCACTCCCCAATACTGGAACAATATCACGAATTACTTGCACCACTTCAAAACAAAAATCTGCAAAGTAAACAGAAGACTTTAAGTATCTGAGGTGGAAATCCTTCATTAAGTATGAAAGCTGAGATTTTTCAAGATATAATTACCTGAATTTTGAGTTCCATTTGCTAAAACTGGAAGCAATATATCCACAAATTTCCTGGCTGGCACTGCACTTTTTATATACTTCGGTAAAAATTTGAAAATTCTTGTTTCTGCGTCTCCTGGATGTTTAAACAATTTCCTGGCAGTAAAATAGCATGTGACAAACAGGAAATTATCAGTGCAGAATATAGATGAGAAATGTGGTTTAAGGTTAATACGGAAATCAGAAAAATGGAGGCTAAGGTTGTCAATCCCATCAAGGTCAAACAAGAAGATTCGTCAATCATCATGCTTAATGATAAGAAATGATCAACAAAGTTTATCTCATGGACATTCAATAAATATTCAAAATGAACGCTGGGGAATGCTACTATTCTTAATCTACCTTCATCTTAATACTAATAAAGAAACTAACAGATAACACATGGTGGTAGCCAACTTAGCATCAATTAGGCATCATCACAGAAATCCAGTAAACGAAATGAAACAAACTATTTGAAAAGATAGTCCTTTTGGTTATCAGAAGAAAGCATAGCAAGGGATTCCGCATATCGAACCGTATGTAAAAAGTTTCAAGCACATTGTATAATGGGACCCATAATTTGTACTCAACCTACAATCTATTTCTTGGCTATTCATTTAACAACAGAACAATGTTAATCAAGTTTGCAAATTGCTGTGTCCTTACTAAATTTTTTTTTCATCAGCTTAACTGAACATCGAAGCACATACATGCAACAATCACACATTGTAGAGTTAATGTAACGATAAGAGTCTTAACTCTTAAGATGTTATAAGCATTAACGAAAAATAGCAAGTCAGCTGCCAATAACTAGCATAGATACTTCTAAATGCTCAAAACTAGGGTGGATTTGCAAATGTAATCCTGTAAGCCGCACGAAAGCATCCATTGTGTCATACAAGGGAAAAGAAACACCAAGAAGGTTGAGTTCAATGCAAGAAAAGCAAATACTTCAAAGGAATTCTCTGCAGATATACTCAAATAAAGCAAAATGTCTCATAGCATGCACATCAAGGTGGCATCACTGCTTAGTGTTGTGCATGTGTGTCCATGTACACAGAAAATGACCCCATTATTACCTCTTGGCAGCATTATTACTGTGAAAAAGACTATGCAGGCTATCAATAAGTGCTTCAAGGTTCGGGAGTATAACTCTTTTTACAGCACTATCTTCATCATCCAACTCGTGATCAAGATTCAAAAGGTTCTCAACAAACTTAAGAACGCAAGATACAATAGCTTCAGATGCTGACGTGACGGTTAGAATTGAAAGTATATCAGGAACAAGTTTTTGTTCCCTATACAGTAGTGGTACAAGTTTTTGGCTTCTAGACAGAGCAAGAAAACAAGAGAATAGTGAACTAGGTTTCTGGCCGCTGGGTCCCTCCTGCTTGAAACCATCAATTAAAGGCTTGCATGACATGAAGAATAAGTCCCAGAACTCGCAACTAAATTCATGATCTTCATACTTATTGAGAACAAAGGATACAATTTTCAGACATAATGACCTCAAATCCTTAACTGCCTCAAAGTTGTGGAGATCTGCACATAGACCATAAATTGCTCAGCAAAATTACAAAGAAATTGTTAACTAATTGTTAACTCAATTTACAGCCAAAAGAAATTATGTTTCATATGCCATGTAACTCAATTTACTGTCAAGATGGACATCTTGTCCATGACCAGACACTGTAATTCACTAACTATTATTTAATAAAGTGTTTGTTTCTTCTAAAAGTAAATAGACAAATGAAGTATTACCAAAACATTATTTTCCACTGCACTGTCTTTTCCAAGCAAAGTAAGGTCCACATCTGGATAATTTTCAACCGAAGATCCATTGCCTTTTGCCACATCAAGACTTAAACTGCAGCTTCCTAATATTCGAACGACACACCCCATTAGAAAATCAAGAAAGGGGCCAACACGCGATGCATCAAAAACTCCAAGGATATCTTCAATCACATGAAGAAAACCAGATCTTTTCTTCCAAGATAGGGCTGATATATTGCTCAAAGTGAAATATTTTAAGAAATCCAATGCTTGAAATTCAGCCAAGGAACCGTTTGGCAAGGTCCAAAACCAGCTTGCAGCACCGTCACTTCCCATTGAAACAATTTGCAAGGGCTTTATTAACAACACAAAGAAAAGAGGAAGCTTTTCAACTTCAACTTGAGCTATGAAACTAAGAACTGCCTTCCGATGATTTACTCTTGAAAGCTGAGAAAGATATGAAATGTGTCATCCGTGGTAATTTAAACTGCAATAATGATGAAAAATGCTGGAAATATTGGCATTCAAAATTTATGGAATTATCAATAAAATAAACCGAAACAAATGAACATGTATTCTAGTGAAGCATTTGGGAATGTAAACATATAATTCATAAAATAGTACAATTATAACAACAATAAGACACGTCAAGGGGAGAAACAGTTTATGTACACACGGGCATGAAATTTGAGTACGAATATGCAAAAACTTCTTTTTTGTGTGTGCATGTGCGTGCTAGTGTGGGTATGTGTGTGTGTGTGTGTGTGTGTGTTTATGAAATTACATAAAATACTCATCTAGTCCAGTTTGATCTCAGGCAAAACATGAGAAAGTTGGACCCTTAGTCCTTAGGTAAATGACAACCTCATAACATATTTTTAAATTATCTGCCCATAAGTTCTTAAAAATTCATACTAACAATCTTGTTTATCAAGGGCGTGTTTATCTTTCCCACAATATGTTCTTTTACCCCGGTTCTGAACTGTTCTCAACCAAGAGGCTTTCGAAATATTGAAGCCCAAGTTACAAACTCATCTAACTTCCCTAGCATTCTAAACACCACATACATCCCTCCAAGGGGAAACTATGGAAATGAACTGATGGTGGTCTCACATTTAGATGTTTGAGAGGATTTGTTGCCTTGTAGGTATATCACTGATGATACTTATACGTTTATTCATTTCCTTTGCACATTCAGATCAAACCTGCCATAATCTTTTACGTTAGACCTAAGCTTGAAGGAATTATGCAAGAGTATGAGGACACCATGGCTAAGCCAAAACGAATAAACTAAATTTTTGTAAAGTTAGGCGCTAAGTGCTGTTTAAGAAGACTATGTTTTACTAACAAATCAATTTGTTCAATCCTAATATTTACCTAATCATACACAAGATTCTCCTCGAGAGACCCACAAGGTGTGAACTGATCATTTAATTCTGATGAAGGCCTTCTTTATAGAAGACCTTCTACATATGATACATTATACAAATATATACATGTATGTAAACATAATAGAACATATTTTTGAGAACCACAGGTCCAAGAATGATTAAGATAAACGATATCACAAGTTAAACTGAACATACCTTCTGAGAAGCATGTTTCTTCAATTTGCGAACTTTGGGCATCAGAAGACGGATAACCATAGGCACAAGGTCAGGTCTGTGTTCTTCTTCAATTAGATTAGACTCTTTGGATAAACTCCATGTTGTTAATTCTTCTCTCAAATTATGGAAGCTGGCTAGGTTTTTCAATTGTTGACTATATGGGAGCAGGAAATCATCTTTCCAGATTAACAGGCAATCAAGAACCCTTGTCTGTATTTCAGCATCATTTTCATCCAAAAGCCTGGCACCCAGGAGAAAATTAATCGGTTAAATAAAGGGTCAAAAATTGGAAATTATATATATGAAATTTGCACCAACCTATTTTGTAAGACCTCTTTAAGAAACTGATTCTGATAGAAGGACTTCAGGTTGTGCATCAGTTTCAGCAGGTTTAACCATTCTTTGAGGACACCTTTCCACTCTTTGCCTTTACAAACACTCGGATTGAAAGACCCAATGCTGCAGTCACAAAATAAAGGCAAATGAGCCCACAAAAATATTTTGACTAAAGGCTATACAAAATTCAAAATACCCAAGAACAAGTATTCAGTAAAAAGTATAATGCCAACTGACAATCACCTTTTAAAGTCTTTGCAATTGTAGCCCAGAAACTTTAAAAACAAAGGTATAATCTGACGGGACTTGGATTCAATTATGGTTGGAATTCTTTGTAAAGATTGAAGCAAAGAAGATAATACTGCTGCAGAAGGCGTACTATCAGACTTGGAAGTAATGCACAAATTAAAGCCTTCAACCAGATCTGCAAAACAGAAACAGACTGATCATCGAAGAGAACAACTTTGTAGCCATTCAGTGAAAGTGTATTCACATTTCAAATATATACATACAAGAAACTGATGGGCAGAAGTCATCCTTGAAAACCGATTACAAAAGCATGTCCATGTGTTTATACACTACACAATAAACATCTTAAATACACCTAGGCAATGTGAGACTATTCGAACACTCCCCCTAAGCGCCAAGGCTAGTCAGCTATACACCTCCAAACAAGGGGAGAGACAACACAGCCCAACTTTCCTGTGCATACCACGTTAACCAATGGGTAGAACTGATCCAGGAAAACCAGTTTATAAAGAAAGAGTGCTCATGTACCAGGAAGCCCAAAACTACCCCTGCGATGTGGGACTATGCTGGCTATCCAAAGGGATCATGTCCAACCAATGCAAAAGAAAAGGTCAAAGGTCCAATATAAAAAAAAAAAAAAAAACAAAAAAAAAAAAAAAAAAAAAAAAAATTATCAATATCACACAACCCACTTAGTATAAAAAAAAAAAAAAAAAAAAAAAAAAAAACCCGTTTTTTATCCTAGACAGAGAGAATTTCCAGAAAAAAAGGTGAAAAACCAACCCCGGAAGAAGCCTAACAAAATGACCATAGGATAATTATTCATTGTGGATTAAAACAACATAACAGAAAGAATCAAGTTGTGACATACCACTTGACTTGTTGGACAACTTAGAATTTACTTCCTCAACTTGATCAAAAGACGCTTGAAATCTCGATAGGCATTGTTCAAAATAATGAACTAATCTCTCCCATACAAGTCCAGTATTTTGGCTAATCAGAACTGCAAGGCACTCCGATGTAGGATTCCAAAGATAACTAAACCGGTTATGGAAGATACCAATCATCCCATTCAAAACAAGGGGCAGATAAGCTTCAGCTATTCTTCCAGCGGAGATGCCCATCTGTATTCTAGAAATCAATAGAGTAACTTTCCTACTGGTAGAAATTGAAAGCGGAGTTGACTCGATTGAGAGAAGGAGTGGAAGAACCTGATATTTGAACCAAAATCAGTACGGAATTTCGTATATAGAATATTAAATTCTAACAAGCATAACATGAAGAAACAGAAGCATACATTAAAGCCTTGGTTATCCACATGACAAGTAGGAGAAACTTCAGTTCTCATTTTCTTCGCAACTGGCTCATCCTCTGTGCAAATATTGCAATTTAGAGTTTCATAATGGCACAATATTCTAAGAGTTGAAGCACGAATCCCTCTGTCTGAGTGGCACAAATTATCAGCAAATATGTCCAAAGCATCTATGGCTTTATCCGCTTGTAGTTCTGGATGATAAGTTCTAGACTTGGTGTCTCCTTCCATAATAGGCCTAATATTTGAAATAGCAGGAGGTTATGTGAACGCATGGTTTTATACACAATTAACGGGGGGGGGGGGGGGGAAAACTAAACATTACACGAATATTCATACCCATACACGGAATCCAAAAAATCAGCAACAGCAACCAACACTTGTGGACATGATTTGTGTCTATTTCCAAGATGCAAAAATCTGCTTGTTTCGTCAAGCTCAGATTTTTTACCACGAGCAAGTTTGCAATAGGAATTTAAGGAAGCACCAATTAGGCTCTCCCAAGTGTGTTTAGGAAAACCTGCAATATTCTCTGCAAGAGTACCATATGAAAAAAATGTCAAGCCCGAGAAAATGGTCCAGTCATATCTGAAAACCTTCAATAAATACTACAAAAACATATTTGACTCAGCCAGTCCAACAGTTCAAAATATCATATTCATTCAGACAAAAAAAAAATGTGGTGAAAATAAGAAAACACTGATACATATAACAATGCAAGCATTCTAATTAACCGCCAGAAGAGAGATCCTGCTACAGATTTTAAAATGTGGTGAAATCATAGGTTAATGTTGCATATATATATAAGTCTACAAGTTTTTCTAAACATAAAGCAACATGGCATCAAAAAATTATCAAGCAAAGAAACCATAGGTTAAATTACAAAAGATGAGGTAGTGTACCTGCTTCAATCATCAGAATTTGATCATCTGCATCCATCAAATCCATCAACAGCGAAAAATCTTCTTTGGATTCTGCTATTTGTGGAAAGCAGTTAATGACTCCCCACAGCAGGGCCAAGTCAGCTTCATGAATTAAAGTGGATGATGAATCCCCATTTACAATACCCTTTAAAAGCCCAACCCAATTGCTGATAGACCCACGCATAAAACCTTGAATCCTTGGAACTCCTTCACGTGTTCTATCTAAGAAGGTCAAGCTTTGGGTTTCCATTTGTAGTTTTTCATTGAAGGTGAGTAACAAATAAATTACATCTTCCTGTGAAGTTTCTAATAAATCATTCATGGCCCTGAAAATTCAATTGAAAAAAGTTAAAAGCCTCATAATAGATAATAATACAGAAACACTCTAGGAAAAAAAAAAATCGATTGTACCTTAAAATGTTAACTGCGAAGATATCTAGTATGCAAACGTCCTTTTGTAAAAGTTGCCGAATAAAACCTAACAAGCTGTAACAGCAGGACTCAACAATGTCAAACAAACTGATCCAGAAAAAAGAAAAAGAAAAGGGAAAGACAGAAACAAAAAACATCAGAAGCACAAAGATTTCGTTCAAGGCAGCACCTTGAGTTCTTTAGATCAAATACAGGAGCCCATTGCAATGAACAACTAGATATGGTTGACATATCATCGTAACTGTGCAGTCCACTAAGAATACAGAGCATTAACTGCAAAACCTTATCCACAACATCAGATGAATGTTCCTCTGCCATTGTAATGCCAGAAGGCATGATAAATGTCCGCACAAGCAAACCCACAATTTCAAGCATTTGTTGGTAATCTGTCAAATGTTACAGTCGGTAGAACAAGGAAAAGACAAACATATCATTACGAAAGAAATGAATGCTTGATAGTAAAATAAACGAGTCAGCAAACAAAAACACTGTTTCACTCACCAGAAACCTTTTGGCCATTCTTGACTTGAACAGTAGAAACAAGCAATGACAACAGGCAGCTTAAACGTTCAACACCTCCATTAATTACAGAGTCAGTTATTTCCTGATATAAGCAATTGAACATTAAGTTCAACTCCTTGGAGTCCAAGTCATCACATAATCTTTGTAATGCAGAAATTAAGACTTCAACAACAGTGTCTGAACCTGCAGCATTTAGAGAGAGAGAGAGTCAGAGACAAACAAAATCAATAGAACTCCCAAAAATATTACTTACTGCAATAAGATCAATCATTAATATTTCATTTAACATAACGATGCATTCTACATAAAATACAAACTAAAGAGATAACAATAAGGTCAATAGACTGAGCACCCTTGAATCCACTTAACAGTAGAGAATCCAGGAAAATCCAAAATGATCAACTACTAGAGGAGGATCATACATCTCACCACAAAATCTAATACAATTTGTGGACTCCTAAAATGCATGGTTGCAATTATTCAACAAAATAAACAAATGAAAAGGTAAACACGAACATACATATAATTTAGAAATACTACCAATTTTCTCTTAAACCAACCAATCGTTCTTTCAAAACCTTTAAATTGTATTTGCACTTCACACTTAAGCCAAGCCAAAATCACAAACATATTCAAGTGCTCTTGGATAAGTACCGGATGAACCTTAAATGATGGTATACAATTTTCACGGATGAAATATGAATTAGTACAAGTAGTCATTTTAATACGATACAACTATATGTAAAAGCAGTCAACAACTGAATAACCTTACCCTGGCTGAAGTTTTCACCAATACCAAGTATCAAGTCATCCATCAATAAATGCAACACTTGCTCAGCTTTAGAATGGAACCTTGATGAGGTCCCTTGCATGACAAAATATAGTAAAGCACTGACTCCATATTTTCTGACAGGTATTGATTTCTGCACAACTTCAAACATGATCTGTTTGACACCTGCACCAATTCAATGAAGCGGAAAATTTATCAATTGCCGTGAAAGAAACTTAATTGAACATAACACTAGTATATATGGCATATGGCCAACAATTTCTAGTTATCTAAACTAAAACTATATCTTCAGCTACAAGAGACTGGATTAAAATATTTTTAAAAAGACATAAAGAAGGTCACTCTTCCATCAGATGTAGTGCATCTCAAATTAGAAACTACACATTATTATCCATCATTGACAAAATACACGGGGGAAAAAACAAACAAGCATCTAGATGATAATTGTCGTGTAGAAATAAAAAGTTCTAAACACATTCAAAATAAGGCATGCTTCAAGGGGACTAGTATAGAAAAAATCATATGTTTCCCCCTAGTCAACAAATTCAAAATGCGAAAACTGAAAAAATAAAATATGGCAAGGTTTACCTTTTTTAAGCTGCTCAAAAGGTGCATTTCTCAGCAAGAATGACATCCCCTCTGCCATAAATTCTTGGATGTAATCTTTTGGATAATATCTCAAATTTACAGTAACACTACAAGATATATATATATATCATAAGAAAAGAGAACATGAACAGAACGAGAGTAGTACATGGATGCCCACATGCAGTGAATATTGTAAGTATGGTCGTAGCATGTAAACATAGACATTTAGAAACCACCCATCTCCTTCACTTTGTAACATGCAGTGCATATTATAGGTATGGTCATACAACCTGTAAGATCAATTTCAGAGAATGACCGAACTAAACTATTGCATGCAGAGGATGTAAACTATTGCATGCAGCGGTTCATTCACATTCCACCAAATTGAATGCAACGGTATTCACAGTTTATTTCCAAACTTATGGTGGAAATTGGAATACAATCATTAGATATTCATATAAATTGAGCCAAAGAAAACTCAATACCAAAAGTTATCCTTAAAATAAGAAGAAAAGAAACATACTATTGAAGCCTGATTGGCTTTTTTTTTTAATAAACCAGAAATTTGTCACATGAATATTCTTATCATCTTTCTGAAAGTTAAAACGGGCTTATTTTGTACAAAATCTTGTGCACGTTCTAAAGTAAGAGACAAACAAAATCAATAGAACTCCCAAAAATATTACTTACTGCAATAAGATCAATCATTAATATTTCATTTAACATATCGATGCAGTCTACATAAAATACAAATTAAACAGATAACAATAAGTTCACTAGACTGAGCACCTTCGGATCCACTTAACAGTAGAGAATCCAGGAAAGTTAAAAAAGGGCTTATTTGTCTAAAATAAAAGCCTCCAGTTTGCTTTAACACATTGAAAATCAAAAGAACAAAAATGATACCAAGTACTTACTTTAGAACATGCACAAGCTTTTGTACAAGATATTTTTGCAAGTACATCATAATAGATGACCAAGATGTGAAGATCTGCACACAAAAACACCGCAAACTGTGAGTTCATGTAAAATTACATGTAAACCCCAATAAGAATAATGAGGAAATAAACAAAAATAAAATTGGACCTGCTCAATGGCCTCTGGCTCCCTATCGGCACCACATTCTAGGAGAGACACAAGAGAGTCAGCAATCCTTGGCAAGAACCTGGCAGAAACCCACACAAGTGAAAAAAAACAAAAAAACACGTGCAACTAGAGCAAAGGGTCATGATGTAATTCTTCAAGAGACTGAAAGAGCCGTCTCGAATAACTAGCAGACATCATGACCAATTAAGGATGTAAAAACAACAAACCACCAGCAGCTATAAATTAAATTCTTTCTAAAGGCTGAGGAAACTCACGGGATAAAGTCCTCTAGGAGATCTCTACACAGGACTGCAATTAACCTGCTCACAAACATAGATAATTTGAAAATGAAAAACAAAAGCTCCACTCTCAGAAATTAAAAACTCCAAAGATACAATCAGATATCTCAAAAGGGTTGGCATCAAATAAGTTACCATACCTGAGAATGGGTTCAAGCGACAACCTTGCTTTCATCTGTAATCTAGAAAGGAGTTCTGAGATTATGGTTTCCTTATGCAACAACACCAAAGGCAATGTTTGGACCAATGGCGTCATTTGCTCATAGAAAGCGATGAAATCTTCAGCCGTGTTCAATTCCTACAACAAAAATCAGCACCAACAATCACAAACAAGAAAAGAAAATACAAAAAAAAGCTTTAAAATTGGAGAAATATCTTATGAAAAATAGACACATACCCTCCATTCTACGAGGCAGTCCCGGAAAAACGTAGAGCCCGCTTGCGGCTCTGATTTAACTTTATCAAGGCTTCGGAATACATCAACTTCAACTTCTTCTAGTCTCTGAGAGAAGCTCTTGAACTGCACATAAAAACCCACCAAATAATAATCATGAAATTCTTTAAAAAGAAAACTGAAGTAAAAAGAACAAAGAGCAAGAAGCTTCAGAATCAGCTTACGACAAAACGGCGGCGTCCTGGGGATTTGTTGAGCGACTTGACGGCCTGAGCTTGTGATGGGGTTGCCATGTTGAATTGAGAAACTGCAGAAAAAGATGAAGAAGGCTTTTGGAGAATGAACGATTAGGCCTAAAACCCTAAACCACAGCAACAAAGTCTCAATCAACCTCATAAACAAATATAAAACGGAGGACCCGTGGTACATTATACCCAATAAACAGAGGACACGTGATACATTTATATATAAAAACAATTATAAAAACGATTATAAAAATTAATTATATATACATATACAAGAAGTTAAAGACTTATAAATAAATTTACCAAATATAAATTTCTGGAAACTAGTTGATCTAATGATTTACAGGATTTTATTTATCGATTTTTTATAATCAATATTTTTTATTTATGTATTTTAAAATATTTATATTAAAATTTATAATATTTAAAAAGACCACGTGAATTTAACAAATTATGAGTTTAAAAAATCCAATGACTTAATATACCACATCAGCTAAATAAGTTCTGGTTTTGTTTTTATCAGCCAAAAATCCAATGCGCTAACTGCAATTCTGCTAATAACCTCAGCCCTTCTTGAACTTCATGAAGAATCACCAGTACAAAAGGATAGATGCCCATAGTCAAGAGAATCAAAGCTAATAAAAATATGAAGTTGGGTTAATTCTTTCTACCATGCGCATTGAGCAAAATTCCACACAGAAAAAACAGAAATTAAGAAAGAGAAACTGCATATAATTAATATGAAGTATGTGGTGGTGGGTATAAGGGAACAAGACGATTGATGTTGGGTTGGTTCTGCTGCATGTGCACGTGAGAGGATCTGTTTTTTACTTAGAGCACTTCCACCAGTTAGCCCCTTGCCATGGCAAGGGGAGCCCTAGGGCAGCTACTATTCATGTGAATAGTGGCTGCCCTACCCCCCCTTAGAGCATTTCCACCAGTTAGCCCCTTGCCATGGCAAGGGGAGCCCTAGGGCAGTTACTATTCACGTGAATAGTGGCTGCCCTAGCTCCCCCCAGCAAATGTGTGTTTCCAGCAGTTAGCCCCTTGCCATGGCAAATACTATTCATTTTTTTGTTTTTTTCACAACTTTGTTTATTTAAACAATTAATTTGGATAATATTTTCGGATAAGATTTTTGGGTTCCTACGTGTCAATTCTAGATGAATCGGATAAGATTTTCGGTTTCAAATTTCAGATAAATTTCAGATAAATTTCAAATTTCAGATACATTTCAAAATTCAAATTTGAGATAAATTCAAAATTTGAATTTCAGATACATTTCGAAATTCAAATTCCAGATAAATTACCAATTCCAAATTTCATTTGAATTTCAAATTTCAGATAAGATTTTCATCCTCTAAAATTGCGCCACGTGTCATCTCTATCTGTCTAAATTTTTCTATAAAACCAGAGGCTCAGCTCATACCTCCCACACCATATCTTCTCAAATAAATAAAAAATTACAATGAAATGAAAGGCAAGCAAACTAATTTAATGGTACAATGAAATGAAAGGCAAACAAACTAATTTAATGGTACAATGAAATGAAAGGCAAGCAAACTAACTTAATTGTTTTGATCATTTAACCAATCCGTGTTGCTAGGTCCATCGTCACGAAAAAGTCTTCGTCTCATAACATCCCTTCGTTCTAGCTTCCAATATTGTTTTGTGTCAGGGGACATATGGGTTGTATCCATGGCCATTGTTTCCCGATCCTTATTTTCAATCTTTTCTTGTCGTGCATACTCCCTTTCTTGGCGTGCATACTCCCTTTGTTGGCGTACATACTCCCTTTCTTTTGCATTTTCTACATCAATTGCCCTATCGTGCTCTTGTTGTTTCATGTCCATTTCAATTCTCATGGCTTGCATCCTTGAAAGTTCCTCCAAAAATTTAGATGATGACTTGGTAGAATTACTCCCTCTCTTCGCCTTCGCCGCCTTCCTCCCAATAGGCCTCGGCTCCTTTTCGATAGGTGAGTCTTGACTCATCGGGGAATCCATAGGTGAATCCGATGCCGGTGTCTCATAGAGTGGCGTCTCGTTCAAGACTACCGTCGGACCCGTTGGAATAATTTGGAATTTCTTACAATTCTTCACCACCTCCCAACAATGGGTATGGTTGAAGCTTTTTTTTCCTTGCCCAGTAGCACCAAAAAACATTTGTGCTTGTATAGTCTATAAAAAAAAATAGGAATGCAAGAAACTTTAAAAATTATTGGCAATTCAACAAGTATAAAAAAAAATAATGGAAATACAAGAAACCTTAACAATTTATTAGAAATGAAAAACAAAATTTAAATATTGCAACAAACATTCATATTAATATTGGAAATACAAGAAATAGGAATGCAAGAAACTTTAAAAATTATTGGCAATTCAACAAGTATAAAAAAATAATAATGGAAATACAAGAAACCTTAACAATTTATTAGAAATGAAAAACAAAATTTAAATATTGCAACAAACATTCATATTAATATTGGAAATACAAGAAATATTAACAAAATATATAAATTGCAAGAAATATTTAAATTAACTTTAATATGACATAGAAATTAATAAAACAAAAATTACAAATAATTTACCTCACTGGTAAGGTTTTCCCCGCTTCTATGGTTGTCCATCGCCTTTGCCAAGGCATCCCTCCATTTCGCCAACTCTTTGTTAAGAATTTTCCACCTACTAGATAGTGCTTGATCTGTACGGGTCGTACCAATTACCCTTTCACAAAAATCCTGATGAATTTTTTTCCACATATGACAGAATTTCATCTCATTGCCCGATACGGGACAATGACTAATGTGGAGCCAAGACTCACACAAGCTAACATCTTCCATGACACTCCATGCCCCTCCGGTTTCACTAGAAGAACCCATAAATTTTTCTAGAAAAATTCAACTTGAAAGTGAAAAAAATTTAGACTAGAAAGTGAATAATGGTAGAATGAGAAGAAAATGTATGAAGAGGTGGTGTTAAAAGTGAAGAGTATTTGTTGGTATTTATAGGAAAAAACATCAGTATTTTTTGGGTATTTTTTCAAATTTTTTCCGATTTTTTTTTCATTTTTTTTCATTATTTTTTGGCCAGATTGAACAGCTGCCGTTGGATTGCTGGAAGAACTTCATCGGAGCGCCAGCGCATCGCCACGTGGAAGAGAGCCGTTGGGTGCAACTTCCGATTTTTTTTTTCATTTTTTTATTCGCGAAAAATGAGAAGCGTTGGATTTTGAACAACTTTGATCGGACAGCTTCAGTGCGCGCCACGTGGAATAGATCCGTTGGCGGGGCACTGTAGCGGGCGCGTCAAATTTTTTTTAATGTTGGCGCGTGCGTTGCACGCGCCAACGTTAAAAAAATTTAAACAGCTGCGCTGACGTCGTCGTGACGTCAGCGCGCTGACGTAGGCCCAAAACTCGTTTTGCTCCTCGGGCTGGACCTGCCCGAGGGCTAGCCCAGGCAATTTTTTTTTCTGGGGCCCACACCTTGCCCTGGCAGCTTTTGCTTGCTGGAAACATGTTTTTCCCCCAGCCCCCCCCCAGCCCTCCCCCCAGCCTGCTTGCTGGAAATGCTCTTAGCAAAGTGTGTTTCCAGCAGTTTAGGCTTGCCATGGTAAATACTATTCATTTTTTTGTTTTTTTTCACAACTTTGTTTACTTAAACAATTAATTTGGATAATATTTTCGGATAAGATTTTTGGGTTCCTACATATGAAAAATCATTTTCTCAAGATTTTTAGCGGAGGTGCAATATTGACTAAGTATGAAAAATGGTTTTTCGGAATAATAATTTTCTCAAGATAATTTTTGGCGGCTTTTATTCCTTACACATCAAATAAGAAAACTTGATTTTATGGGATTTTAATATAAAGTATATATTCACTTAATGAGCCATCATTTTTAGCCTAAATCGTATTTTGCACTAAAACCGATTTTTCATATTTTGATTTGGTGGGAATTTGATTTTCTAGTATTTTTATTTGAATCCAAATGGGGGGTACTTCCTTATTTACATTGTAAACTTAAGTAAATGGAGTAATATAAAAATAAATAAAAGTAAAAGGACAAAGACATTTACTTAAATGTTGAAAATGGAAATAAGGTATAGAGAGAAAAAAAAAAAAGTAATTTTTTGGTATTTTTTTCAATTTTTTATTACAAAAATATTGGCTACTGGTGTTAAAAGTGAAGAATATTGGTTGGTATTTATAGAAAAAAATTTCAGTATTTTTTGGGTATTTTTTACATTTTTTTCATTTTTTTATTGGGCAAAGGGGGCACTGTAGCGCGCTGACGTCAGATTGCCCTCGGGCCAGCCCAGGTAGCTGGGCCCCACTCCTTGCCCTGGCAGATCTTTGTTGCTGGAAACCCCATTTTGGGTTTGCCCCCCCCCCCCCCCCCCCCCCCCCCCCTTGGGCCCTTTGCTTTGGAAATGCTCTTAAGGAAGAGGGTGTCTTTGAATAATATTATTCCATATTGTTAACTCCATAGTCTACCTACTCATCCATAATTCTCTCTCAAAAAAGAAGAAAATCAATGAGTTTGAGATTTTACGAAAATTTGTTGTGATGGAGATTTTACACAAAACGTGTGGCAACCAAAAGAAGCCTGAGAGGGAATCAGATTTGCTTTGGCTACCGTATCCCATCCTTAACCAATATATATATATATATATATATAGGCCGGGCCAGTACCTGGTATCAGAGCCTAAAGTCCTTAGAAGAGTTGTTAGTTTGAAGGTTTTTTGTCAAGTTTTCTTTACTCACTAGTCATCGAATTGTCTAGCTGTCAGATAGGCTCGTTAGCCATTGCCAGAGAGGCGTAAGGCGTTGAAGAGACCTAGGCAGGGACTAGCAACCTTGAATTAGGAAGAGAACAGAAGGAAAGCGTAAAACCTAGACTATTAAAATGGCAAGCCTTAGAAGAATCTTGTCTACCCGTTCTTCTGGAGATGCAGGCGCTAGTAGCAGTTCTAGCCGTAGAACCCTAAGGGTAAAAAACTCTCAAGAAATAACCATGCGAGACGTAGAACCTTGTCCAACTAGGATATACCCAAAGCACTCATCATTGATATCTACTATAAAGGATCTTTCAAATTTAGATTTGATTATGCAATAAAAACTGTTGAAAAAACCATATCTGTCATTGATAAAAATGACAGTTTCCAACTATTTACTCAGCGTCAAATCGACCAGCATCTGGATAGAAAATATAACTATTTGCACATAGGCTTGGTGCAAGTAGCGGTGAAACCACTTACCGGAACAGGATTGCCCAGTTCAATCTTGCGATGTGTAAGAGATGGAAGACATAGATAGTTCACAGATTCCTTGTTAGGAATAGTCGAGTCAACCTTAGGGGAAGGCCCAATATATTTTATAGTAAATTGAGCTTAGACCCATAAAATTCATTTTAAATCACCTATAACCCTTTTCTTTAGTTTTCTATGTAAAATACCCAATTTTTCAAATAATACCCGATGACTAAGATCCAACTAAACAAGTTACCTAATATAACTTAAAATTTGATTTATTGTATTTTTCGGATTCCAAAACTACCCCTATTTGTAAGTTAATGTATTATGGGAGGTGTAACTAATAACACTCGTTGAATTTGGAAATATCTCCAAATAACTATAATGGATGTAAGAACTAATTTAGAAACTTATTTGAAATTAAATATTAAATTCCACATTAAAGTATTAGTAATCTATTTTTGAATTAATGGTGTTTTCATTCTATGAATTACGACTAGTAATCTATTTACAGTATTAATAATTTAAATTCAATATTAAATTTAGTAATTAATATTGTTTTCTTTTATGAATTATACGACCAGTATTCATTTTTATTATAGTTTTATGAATAATAGTGTACATTTTAATTATGTTGAAAAATAATTTGATAATCTATTTATTATTATTTTTAAACATTTTTTTTAATGAACCAATTTTTTCTCCAAATATTGTACCTATTTTTTTTTCTTTATTACTTGTTTTATAAAAAATAATTTGATCATCTTTTTATTGTTTGTTTTATGAAAACAATTTTTTTTAAATGAGCCTATTTTTTCTCTCAAAATAATGTACCTATTTTATTTTCTCTAATAATGTACCTTTTTTTTTCCTAAATAATGTACCTAGTATAATGAACTTTTTTTTTCTTCTAAGTAATGTACCTATTTTTAATTTATAAAAAAGTGCATAAATTTCAATTATACAACGTACTTATTTTCTATAAATTATTGTGTACCTATTTTTAATTCATGAAAAATGTATGGAAATTTCAATTACAAAGTAATTGACTTATTTTTGTTAATTTTTTTTTGGTAAATAATATACCTATATTTTTATACGTATATATTTATATTTATATTTTTCATATGTACATTATTTGATATGTAATTTACATTTTTTTTTTGTTGCAATTTTAAGGGGCCATATGTTAGAGGGAATGGCAACCAAAATAAATGGGGTGATTGAGATGCTATTAATATGGAGTTTTAATTACAATTATGGCAATTAATGAAATGCTTGGAATAAGTTATAAATAAAATATGAAGTCTGATGGCAAGGATGTAAAAACATAGGAACACTACAACCTCTTATATCCTATTGGTCATTTAAGTTTGAAATTGGGTTTTACACATAGATTTATAGAATGATGGGTATATGTATAGGAAATAGAAATTGTAGAGACCTATATTGGACAAGCCCTATATTTTAACTGTTTTCCCAACTTTTCTGTTGCACTTTCTGATATAAATGTCTTAAAATCCTTAACGTTGAATATTCAAACTCAGGGTTATGATATGGAACCAAGATCCCAAAATCTAGCCATCATTTATAGGGTTTCATATAAGGTTATGAACATTGTTTGTCCCAAAGCTAAAGCATTAGACAGTAAATGTGAAACTACCTTATTCCAAACCAATCTTGAAAAGTCAAATGTGGCCGTCCCAAAAATGATAAAGTGGAGTGATATAACTCTGCCAGAAAAATGGATCTTGGATGAAGTAGCTCCAAAAAGGCCCCTTGAAAATCAGGAGCCTACATGGATCTTGCAATTTGCTGATGGAGAGGTAGAAATACAATTTTCTAGTGCTAGAAGAACTAGGATTGATTTGGCACCCTTTAGATCTAACATAGAACCACACAGATCGAGCACCTCCTCTGATAGAGCTTATGACCTAGAACTTGAAAGAATGGTTCTAGCAGGACTTAGGAGAACTCAAGAACAAATACAGAGGCCAGCCTATAGGTTCGAACAAACCATTCCAGACTTAGGTTTCAGAAGAAATCCTCATCAACCTGAACCAACATTTTCAGATGTAGAATTTGAAATAAATATGATAAAATCTTTTGAAATAGAACACGAAAAGATTAAAAGAGATTATTTGAGTATTGAAAATGTTGATAAAAGAATTTGGTTTGAAACAACTTTTAGGAAAGATAGGCAAGACCATCTCTGGAAAGCCCACACCGCTTTCATAAAATAAAAGAAATTCAACAGTTTTTTCATTGCGTGGTTAGATTGGTGTGCTAAAAAGTATGACATCCTTGAATATAGGAATAATATAGAAATGATAGGAAGCCCTTTCTCGACTTATACTTCCAAAGATGGGAAGTTAATCAATACATCCACCCAAAATGGTGATTAAACAAAAGGATGTAATTGCAGCTTCCTACAAAGAAACCACTTTCCTTGAAGATAGTGCCAATAATTTTCGCACAGCTAGTAAAGAAGATGTAGGTGCTGTCATTCAGTAGAATAAATACACCAACCTGTTTTTGCAACCTTTAGTAAAGCAAGTTACTAGGATTGAAACATCTGTTTCAATGGGGGAACAAAAATCTGAACCAGGACCCTCAGAAACCAAAAGAAATAGAGAAGTAAGTCAAGCGTTCTTTAAACCACCTCCTGCCTTAGATAATAAACATTTTAAGATGGGAAGAACCTTATCTGAATACGAAAACTTTGTTGACGTCTTGGCCAAAAGGTTATCAGGGTTAAATTTGTCAGATAAAAGAAAGGGTCATCAAGTGTCAGTTCTCACTGAAGGAGAAATAGATAACTTGGAAACAATGTTTAAGCAAGAGCAACCTGAAATTAATAGGTTAATGACTAAAAAGAGATTTACGCAAACTGCTAAGACTAAAAACTACTACCCTAGACCCACACCAGTTGATTTACAGTTTGAGGAAGATGGAATGTGGAATTCCGCTCAATATGACGGAAGTTCCATAGTGGAGTGGAATATTGATGGTCTGACAAAATACCATATCATTAATACAATGAAACATATGATGATGTACGCTATAGCCTCTAAGATAAAAGGAAATGGAGATAGGAGGGTGGCTGAAACCATTATTGTCGGCTTTGTCGATCAATTGAAAGGATGGTGGGATTTCCACCTAAGCGACTCGACTAGGACCCAAATCTTAAACGTTCAAGTGGCCATTGGCCAGCAGAGTGTACAGGATCCAACAACTGGAGTCATTAAAAGTGAAAACGTTTACCAGGAAGATGCGGTAAATTCACTGATTTACACCATCACTCTACATTTTGTAGGAACTATAGAATTGCAGCATGATAGGTCTAGAGAACTCCTAATGAATCTTAAATGTCCAACCCTGTCCCATTTTAGATGGTATAAGGATGTATTTTACTCTAAGGTGTTTACAAGACAAGACTATAATGTTGATTTTTGGAAAGAGAAATTTCTTTCTGGATTACCAATTCTATTCGCTGAAAAGGTTAGGAATAGAATTAAAGATAAAAATGGTGGTGTCATTCCTTATGGGTCATATACCTATGGGGAATTATCCTCTTAGATCTACGCAGAAGGATTAGCTTTTCGCACATACATGAAATTAAAGAAACAGCTTGATAAGCAGAAAACTCTAGGAAGAAAAGAATTAGGAGACTTCTGTGAACAATTTGGTTTTGAACCAGTGAAATCTTATTCACATAAACCACATAAAAAGGGAAAGAAATTTGGGGGGGGCGTAAGACTAAGAAGTATGAAAAATACGAGTCTAAGTTTGAGCCTAAGAAACCATATAGAACCTTTAAGAAAAAGAAATACGCAGGGGAAACTAGTAAGAAGGCTAGTAAAGGAAAGAAAGGTGCGGTCCCAACATGCTACAAGTGTGGAAAAATAGGACACTATAAATCCGAATGTAAAATGAAGGATAAAATCAGTAACTTAAGCATTAGCGAAGAACTTAAGCAGCAACTTTGCCAAATAATGCTTAATTCCTCTCATTCTGAGCAGGATAGTGATAACGAACTAGCTCAGCTAGAAAATGAAGAATTATTTGAATATGATACTGAAACTAGTTCAGATAGTGAAAATGAGTGCGCTTGTCAATTTAATGATCTCAAAATATGTGTTTTAACCAAAGAAGAAAGTCTAATAATAGACTTAATTGACAAAATAGAAGATCCATATAAAAAGAAAGTAGCGCTAGAAAGCTATATCTCATTAGCTAGAGCAGAACCAAGTAACCCGCAACCAGTTGAAAACTATAGCTTTAAAACTATAGTAAACAGGATTAATGACAAAATTCACAGGAAAGAACCTACTCTCAATGATCTTCAGTGCGAAGTTCATGATGTGAAAGAAGAACTTAGAGAGTTAAAAAATAGGGTTAGAATTCTAGAACTTTATCGCCCTTTTTCGGAAAAAGATACAGAAGAAAAATAAGAACAATTAGAATTTGAAAATCTAATGGAAAAATTTCAAGAAAAGATAGAACCTGTGAGAAAAGAATCCCTACAAGAAGAGCAGGTTAATACCATGAAATTCATTAATAGCATAGATAAAGTGATAGCTCAGACTGTTGTGATTGATAGAACTTATACATTTATAGTTGAAGGGCTAATAGATACAGGAGCCAATCTTAACTGTATAAATGAGGGAGTGGTACCTACTAGGTATTTTAAGAAAACTACCCAGGTGGGAATTCAATTTAAATTGCCTAACGCTGTTGTGTTCAATCAGGGTATTTGTTTTGAAACTCCTTTTGTTCTGGTGAAAGGTTTAAACCAGTCTCTTATATTAGGAACGCCATTCATTAATATGCTTTATCCTTTTTTTGTTTCAGAAGAAGGAATTAGAACTGAGGTAGAAGGTCAACCTATAATCTTTAGGTTTTCTCAACCACCAAAGGATAAGTATATTAATGAAATTCAAGAAAAAATAAAAAGAAAATAAAACTATTTGTACCATTTGAAAGAAGAAATGTAGCATAAGAGAATAGAAGAGCAGCTACAAAATAGCAAGATAAAAGATAAAATTGATGAAATCCAAAAGATGTTCGAAAGTCAAGTTTGTGCTGAAATACCCAATGCCTTTTGGAATAGAAAAAGGCATATAATTGAATTACCCTATGAGCCTGATTTTGATGAAAAGAAAATCCCAACCAAAGCCAAGCCAATTCAAATGAATGCTAGGCTTATGGAAATTTGTAAATCCGAAAAACAAGATTTATTAAATAAGAAGTTAATAAGGAAAAGCTTATCTCCTTGGAGCTGTTTCGCTTTTTATGTCGAAAACGCAACTGAATTAGAAATAGGAGTACCAAGATTGGTGATAAATTACAAACCTCTACATAAAGCCTTGAAATGGGTTAGAAATCCGATGCCTAATAAGAAGGATCTTTTGGATAGACTAAATAAGGCAGTCATTTTTTCAAAATTCAACATGAAATCAGGATATTGGCAAATCCAGATCGCAGAAAAGGACAAGTACAAAACAGCTTTTAATGTTCCCTTTGGACATTACGAATGGAACATTCTACCTTTTGGATTGAAAAATGCTCCTTCTGAATTTCAAAATATTATGAATGATATATTTAATCCTTACACTGCTTTCACCATTGTTTATATTGATGATGTTTTAGTCTATTCTAATTCTTTGGAACATCACTTTAAACATCTGAATATTTCTTGAAAGTTGTGAAACATGCAAGATTAGTAGTGTCGGCAAAGAAAATGAAACTATTTTCTTCAAAAGTTCGCTTTTTGGGACATAATATTAATGAGGCACTAATAGTTCCGATTGATCGAGCAATATCCTTTGCTGATAAGTTCCCTGATTAAATTAGGGACAAGCAACAGTTACAAAGGTTCTTAGGAAGTCTCAATTACATAAAAGATTTTTATAAAGACCTAGCTCATGATTCAAAATTATTATATCAAAGGTTGAAAAAGAACCCAGTTCCTTGGTCTGATGAACACACTAAAGCTGTTAGGAGATTGAAAGTAAAAGTCAAAGAACTTCCTTGTTTAGCTTTAGCCAACCCAGAAGCCTTTAAAATCGTAGAAACCGATGCTTCAGAAGTAGGATATGGGGGAATCTTAAAACAAAAAGTTGATAACTCAGAACAATTGGTTAGGTTCACCTCTGGAGTCTGGAAACCAACTCAAAAGAACTATTCTACTGTTAAGAAAGAAATGCTAGCCATCGTCCATGCTGTCTCTAAATTTGAAAGTGATCTTTTAAATAAGAAATTTTTAATAAGAGTGGATTGCAAGGCTACCAAAGACATTTTATTTAAGGATGTTAAAAATCTAGCATCTAAACAAATTTTTGCAAGATGGCAAGGAATTCTTTCTGCTTTCGATTTTGATATTGAATTTATAAAACGTCAAACTAATGCACTCTCAGACTTTTTAACTAGAGAATTTTTGCAAGGTGAGAACCAGAAGTTCAAGCCAGATGACTCCAAGTAAGAGCTCCTAAGCTCTTATCAAGTCATCCCCTAATAATCCAAAGCCTCTGATGATTTCTTCTCGATACAATATGGGCAAGGAGAAGTAGATCGCTGAAAATCCTTTTCGTGAGTATATGAATATGTCAGTTGCAATCATTGAAATGAATGATTTAGATAAACGCTCAAATTTGCTGGCTGAAAAATATTTAAGGGATAATCTTCCTCCCTTGAATAAGCCTCGAATTTTCTATGAAACTGTTCTACTTGAAACTAAGTATGTTAACATCGTCCATCGTCATAGGGGTGAAAATGCTAACACCATAGCATTTTCTAAAATTCAAATTTTAAATGTCATTTCCCTGGAAGAATGGGGCCCTAGCCCTGAAAGGGCCAAAAGATTTATTCATCCTGAAATTAGGCCATATTCTTATATTTTCTGGGATTATAAAAAGGCATGGGAATATGTGTTATGTTTTCAAAATCAAAATTATTCCCATACTTGGTTTATCTAGTTCAAGCTTAGAGCTCTGAAAGAACTCCCTAATTGATTCAAGAGCTTTTTTCTAATTTGGGGTCCTACTTTGGAATACCTTCCTCCTGAAATTAAGGAATCTTTTCAAATGAAATTTTGTAAATGGAATAAAAACCATCCTAATCAAAGGACCTTATTCATGTGGTTCATGATAATGTATGAACTACCATGGATATTAAAATGGGAGTATGTTATTTCAGAGGATGTTGATGAAGAATGAACTTATATTCCTAATCTAGTCCTAAGTATCTTAATCAGATGGTGGGATAAATTCACTAGGGATCACCTGGCTCCCACCAAGATCATCCCAGCTCTTATCCCATCTCCCGATTCTGCTGCTACTCAGCCTTTGGTCACTTCTTCTGATTTAAGTGTTTCCCAAAGGTTACAACTGTTGATAGATCAGCCAGGATCATCATCCTCTAAAGAAGACTTCAAAAAGAAAGTCCTCGAGATTCTTGATCTGGACGACGAATCTATGGCCTCAGCATCTGCCACCCAACCTTAAGATGAGATGGACCCCTTTGCCAATGAAGACATGCTGGACAATTTCCATCTAGAGCTTTATAGTGGGCCTCAGTAATTTTCTGTCTGATATAAAGACAACTTGAAAAACTGTAATTTTATGCTTTCCTATAGTTTTGTTCGGTTAAAGCAAGATTCTCCTGCTTTAACTCAGATTTTTCTTTTGTAAAAGTGTGCTTTTTCCTTTTTGGCTTTTGCGGGAAAATTCAGCGAAGATTCTCAAAGTGAAGATGTTGCTCTACTGTAGGCTGCTTTGTGATTTCTTGTCTTTATTTGACACGACAACAGCCCCGAGGCTTTAAAAGGAGGACCTCTCCTCAATTGTAGAGCACCGAAAAAATCATCGCCTCCATAAATAAACTTTGTACGTTTGAGTGTTTTGAGTGCTTGAGTGTCTTAGTGTTTTTTCCAAGTGCTGCTTCTGTGAAGCTTCTACTAAGCACTACTACTCTTCTGCATTTATGTAAGTTTGCTAAATATTAATGTTATCGTTTATATCGTTTTTAGTTTCATTATATTCTTATCCCTGGTTTTGGCTTTGCATGTTTGAATTTATGATAATTATCTTGTTTATTCTCTACGTCTCTACACTACCTTCCGCGCATAAATTAAAGCCAAAAATCGATTAAAAATTTGCTCTTAAGAGGCCGGGCTAGTACCTGGTATCAGAGCCTAAAGTCCCTAGAAGAGTTGTTAGTTTGAAGGTTTTTTGTCAAGTTTCCTTTACTCACTAGTCATCGAGTTGTCTAGCTGTCGGATAGGCTCGTTAGCCATTGCCAGAGAGGTGTAAGGCGTTGAAGAGACCTAGGCAGGGACTAGCAACCTTGAATTAGGAGGAGAACAGAAGGAAAGCATAAAACCTAGACTATTAAAATGGCAAGCCTTAGAAGAATCTTGTCTACCTGTTCTTCTGGAGATGCAGGCGCTAGTAGCAGTTCTAGAGAGATATATCGAAGGATCTTTATGTCCTATGTGCAGCTGCTATAGCAAAGCCTCTTTGAGGCATTTCGTCGAACAAATGGTGGAAACCAACGTCATAGGGCATATTTCGGCCTCTCCAAGTGTTGGTCCTTTTTTTCCTCGTTCCTTTGGGTAGAGTCTTTTTGGGAACGGAGCGGGAGAGAGGAAGAGGTTGGGTCAACACCAATACCCCAATTGGATCTCTGGCTCGTGAGAAGACTAGTTCAATTTCTAACAAAGTTGAAAGTTTGATCAGGTTGAGAAAAGCGGGCGAGCACGAGCTGGGCCCTGATGGCTTGCTTCTTTTGGCCTGATTGTAGTTTGCGTAGGCATACCACTATTGGGGATGACACCAGCCCAATAGACCTAGTATATGTGATGTAGAATGTTTTGTTTGATGGATTTGCGCTTGTTCTGGACCTCTAATCAAGCCATTGTTCTCCAAAGGGGGTACTGACTCAGATGAGTTCTTTTCTATGCCTCTATTAAGAGGACTTCAATATTCTTTCAATTGTGCGTTTATAGCTTGGCAAATGCGAATAGTACCTAGCCAAACAGAAAAACCAATGTTAGGGTCAATGCTCCCTTGATTGGGCTCAAAAACCTAATTCGATTCAAGATAACCCCAAATTGGGTAAGGACTTATTAATTCAGGCCCAATGGTATGATTCGAGCCTTGACAAACCCTTATTTTGGGGCTAATGAAGCCCTATTATGACCTAGAACCCTCATTTTGGGCTTGTCTAGTAATGAACAGTTGTAACAAAAGATTCAAATATATAAAAAAATGCAGGAAAGTAAGATACGAAAAAGATAAATGACATGAATGCAAAGTATGATTAAGGTAAATTGTGGAGAGAATAAAGTTCCAGAAGTTGGAGATTTCTCTATCCAACTCCAGCATGATAACAAGATAGAATGAAAAATTTATCCATTTAGCTATTTTTAAAGAAAGTTACAATATTGAAGAGATTGGAGATTTCTCTTATCCAATCTGTACAGGTTTAAGATGTTTAAAAGGAAACTAGACTGACTATTTAAACAAGAATCATACCATGAAGGTGGCAAAGCAATAAAAGATAAACGCAGGATTTGTCAACTGGTTATCCGGGCAGCAAGTTGGCTATTTGAAAATCTTGAAGTTTTGTTCAAGTGTTTACAAGACGTCGCGTCTGATGTTGGAGAGAGAGTCCCCGAGTGCTACGATTGAGCCTCTATATTTATAGGTAGAAATTCTTTAACAATGACAGTGAAGGCTGGAAGATAACACTTGAGTCCAAAGTCAACTGCCAATTTTTCCTCGTGAGTCGATCCATAGCCAGGAGAAAGGATATCTCATATAAAAACACCGGTTTCAAGGGATATCCCTCTGATTTGTCATCCTTTTACAGTTGAAAAACCAGTCAGAAGACGGTTCCTCTTGGTTTTGGCGTAAATTAGCTAGCCTTTTTTCTTGCTGAGAGACGGCGGTCAAGTCATTATTAATGGCGAAAACCCGTCTTCATAAAGTCATGTGAGTCAACGGGTAACGGTTACTTACTTTCCTAACTTTAATATGGGTTAAGGCTAAGGCTTTTTGAGGTATGGGCTTTTGAGGGGATTTCACCAATTTACAGCCTAAATACGGAAAAGCCCTTGATGTTAATTTCAAAAGAAAGAAATTGGTCTGGGCCTCATGTAACTTCATTTAAATAAAAAACCAAATTTGGTCAATTTTCCAAATATGGTACAAACATCACCCCGTACTTAGTGCTTGTAGTTCTTTTGAATTATAAGAATAATTCAAATAATTAGTTAATTATTAACTAATTGGGTTTAATTTAAATCACAGAGCCCAAGACGTGTACAGAAAACGAATGTATTATTGGAAAAAAAAACGTACCTACGTGTATAATACAAGTATTAAACGTGAAAATGTAAATTCTTTATAGGCTTAAGTTCTACAGTGCCCCTTGAAACATTGGTCAATTCTCACTTTATCCCTTGAAAGTTAAAGTGACCCACTTTGCCCCATTGACAAAGGTTTGATGTTCCACATTGGCCCTACCGTTAACTCCATCCAAAAGTCTGTTAAGTTTGATGACGTGATAGGGGTATTTTAGTAATTTCGTGCACCTAGGTTTTTTAATTACTTAAAAAAAAAATTAAAATATAAACATAAAAAAAAAAAAAAAAAATATTAAAAAAAAAAAAACCAAAAAACAACACCCTTTCTCCCTCAATCGCATTCTCAATGGCCTCCTTAACAAGGTGAGCCAAACCCATTGGTGGCCTAGTTGTTATTAGTTGCAGGATGAGCACCCCAAGTGAAAATATATCAGATTTTGTTCCAGCATGCCCTTTTTTTTTTTTTTTTTTTTTTTTTTTTTTTTTTTTTTGCAGAGAGGGGTAGAGAAGAGGAGTTAAGGGAGAGGGGAACATCAATGTTGCTGGGGGTGGGGGAAGATTGGGACGCCCTTCCTTCTCTGTCCTTGTAACCCCCCCACCCCCCTTCCCTATGCACCAGAAACCCAGAGCCCCCCCCCAACCCGCAACCCACCCTTCTCCCTATGCAGAACTTGGAAAGCCATCATCCCCCACTCGCAACCATCCCTCTCTGTGTAGAACCCAGAACCTATATTTTCTTCCTTCCCATTTCTCTCGAAATAAATATGGTTTTTTTAAATTAATGTAGTCCTCTATATTATCTTTCTTTTTAATGTGAAATAAAAAAAATTTCTATTTTTTTCTTTTAATTTTTCTTTTGGTTTTTATTTTAGTTTTTGTATTTGTAGATATAAATGCATTTGAGGGTAAGGCTTATTACGTCTCCTCTCACTATGTAATTTTTTTTTAATGTTTATTAATGAAATTCACTCGTTTCGTCAAGTTTGTTATATAAGTTTTGCCTGGTCGGCTTTTGAATCCTGGAACCGCCACTGCCTGCAACCCACCCCCCTCCCTGAGCATAACTCAAAAAACCCATCACCCCCCCCCCCTCCCCCAGTAACCCATTCTCCCTAGGCAGAACCTCGGCAAAAATCAAAACAACCCAAAAATAAAAAAAACCCACCCCTGGGCAAAAATCGAAACAACCCATCCATCCCAAAAATCAAAAGAACAACCCTCCCTCTGTTTTTTCTACCCCACTCCCACAGAACCCCAACCTCCATACCCATTAATCAGCTTTCAAGTTTCACGCCTCCCATCCCAAAAAACAAAACAACGAAAAGAGAGAGAGAGAGAGAGAGAGGAGAGAGAGAGAGAGAGAGAGAGAGGAGAGAGAGAGAGAGAGAAATCAATTTTTTAAAGTTTTAAATTTTATGTTTGTATTTTAATTTTTTAAAGTAATTATTATTATTTTTAATCCATGATGGAGGTGGGCTCCACTTTGCCACATTACCCACTCAAATTTGTGAATAAAAAACGTAGGTGCACAAAATTACTAAAACACCCCTGCCACGTCATCAAACTTAACGGATTTTTGGATGGAATCAACGGTATGGGGCACTGTGGAACATCAAACCTTGGTCAAGGGGGCAAAGTGAGTCACTTTAACTTCCAGGAGGTAAAGTGAGAATTGACCAATATTTCAAGGTGCACTGTAGCAATTAAGCCTTCTTTATATGGGTAATAACTTTGGCAAAGTGAAAAAATCAAAGGGGACAATAGAGGCTCGAGTAATGGCCTAAACTACTCTTATTGATAAAAGAAAATCGGGGAAAAAAATTATATAAAAAAAGGGATCCATATATATAGTATAGCCGCTAGGCTATACTATTTATAAATACATAAAAAAGGCCCACCTAGTGCCTAGGCGTTAAGTTAAATTAACGTAGGAGAAAATTTTGAGATAACCTAATATAATACTCCTCCTCCCCCTCTCTAGTGAATGACAAAAAATAAAAAATAAAAAATAAAGGTAGATTCCGATATTTGCACAAAAATTGGTCACATTTTCATGGGTGGCAAAGTCAAAGTACTAGACTTGTAGCTGAAACAAGTGAAACGTTATTTCTATAAGCATGGGACATAGGAAGATGGCCTGTAGGACTCTTTGTCAATTTGGGTGGCTTAATTTGCACATAAATAATGAAGCTCTATATCTCTTCGTCAACTTTTGCCTCCATGAATTTCTCTCATCTTTTTACGGAGTTGACAAGTCAATTATGATATCTAAAAAAATTGAACAAAGTCAAGGTTCAAGTCTTCCCTCGCAAATGGTGGCATTCTTTCTGGAAGAAAGAAAAAAATTATAGTAGAATGTCAAAATACAAGTTGCAGCAACGTCTAATTGCAACCCAAAGGCAAAGTAGTAGAAAAATCAACCCTCCAATTCAAATAACGCGATCTCAGACCCTTGAAACCTATATATATACACAGCTCAGCAAAGCAAGTTTTTGTTATTTTCTTTTTCTCTGGCTAATATCAATGGCAGGTGAGTGTATGAGGTCTGCTCTGGTGACCCTCTTCATCTTTGCCATGGTACTCTCTCCTATTTTGACCCCTGAGGCAGCTCGATTCACTTTTCCAGGTAAATAATTCCACCACCAATTTTACTATAGTAGCCAGCTGCTCCATTTTTAACCCTGCAAGCTTTTGGTATTTAGGGGATTAATTGTTGATTTTGTATTTTGTTTCAGATACAACTCCTATATGTCCTGATTGTGTATGCTGCGCACCTCCCCCACCAGGCTATTGCTGCGATTGTAATTGTGCTTCACCAATTAAAACTCACACCGATGAGTAAGGGTCCCCATGATATACATGTACAACCAAATTTGTATGATAATGGAAAACAGTGTATATATTTATATATATACAGGGTGATTACTGTGTATATTTTTCCAACCTCCCTAATCCAAGATTACAAACGTTAGCCAAACACAAGAAATAACAATATTGAGAGAAGAAAGAAAACAAATCAAAGCACATCCCATTCTGTTGGAGGGAAATTAGTAGAAGTTTGATGGATAATGTTTTGGTGTTATGTCACGGCACTAACAACCCACTACGCATGCATCGATGTTGTTCTCACCTTAATCACATAAGCCCAATGGACCTTAAGGTATGAAGTTTAAACTCAAAATACGTCGATGCAATTAGAAATTGTCCATTTATATTTGAATTATAAATTATTGTTGCTTTTCTCCGATACAAGAGTTACACATTATGACTTGTATCAAGTCAACTACACCAAAATATAATATAGCAGGGGCTCAGGCCCAAATTAAAACTCGGGGACACCTACTCGTAAACAAATCGGGACTAAGCTCAAAGCTCATAAACCAAACACTTTTTTGATGACTCCTAATGTGAGAAACCAAAAACAAAACCAAAAACTCAAGAGAAATTTGAAGTGAATTTTGAGGAAGATTTTGATATATACACCAAAATTAGGTGAAAATTATGTACATTTTTTAATATATATTATTTTAATTCAATAATATGTGAAAATTATGTGTAAAAATGTGAATTTTGTGTGTACTCTTGAAAATTTTGTAAAAAAACTCGTGTATTAAACATGAAAAATATGTAACTTGTACAATACAAGTATTGTACTTTTGCTTCTTAAAAAACTTGTATTTTACCGAGTCTATAAGATGTATTATTGAAAAATACATACATGTGTGTATAATACGAGTATTAAACGTAAAAAATGCTAAATTTTTCATATGGATAATGCTCAGATAATGGGAAAATAGATACTCAGATAATGCTCTAAACTACTTTTATCAATAAAAGAAAAAAATTTATTTATATTTAAAAAAAAAAAAAAAAAAAAAAAAAAAAAAAAAAAAAAGATATATACATATATATATATATAGTCTAGCAGGGCGGCTATACTACTTTTTAAAAAATTTACCACATTAACGCCGGTCGGCTATACTTTTTTAAAATAAAAAATACCCGGGTATAGCCGTTTGCTATACTATTTTCAAAAATACCAGGTCAAGAAGGCAACCACAGTATAGCCGCGCGGCTATACGATTTTTTTAAAAAAAATTGCCACAGGAAAGCCGGTCGGCTATACTGTTTAAAAAAAAAAATACACAGGTATAGCCGCCCGGCTATACTATTTTCAAAAATACCAGGTAGAAGGCAACCCACTGTATAGCCGCGCGGCTACACTATTTTTTTTACCGTAAAGCCGGTCGGCTATACGTTTTATAAAAAAAATAAAAAATACCCGGGTATAGCCTCCGGGCGGTACTATTTTCAAAAATACCAGGTTAAAAAGGCAACCCACAGTATAGCCGTGCGGCTATACGATTTATAAAAAAAGATAGTATAGCCGCGCGGCTATACTATTTAATATATTATTTAAAAAATACCCTCCTTGTTGCATTAGTTTATACTTTATTGCTATTAATTGGCTAGTTTCAACATATTCAAAGCGGATATTGAAGAGAGAAATTTCACAGTAAATCAATCTGTGAATTCAATTTTTTTCTTCTTCTTTTTTTGTGGGAATGTTTGCCTTTGGAGGAACAACAATCAATATTATTCTAATAATTTAATTAAACAATTAAATTACACAAGAAATAGAATAATTAAATTAAATATGACATTAAATTAAAAGCTTATTGTTCTTGCAGATAGAGGCTTGCATAATTGCAATGTCCATGAATCAGAATTTCACCCCTACTTGGTGCTTTTAGTTCTTTCCTACTCGGTGCTTGTAGTTCTTTTGAATTTTAAAAATAATTCAAGCCACCTAGAATGATTTTTTGTATATAATCCAAGTCATTCTTCTGAAACGATATTTTGTACATGATGCAAGTCATTCTTCTGGAACACTCTTTTGTACATAAAACATGTCGTTCTTATGGAACGATTTCTTGCATGCCATTGTTCCGGAATGGTCTTATCTTCCCATTTTGTCATCACTGAAGAGGAGGTCCAAAAGCTTTCACCTATTAGAAGCAAAATACCAAAATACTAATAGTAGTAAAAGTATGAAATAACACAAGTATTGCTTAGGGTAAGAAAACTTTGCTCCAAGATTCTTCAAACTCGGATTTTCTTAGTAAATAAACTAGAACCCCTGATGATCTAGTTATATCCCTATAGTCCCTTGTGATCACGGGAGACGTGATAAGGGGTAGTCTTGCTTCTAAAAGAGATGATCATAGATAGTCTAGCTTCTCAAACACATTAAGTGTACACTTATAGAAAAAACAATTTGATATTTCATCTTTCAATAAGCAAATTAGATCTCTTAGATAGTCACCGAGAATTCTTTTTCCTTGTTTTGTGTTGTAGCCCTCTGAGTCAGCATCTCCCTCTATAGCATACCACAATCCACCAATGCTTCAGTCTCCATCCCTAGTAAGTCTCTCTTTGGTATAAGTATGGTCTTGTGTAGTAATTTCATGAGAGATAGACAATGAAATGGTGGTACGTGTTTATTTGGATTGTCTTTTTTTTAACCCTTTCTTCTCTTCTATATAACTCAATTGATTTTTGGGAGAGGATTCGTGCTGTAAAAGTAAATAGAGAAAGTATGGGAGGGGTAAGAGTAGTTCTCAATAGCTCAAGATTCAAAAGTATCTTATTCATATTTAGTGCCTACTATTCATAGGCATAGGAAATACATCACCATTTACAACCCTTATGTAGTGGGTTACAAAGCATAATTACAAATGATAGATATAGTCTTTAGTGCATAGTTTACAACCCTATAATGATAGGAATTACAATAGACTTATGGTGGGCATCCATAACCTTTGAGTTTACAACACTTTTAGTCTTTTACCACTTTATTCTTATGAAATTATGTGCTCTCCACCTTGCACCCGAGTTCAAATACTCCTCTCCGTAATTTAGATTCGTTCAAAGTAGATTATCGCTTGTATGAAAAATAAAATTTGTGGTTTTTATTAATTTAGTTAATCAAGGGTATATTTTTAAAATTTTAAAATTTCAACGGTTAAGACTTTTCTTTCTTTATTTTTAGTACAAGCGATAGTCTAAACTAGAGGGGAGGGAGGTTTCTCACATACGCGCACACAATTGATGCCATGGGCGTTCGAACCTGAGACATTTGGTCTGCAAGTCAATGCCCTTTTCCACTGGACAAGACCCCATTGATTTTTCTTCCTTTATATATAGATTTGCCTATAAACATAAAATATTGATTTTCTTTGTTTGTTTGATTCATTTTTTGTCGAGTCAATCAATACAAACTTCAACATTTTTGTTCATTGGAACTCCAACTGCAAAGGACACTAATAAAAGCTTGGACAACGATTTGCATTAGTTTCTTGGTTTCCTACCATTAAAGGGTTCTCCTATAAACCACGCCTTGCAATCATCCATCTTTGCTCAATTCAATTTGGTCGACCTCTTCAATTGGAGGCAACATACGTTACCTTGTTCAGCGGGTGTAGATCTGAATTTTTAGATTAGCAATATTGGGTGTTATATGATCTTCTAAGCTTCCATTTTCGCGATTATGTAACTAACAGTCTCGTGCTTTAACCACAACTACTTACGCAAAACTATCCATCTCTTCTTTTAAAAAAATAAAAAATTTATGCAAAAAATTTACTGTCGGTTTATCTTCAACACAGAGAAAATACTCAGCATTTGGGGATCTTAGAAGCAACAACATTCTTATATGCAAGGTCTATTTCCTCTTCTGTCATCTCAATTGTTTCATCACTGTCGTATCCTGCTGTACCACTGGATATGGCTTCAGTTCTCCCACTGTCCCTCTCTTGTCTTTCAGTCTTTGGCTTCTTCTTCTTTGACGGGTCATCACCTAAATTCTTAAGTTCCACCTCGTAAATTCGTTTACACTCCATTACCTGTCTGCAAAGATCTTCCTTGGATACTGCTGCAGACTCATTTCTCGTGCCCTCGAGCTTTGCCAACTCTTCGACTACACGAGGAATGAAATTCCACTGCTCAGTTATTTGCCGGATATCCTGCACACACCAAAAATAAAAAAAATAAAAAAATTGTTTACCGCATTGACTAATTCCCTTCAAATGGTGAAGGGAAACAATTGATAAATGTTTCCAACTGTAAATTGAGTTCCTGTTCCCTTTCTTTTTTCACATGAGTGGGTGGAGGTGGAACCAAAGTATGCAAGAACTAAGTTTAAAATTACTTCAAAAAGACCAAAGTGTGTTTCTGTAGGAATACCTGCTTTTGTTCAAGAGAATCTATTGCATCTTGTAAACAAGTTAAAATCCCTTCAGCTGCTATTTGGTTTATCTCATCTGGCTCTGGCTGTAAGAGGTAGTAGAGCACAACAAAGATCAGCTTTATTCAGGAGGTACGGCAAGTCTTGTATACAATCGAAAGAGGCAAATTTCAAAAACACAAAATTTTACACCTCTGAACCACTAGTATCAATGGGTTGAGAAGAAGACAACTAGAAGTTATAATTGTGAGTTTACACAAGCTTCAGCATCTAAAAAATATTGTTTTCAACTCCAGCAGAACAAAACAAAAAGAGAACCAGCAGACTCACTGTCGACAATACAAAAACAAAATGATATTTTCAGGAAATACACAAACACAGACGCACAAAAGTAGAATGCCAACAACCTTTTCTTCTTGACTCTCTAGCCATGAAATTGTCTTATTCAAATCGTCAACTGCCCACTTCTTCACTTTAGAAGGAGAAAAGCACTCCTTAACAGAATTAGAAGCTTTAATCTGCTAAACATATGCACAAGAAACATAACAGCATTGGTATATAGAGAAATGCCGCTGTCATAAATCTAAAAAGTTGACGAAGGAAAAACTGAAAACACAGTTTGACATTATTTGTTTATATATTTATAGGACATTTTAACGCTAGCCTAGTCAAAAAATACCTTTGGATTTGATGATGCAGTTGGTTTTGATGGTGAATCTCCATCTTGCTTCTTCGATTTTCTAGGTTGGGATGCCTTTTTGTCTGCAGACAGTCACTTAAGCATGGATTGACCGTACATACAACAACAATAAAAATCTAAGACCACATGGTGACCAACCAAGACATCCTAAATGAGATTTGAGGAGTTAAACTTAACATGAGGCATTAAAAACTTCAATAACATAAACAATGAAAATAATTTAAAACAAATGAAAAATGAATACAAGAATGCATTTTGTTGTACAGAATTGTCACATATAACAGATACCCTTGCTAAAAACGTTAAATGCCAACACACACGCACAATTCCTTTACCTTGGCTGTTGTCATGGGAAACACTGCTTTTACGCCAGGGTTTTCCAGCATTCATAAGGTAACTTTCAATATCAACAAGCTTCTTCTGTGTGTAACACTCTGATATCCAATCCTAATATGAACAAACAAGATACCATTAGATAATTACAAAGATTAAATTACCATTCCTAAAATAATTGCTGAAGCATCAGTGTTGCGTTTATTAGAGAAAACTAATTGCCCTTTTTTCATGAGATTGGACTTGTATAAGACAGCATATGTTAAGCTAATCAAACCACAATATCAGAACAGAGAACATAGTAACTTAAGTGAAACTTACAGCAACAACTAACAATACAAGTCAATATCTGAAGATAAATTATCTTTTGGGACAAGATAATAATACTACAGAATATGTAATGAGTGCATGCCACAGTTCAAAGCATATACCGTAGAAGTTTTACTTTAGCTTCAAGCTAATTTTCCTTAAAAATTGTCTTTACGGGGCATAAGTTACCAACAAGTGCTTATATAAAAAAGTCAAAAGGCCAGGAAATTGTCACTTAATTGATTGTAGCCTGCCTTAAGTTATGAACCATCAGTGTTGACTAAAACAATGATTCCATATGGAAGCAAAATTAAATATCATACACAAGACAATTGTATATATTTGAAACAAAAATATGAACCTTTGAAACTATAGTTCCACAATCTGCCTCAACTTGTCGAAACTTTGGGGTGTTTGGAAATGCACAAACCAAGAGACTGCAATCTGAGTTCCAGTCAGGCTGATATTCTGCTCCCATTTCCAAGGCCTGTGACCGCAGAATGCTGCGCTCAGGATTAACAAACCCAGACAGTACAAACACTACTCCTTCCTGGGCAGATAACAACTATGATATTAGCCTAACATTGTCACGTTACGTGACATATTGAAAATGCAACTTGGTGAATCTTATTCCATACTATCCAGTACCATAAGTTTGGAAAATTTTGTGGTTCCCGAACTGGATGCACCTCCACGCCCTTTGGCTAGCCTGGGCTTTGCACCCTCGTCACTCTCCTCACATTCACCAGCCCGAGTTGGTTTCTTTCCAACAGACTCACTCTCATTGTCTCTTGAACTCATCCATGAAGGAAGGTTTCGCTTCCCAGCATTATTGGAACCATCACCCTGGCTTGTTTTCGAATGAGACATGACCACTCAAATGCCCCAGATGCTTCTAATCAAAAGCTATGCACAATGGACAGGTACCCAGAGAGGCTAGCAGTAAAAATCATCACGGTTTCCACAAGCTCCACCATGACATATGCCTACAAACGATAACATTACTGAATTACTCACAAATTGTTACAAATTCTAAGCATATCAAACAAGCCAAAGAAAGTTAAACAATCTTGAGGGTTGGCAGTTCATGTAGTATGAGACAGCATGAAATCAATTAAAATTTTCAATTCACAACACAGTGAGAGGAATTTAGATAATTACAGAGAAAGGAAAATTCTTGCATCACCGGTGAAAATTATAGGAGAAGAAAAGAAACTTGATGAACGAAATGGGCGTTCTTGAGTTTTACCGTTGCGTTTGGGGAAAAAAAGGTAAACCCTAATAGCAGGAAGAAAGTAATTACAGACTGAAATTACTTACTGTTAGCTTCTCTTTCACTTGGAGGGCACTGGAATGGTTCGAACTAAGTCCATTAAGAAATTGGGGTTTTGCTTTGGATTTTCCTCAGCTGCTTTGTATTTGTTGCTGTACTGTGTTTAGTGGTTTTGTGCTACGACCCCAATACTTTGGAGTATTTGCGTCTGGGCCTCCACTTTTTTTAATTCTTTTAGGAAAATGCATGCGAATAATCTATTTTGGCGAAAATAGCACTCATTTTCAAGCAATATAATTATAGACACCAATATCAACCTTTTTGTAATTTATTTCTTGAAACTATTAATCATCAATTTATTCATGTAATTATTCTTAAAAAGGCCTTTGGAATATGCTTCATTTTTTGGTATTTATTGGCCACATATGAATACTTAACATACATAATAGTATTTTTCCGACTCTTAGGCCATCTCCAGTCATATGACTAAATATAGTTCATGGCTAAAAATTTAGCCCTTCAAAATATTAATTTTTTAAACAATAGTGTAGGGTTAAATTTTTCCATCTTCAGCCATGAAGGGCTATATTTTAAGGTCCTTCATATTTTATTATTTTGAGAAAAACTATGGTACAACACATCCATTCAACAACTATGTATTGTTTAATTTAATTAAACTACTATTTAGAGACAATATTCCATGACCAAGAATTTTTTATAATTTTTTTAAAACAACATTTGAAAACATTTGAAAAGGTGACTACATTTTTTTTTAAGGATGGGTTTCAATGGTTTGACATCCAACGGTCATGACTAATAATTTTGTATAATTTTTTTACAAATTGAAAACATTTTAAAAGGCTTATATATATATATATATATATCCAGCTAACATCATCAATGTAAAGCACATACATGGAGCCCACAAAAAATTCGGCCTAGGACTAGGCCAAAGCTGGGCTAAATGTGGCCCGGTTAGAGGACTAAATGGCCAAATGTGGCCCTCTAAATTTAGCCAAAATTTTGTTTAGCCCATGGTGGAGATGGGTTTTGCATTATTTTAGGGCTATATTTGGGATATAGCCTATGGCTGGAGATGGCCTTATGGTAAGATATATTTGGCAATCATTTTCTCAATTTTCAAGTTATACCGTCAGTCATACTTTTTGAGATAGTTAATAAACACTTCAATGGGAATGTTTGAGGTGATTCGTTATAACTCCGATTGCAAGTTAGTAAACATACTGTAAATTTCATTTTTATTTGATGGATGGTGGAAAGGGTTCAAGATCAACCACCACATTGATATTTGGAACTTTTTTTTATATATTAAACAACTAATTATTTGGCATAAATCTAATTATTTATGAGACAATAATGAAAAAGTTCTTATTTTTTGTCTGAAATTTTATTACATGTCTAAAATTTAAACCACTTTAGTCACATTAATGCTTTCCTGCATTTTAAGTAGCAGTGCAAATCCTTGAGCATGAATCCACACAAGTCTCTACTTTTCCTCCATCTGACAAAAAATAAAAAATAATTAGCACATAAACCAACATGAAAGCACACTCTTGCACATATACACAAATCTATATAAATATTCACTTACTATGATTATCTTTGGTGCTTATATTGTTGCATAAAGAAGTAGCACAACCAAGCTTGCAGAAGTGTTTGGGGTATGTTTGGGTGTCCAAAGAAGAAGGATGGAAAATGCATTTTCTCAAGCAATGGCCACCACAATAGATAGGGTCTTTTTTCTCAGGGAAACATGTAGCAAAGCATACTTCATAGCAGTCTTTGAATTTAGAAGCTGTGGACTGTCCCATGAGCAATCCAAGCACCAAGGAAACTATCACTATAGCCCTAACTCTCTTTGCCTCCATTTTGCTTCTATCAAACACCTTTGTATTGTATGAATGTTTGATGTGACAAGATTTCTGTCATCCTAAAAGAGTTTAGATATGAAAGATTTCTGTCATTCCAAATGTGAAACTTCAAATGTATCACTACAAGGATAAAAGAAATAGAATACCTCTAGAAATGCAATGATATATATGGATAAAAGAAGAAATAGAATTCTTTGGAAATGCAATTATGTTTGGAATAAAAGAAGAAATATAATATTTTGAAAATTCAATTATGTAGTATTTCACTCGAACACACCTTAAGGTTTTTATTTGGATGGATGAATTTGAAATAAATGATTTGGATTTGACAACAAGATTAACTTTGCTTATAAAAACAATAACCACATTAGATTATTGAAATGACTATATGCAAAGAATCATTTGAAATCCATTTGTTTTTTCTTCCTTTTTTCCTTGTCCACATCTTGGCATAGGTGGACTGTAATAGCCTAAATAAGCGATTTTACCTTATAATGTCATCTAAATCCATATAGGCCCCATTTGATTCATGAGAAATAAGGCTTGGGGATGAGAAATTAATTGCTTTTCCATGTTTGATAAGTCCATGCATGGGACATGGTTGCCTGACACATAGGAAAGTAAGGGGGAAAGTGAAGCCCTCCTCCCAACTTGGGTTTTGTTTTCCCTCATCATAGGAAAGTTTGGGAAAATGAACCAAAATTAAATGTACATTTTTAATGACCATTTTGTTCTCATTAACAATTTAGAATTACAGACAAAGTCCTAATAAAAAATGAAACCCTAACCGCACTCTGGTCCCCTTTCTCCTTGCCGACAACCAACCGCAGGGAAGCTAAGGGAGGAGGTAGCCATTGCTCCTCCTCCCCTCAGCCCATCTTCCCTTTCCTCTCCTCATCTCCCATTCTTTTTCTCCCATCTTTTCCCTTCCTCTTATCCCATCTTCTCCTCCCATTTCTCAACCCACATAGTCTAGATCTATTTGGATCTAGGTCTGTTTGTTTTGTTTGATTGTTTTTGCAGTGTTCTAGGTAGATGGTGTTGTCTTTGTCTAGACAATGGTGACAGTAGTGACGTTGGATTATGTCTCTTCTTGGGAGAGTTGTGATACTGGTGGCTAATGTTTTGCCTCTGTTCCAATAGCAATGGCAGCAGAGACGTTGGTGGTAGTTGTTGGGATGTAGTGCTCTTCTCTACTTTGCGGCGAGCAAAGAACAATGCTTGGTTATAGGAGGTTTTCTTTGTCCGGTTCTGAGTTGAAGTGAAGTGCTTCTCAAGGGTTCTTTTACTATTGTTTATGTGGTGATGCTAGATTGTGTCTCTCCTTGGGAGAGTTGTGATACCTGGTGGCTAATGTTTTATCTCCGTTTCAACGGCGGCGGCAACAGCGATGTTGGTGGTAGTTGTTGGGATATGGTGCTCTTCTCTACTTTGTGCTGACCAAAGAACTATGCTTGATCATAAGAGGTTTTCTTTGTTCGGTTCTAAGTTGAAGTGGAGTGCTTCTCAAGGGTCCTTTTACTGTTGTTTATGTGTTCCTCTTGCGTGTTCTCTCCTGGTCTCTTCTATGGTATGCCTTGCAATTTGTGTGGGTGCTAAAGGACTATGATTTTGCTCATAGAAGGCTTCTTTTGACAGTTAGAGGTCTATGTGTTAGTTTTCATTTTTTATTTGTTCTTTTATTGTAATGGTTCAAAGTGACTTGAATCGGATTCTCTTGTTAGTCTATGACATGTGTGATACTCTTTTCTCCCTTGAGGTTTGTCCCATGAGGTTGTCCTATGAAGGTTTTAACGAGGCCACTATATCATGTCGTTCTTTGTACTTCTTTGGTTCTATGAATGAATTCTATTTCTCAAAACAATTTAGAATTACAATATATCATTAAATACATTCTTTTTTTTATTTGATTTAATATGGGTATAATTGGAAAATTATACAAATTTTGTTTTCCATTCCTACTCAAAACAAACATGGGAAATGAAATAAAGTGAAATCTCCTTATTACTCTCATGACATTACCGAACGTGGAAAATGAATATTCTATTTCTCATCCCTTGGGAAATGACATGGGAAGTGATTTCTCCTCAAATCCATTCCGTGAACCAAATTGGGTCATATGGATGTGGAATCCCTCCATCCAAATGGAGACTAAGGTTACAAATATTATTGATTTACTTTCATCTAGTCTCTCAAACTTGCAAAACCAAAAAAGTTCCCTTCTAGTGAAAAGAACAAACAAACAAACAAACAAAAACAAAAAAACCGATTAGCGTTTGGTCTAGTGATTATTGTTTTCACTTTATTGAAGAGATCTTAAATTTGACTCACATGAGTGCAAGGATAACATATCCATATCTAATCCTGGCAAGCCCAACTTTGTTGTTTGTGCATTAATTCATTGTTAAAATATCTTTGTAAATATTCTATGGTTTGTAAAAAAGAAAAAAAAGAAATTAAGGACGTATATTGTTTATCTAAAAAAATTTTGTAATGCAAGGGGTTTGTAGCTGAAGTGGTTAAGAGTATTTATAATATATACTTGAAGTCTTAAGTTCAATTTCCCCTTCTTGCATATATAAACATAGATTATTATAGTCAGTAAATTGAACTTAGGACTTCACCAATTACTTGAAGGTCTAATCCGGCCAAGTTTCCCCATGATAGATTTGTGCCCACTGAATTTCATCGGGAGAGTTTTAAAAAAAAATTTTAACCTAGTATCTTTAAGTCAATAAATTTTATTTTTAGTATTTAAATAATATTTTAGCCTTATTTAAGTACTTTCATTAGTAATTATATTTTAATTATTATTTATTTAGTGAATAATTAGTATTAAATATTTTAATTAACTTCATAAATTATATTACTTGATAAATAGTAATTTATATAATATTTTTTCTTTAATAAAATAATTATATACTAATTATTCACTAAGTAAATAATAATTAAAACATAAGAACTAATTAAAGTAATTAAAAAAGAGAAATCTAGATTATGCTATTTAAAGCGTCTAGCCGCATACGTTTAAAATATTCTATTTATAGAGTATAGCCGTGTGACTATATGACCACTTGTTAAAATCTACCTCAAGGCACACTCAAGTATAGGGTTAGGTCCAATTATGTCGTACAAACCGTATATTGGGATCGAAACCCTAATCGTAAAACCCTAAGTGGAGTTACATGAGTATCCGAACCTATTCGAGTCATAACTCTTACACAATACAAAAACAATTGTGTGAATTTTAGATCAAGCCAAAGTAGTAAGAGAAAAAGTATGATTACCAAAAATGAGAATAGAGACCCAGGAATAGCCAATCATTTGCATACCTCATGTAAAATATTCTATTTATAGAGTATACCCACGCGGCTATACCCAGTTGTCCCCAATTTTTAAAAGAGATAGTATAGCCGGTCGTTCCCAATTTTTTACAGAAATAGGCTATACCTGGTTTTCCAAATTTTTTAAAGAAACGGCTATACTCGATTTCCCCCCTTATTTTTAACGGAATAGTATAGCCGCTCGGCTATACCATGTTTCTCCAATTTTTTTAACTCTATTTATTACTTCATTAGTAACCTCTTGCCTCTCCTACAGAATAGTAACTGCACACCGCACAATACAGTACGCGAACCGGTTGGGGTTTTCCCGCCATCAGAGCTCAACCTCAAGCCCCTCTCTTTCTCTTTCGCTCTCTCTCTAATTGGGAAAGATGAAACACAGCGTTTCGACTACGCAATCGCTGAATTGAAGATGGTGTTTGTGATTTCTTGATGACGATGAGATATGTCTTTGTTGGATTACGAGTGTAGACGCCGTCGCCCCAATACGGTGCGTTTCATCAATTGGGCCCATTCGCCATATAAGGCTATCATGTACCTCCTTATGTTTTCTTGGGCCGGGTAGGCACACATGCTTGAAATAAATGAGAAATATTTTTGAAATTTGCACCAAAATGTGCATATATTCCCTAAACTTTTTCTTTCAACAATGGGCGAGGAGAGAAGCTTCGAGCTTGAAACATCTTTTAATTTTACAAAGAGAAAAAACCCTAAAGTAAGAGTTAGTTGATATATACTTCATAAGGTTCAAACTATGATCGATATGGGCTGTGTGTGTACAGTTCCAAAGGTTCAAATTTGTAGAAAATTGATGTATGTTCAAATAAAGATGGCAAAACACAGATATGGAAAGCACAACCCAAATAAGATTAAAAGGAAGTAATGCTTGATAAGTAAATTCTAATTTAATTTACAGATAGAAGCACAACAAATTCAGGGTAACCAACCATATTTGGTTGTGCTAGAAATTTCCAAGCTACAAGAATAATAAAAAGAAAAATAGTTTGCAGTGATTAATTACATACGACAAAGGGCATGCAGGCAAATATGCAGACAATAGTAACATATTAAAATCACCATATAGTAGTTTGTCATTTGTTTTCTTACCAACCCAACTCTAATTGTGCATGAAAACAATGGAAAGTAGACTAAATTAGCTTAATTAGCAAGGTAAAATCCTTATAACCCTTTAGGCCTTGTTTGGTATCCTAATAAAAAAAGTAAACTAAAAAACTATGATTCTTTTTTAAAAACATGAGTTTTCAAATAGTAATTTTAAGATCTAAAAACTTGTTTGGTATTGAACTCCAAACTATTTTTAAGGTCTAACAAAAATTGAAATTAAAATCAGAAAATCAAAAACCCTAATCCCCAAATTGAAATTAACAAAAGAAAAGGAAAAAGATATGAGGCATAAACCCTATCAATTTTGGTGGAGAGAGAGAGAGAGAGAGAGAGAGAGGAGAAAAAATACTATAAAACCTCACCTTTTTTTTTTCTTAAATAGTAGGGGTGTTTTTGAATTTTTTTTGGGTTTGAGTTTTTAAAATGGGCCTACCAAAAGTTTTTGGGGCAAATATGTTTTTGAGTTTATAAAATTGGATCCAAGTAGGATACCAAACGAGCCCTTAGTAATCCGGTTGGAATTTGGTGAAGGACTTATAGCTCAAGTGATTTATGAGCATTTACCCCAATATTTGAGATCCTAGGTTCGATTTCCCTCTCCCTATAAAAATCCAGTTGGGATTTGAGTTGTCATAGCTGATCACTCAACTTTGTCACACCACTGTTAGATGCATGAACGAAACGGGAGAGATTAATTGCAGCAGAGTCAAATTCAAAAACAAAGAAACTGAAGAGCTTTTCCTAATGATGACAAATTGACAATTGGGTTTGAAACCCTGACTCAAGCCATGCATATGCTGCCTTAAACCACAAAAATAAAAATAAAAATAATTTGGGTTTTGTACAAAACCCAAATAAATTTTAGATTCCAAAATATATTTCACAAAATCTGATGCTATCCAACTCATTAACCAAAAGCTTGAGCCAACTTTATATCCCTCTTTAACTCTCAATTAAATCCCAATTTCTTTGCTTTCCCTCACCCTCAATTGCTTCTGTTTGGTTCATTTTCAGTGAGAAAAAGCAATCATGGAAAATAGGCATCAGAGGAGAAAATGTGATGAGACCTATGAAATGACCCCATACTTTCCAGCCAGCAGGTACAGTGAGTTCCAAAATGCTCATAAGATCTTTGGTGTGAGCAACATCCAAAAGATCAGGGCCATGGCTGCACCTGATCAAAGACAGGCAGCTGCTGAAAGCATTCTCAAGGAAGGGAATGCATGGAAAGTTATAGACACAATCAGCTGTAATGAAGCTATCAAACTAATAGGTAGCAATATCAAGCTATACAAGCAATACCTCAAGGAAATGGCTTTGCATGTGTCGCTTAAGACATGCAGGTTTCTTAAAAGTAGCACCGCATTCTTGGCAAGTATTGGATTTTTCCCTCTCTCCTTCCCCATCCCCATCAGCCTCTTTGGCCATTTCCATCTCTTCTTGGAACAAAAGTAACCAAATTATAAGTAAAAATTAATATAATCAATCTGAAGACAACACAGCTTCAGATTTTTTTTAAAATACAAAAACCCAATTCATAAAAATTCATAATTGGACCAAAATTAAAAAGGAGGACTGAAACAATCAGCTTCTTTTTGGACCTGCAGATGCCACAGTACTCACAATAATATCGCAGCGAATAAAGACTTTAAAACTCAGGTTTTCTTTAAAGTCAGGAAAAAAATAAAAATAAAAATAAAAATAAAAATAAAATAAAAAAAGACCCGCCTAGGCGCCCGCCTAGGCCGATTTTTACTTTTATTTTTTCGAACCCGCTCTCATGGGCTGCAGCAGCGGCATTCATCAACTCTCACAGACTCGTTGACTCTCTAGCCTTCCGTTTTACAGCCAAAGCTTTTCTCGCTTTCCCCCAAGGCGCTTACGACGTGGTTCCCAGTTCGTTCCAACCAGAAAGCTTTTCACGAAGTTGTCACTTGTCGCACTGCATCAGTCTCAGCGTTCGATAATGTCTTCACTTGGGACGACTTCGTTACAATATCCAAACCGGTTAAGATCTCAGGGGCTACTCGGAAAAGATCAAAATCTGCAATCGCGCTTTCCTTGGTAAGTTATACAATACATTTTCTCAGCTGCCAAACAGAAACAGACCAATTGTTCGTTTATCTCTCCACAGTCCACTCCACATTTTATTGAAACTGCTTGCAGGAATCGCACTCTGAGTTCCTTCCCTCTGAAATTGAGGACCATTCACAAAGGGTAAGCTCAAATTCCTTGAATTCAAATACCCGTTTCATGCTCAGATATAGCACTGAATAATTTTCCCAAATCTCTAGTTTTTGCTGAGAATTTACGTAATTTCAAGGACGTGTTTACTTTCCCACCAGAAAATTCAAACTCTAATGGCGGTTTCATTCATCGCTGAGCAGAGGACGAGAGCTGTGGGAGATGTAATCAAAAGCTTAGGGGAAGAACATAGTCCAGGTATAAGGAATGAACTACGGTTTGTTTCTGCGATGTGCACCACCTTTTTTTATTATTATTTTTTTATAACCTTGGTCAAGGTGATTAAACAATGAATTATAATCAATTTTTTATGCATCTCTAGCAAGTCATTTTGGCTATATTAATCTGTATGATGAATGGATTAATTGGTGCTATATATGTATCTGGCAATGCCTGTACTGTACGTAGTTTGTTATTAGATCGACATGGAGGTGTGTGAAAGGGCTTGATAATGAGGTTTTGGAGGTGACACTGTGTGCGCTATAGTGTTGGCTAGAGAGGAATATAAGATTTTTTGTAGGGTTTGAAATTTCAGTGGTAGCATTTGTTGGCGTGACTTGTGGATATTGACTTACTTTCCTTACACACCAAGAATTCCTATTATAATTATAATTGATTTACTTTAATTCTTGATTTCCTATTGTAAATAGATTTAGAATTTATTATTTACTTGCCCATTCAGGTTTCGTTGTATTATAACTCCTACAAGGAGAAGAATACATAAAAAATTCCCACAAATAAATATTCTCTAATAGTTTTCATATTTTAGCATGGTATCAGAGCTAGGTCGCTTTTTCAATGGTCACATAGGAAGGAAGCCAGCTAACTCTTTTATTGTTGTTCATTTGATTTGCTTGCAACTTTTCATTTTAAACATTTTTTATGTACTTCTTGTTGGAATAGGCTTATGGAGTGCACATGAATGACTATGTTGAGAAGGATGGGAAGAAGTTTCTATGGATAGCGAAGAGAAGTCAACAGAAACCCACTTATATAATATATATATCCAGGGATGCTTGATCATCTAGTTGCTGGTGGATTGGTTTGTAACGAGCTTTCATCTCACTTTAAGGCATTTTAGTTTCTATTCTATCAATATTTAGGCTGTCAGTGCTCAGTGGGAGCTTGCTTGAATAGTTTGCTTTTGGTATCTAGAGCCTCCAGACCTTGATGAAATAACATGGGCATTCCCCGACCCCGAAATAGATGGATTTACATCACATGTTCCTAAATTAGACGGCTCTGGTGCACTTTAATGTCAATGTAATTGGTGAAACTACTTGACCCAAGAACTGGCTGGATTTTATGGTTGTAATCTGAGGCAACTAGAAGAGCAAGGGGTCCTTCCTTGCCCGATATTTAGTGGTCTACTTTAAGCATTACAAATGCAATTGGCAGGGATGTTTTGTTTTACTATGATTTAAAACTTCCTGAGAGTTTCACGCCTAAGAATCAAGGTAGGACCCTTGGAGCTTAGCTTTTACCTAAAATAGTTGTGAACTTTGCCTTCAGCTTCGTCATTTTTCACCTTTCATTTTATCCTAAACCATCTGCAATTTTCCCCTTATTGAACAGATGGAGAGGCGGAGAGCTTCAAGTTTATCCCTGTAACGCATGTTGCAAACATCATATGAAGGACACGCTTCTCCAAGCCAAATTGCTCTCCTGCAATCTTTAATTTCCTGAAACTACATTCTTCTGCCAATTTATAGGAAGGAATCTTGAGCATATTAACGAATCTTGTCATTTTTCCTAAGTGCATATGCAACTCTAGAGAAATACTTCTGTGTCAAGTAGAGTGAAAAGGGAGGACCCTTTCCAAGACCTTGAAGAGCTTCATTAGCCCACTCCACCACTGCAACACAACATTGAATCACCAACAACAACAAAACAAAAAGGCAAACCATAATAATTAACAGTAGTCTCCCTATAAATTGTGGCTTTAGCTTCCACTTCCACCACCAACAAACTTCGAGAATAAAAGAGTTGAATTTATAATAAAAAAAACAAAGAAAAGTGAGGAGCAATGGATGCTAGTCTGTTCAGGGCTGTGGTTTTGATGAGCATGCTTGTGCTTGCAATAGCTCAATCTGATATTAATCCCTCTTATACCAATGCGGTTCCAAATGGCAACACTCTTGGTCAAGTTGATGATGTCTCTGATCCTTCCAATACAAATCATATGGTTCCAAATGGTCATCTTATTCCTTGTGGTTTACGATGTGCTAGAAAATGCATGTTGAGCCCAATATGCCTTTGCATGATTAAATGCAAGCAATCATGGAAAATAGGGATCAGGGTGCAGCTCAAAACCATGCTTCTGCATCCTGCAAGCATCAGAGGAGAAAATGTGATGAGACCTGTGAAATGGCCGCATACTTTCCAGCCAGCAGGTACAGTGAGTTCCAAAATGCTCATAAGATCTTTGGTGTGAGCAACATCCAAAAGATCATGGCCATGGCTGCACCTGATCAAAGACAGGCAGCTGCTGAAGCATTCTCAGGGAAGGGAATGCAAGGAAAAATGATCCTGTGCATGGTTGTCTTGGCATTATCAGAAGTCTCAATGCCCAAATTCAGTGACTTGAAAGAGAACTCCATATTATGAAATAGCACCTAGAACTTTGCAAGGAGAAGGAAGAACTTGCTGGGGAAAAAAACCAATCAAAAGAAGAAGACTTGCAGCATGATCAATCTGATGGTCTCAATTTCCCATCACCAATCCTCCCTGATCGGGTAAGACTATGATCTTAATTTTTCTCTGCCGCCTGTTTTTTTTTTTTTTTTATATAAAAAACGTATAGCCGATCGGCTTGACCCCGCATTTTTATTTTATTTTTTCAAGAAATAGTATAGCCGGCCGGCTATACTCGGTTGCCTAATTTTTTAGCCAAATATTATAGCCGCTCGGCTATACTCGCTTTTTATTTTGTCTAAAGAAATCGTATAGCCGAGCGGCTATACTCTGTTTTTAATTTTCTTAAAAGAAATAGTATAGCCGGACTGCTAAACTCTGTTGAACACCTTCCCTCAATCATTAGCCGAAGGATCATCCTCGTTGTGGAGTTCTTTCACATGCCTCCTCATGTTATCTTGGGAAAAACATGATTTAAGAGTTTCTCTTGGTGCTGAAGAAGACGATTTAAGAGTTTCTCTTGGTGCTGAAAAAAGAACTCGGATTTCTTTTAAGTCAAGAAAAAAAAGTTTTTTTATTATTTATTAAATAAAAAAATAAAAAATAAAAAACCCCGCCTAGACCGCCTAGGCCGATTTTTTCGACTGCAGCAGCGGCATTCCTCAGCTCTCACAGACTCATCGACTCTCTGGCCTTCCGTTTTACTGCCAAAGCTTTTTGCGCTTTCCCCAAGGTACTTACGATGTCGTTCCCAGTTCGTTCCAACCAACAAGCTTTTCACAAAGTTGTCACTTGTCGTACTGCATCAGTCTCAGCCTCCGATGATGTCTTCACTTGGGACGATGTCGTTAGGATATCCGAACCGGTTCAGATCTCAGAGGCTACTCGGAAAAGATCAAAATCTGCAATCGCGCTTTCCTTGGTAAGTTATACAATACATTTTCTCAGCTGCCAAACAGAAACAGACCAATTGTTCGTTTATCTCTCCACAGTCCACTCCACATTTTATTGAAACTGCTTGCAGGAATCGCACTCTGAGTTCCTTCCCTTTGAAATTGAGGACCATTCACAAAGGGTAAGCTCAAATTCCTTGAATTCAAATACCCGTTTCATGCTCAGATATAGCACTGAATAATTTTCCCAAATCTCTAGTTTTGCTGAAAATTTACGTAGTTTCAAGGACGTGTTTACTTTCCCACCAGAAAATTCAAACTCTAATGGCGGTTTCATTCATCGCTGAGCAGAGGACGAGAGCTGTGGGAGATGTAATCAAAAGCTTAAGGGAAGAACATAGTCCAGGTATAAGGAATGAACTACGGTTTGTTTCTGTGATGTACGCCACCTTTTTTTTGTTTTTTACCTTGGTCTAGGTGAGATTAAACAGTGAATTATAATCAATTTTTGATGCATCTCAAGCAAGTCATTTTGGATATATTAATCTGTATGATGAATTGCAACTGGCTCATTGGATTAATCCTGAGAGTTTTACGCCTAAGAATCAAGGTAGGATCCTTGGAGCTTAGCTTTTACCTAAAATAGTTGTGAACTTTGCCTTCAGCTTCGTCATTTTTCACCTTTCATTTCATCCTAAACCATCTGCAATTTTCGCTTTTATTACAGATGGAGAGGTGGAGAGCTTCAAGTTGATCTCTGTGACGCATGTTGCAAACATCATATGAAGAACACGATTTTTCAAGCCAAATTGCTCTCTTGTCATCATTGATTTCCTGAAACTACATTCTTCTGCCAATTTATAGGAAGGAATCTTGAGCATATTAACAAACCTGATCCTTGTCCACCAAATAGCCCACACACCTTCGGCAATATCATTCCAAAAAGACGGTCTTAGGTTAGGGAGATGCGATATTCAGTTTCCGTCACACCAGTTAACTGGATTTGGACAAGTACATAATGATTACAAATGTTATTTTCAGAACAGGGGAGCTACTAGGAAATAAAACCTATCAAAAGGAATGCAACCACATGATGAAAGAAACGAAAAAGCAGAAACTCCAGACTCACTGTGGATAGTTGATTGTCATTTTTCCCAAGTGCAGATGCAACTCTGGAGAATACTTTTGTGTCAAGTAGAGTGAAAAGGGGGGTACCATTTCCAAACCTTGAAGAGCTTCATCTGCCCAATCCACCACTGCAGCACAACAATGAATCACCATTAACAACCAAACAAAAAGGCAAACCACAATAATAATAACTCATCCAATCCAAACACATATACCAGAAATAGTAACACACACGCACATAAACACATAAATTCATTATTAAATACAAACATACACTGCTACATACAATACACATATTTACAGTATTACCTGAAGACACAGCTCCATCTCCACCAGAAAATATACCAGTAGACTGCAACTGGTTGGCTACTTTATTAGCTTCCTTCGCATTAGCCCATGCACAGACATGACGCCCAGTCTTCTCATGCTTGTTGGCAAATCTCATGCCACAACCCGAAAAGCTACAGACAAGAAGGTTTACGTTCAATGTGTACTGCCTCGACATGTTGATGGAGATTTGATTTCTGCAAACTTATAAGCAAAATCACAAAAGGAAACAATAAAATAAAAAAAATAAAAACTAACAATGGCAGGGTTTCTCCAATTGTTTATTAAATCGCGGCTACACTCGTTTTTCAAAAAACATTTAAAGAAATCGTATAGCCGTACGGCTATAATCGGTTTTTTCTAATTTTTTTTTAAGAAATAGTATCGCCGCACGGTCATACTCTGTTTTTTCAATTTTTTAAATGAAATAGTATAGCCGTACCGCTATAATTTGTTTATTCTTTTTTTTTTTAAGAAATAGTATAGCCGCACGGCCATACTCTGTTTTTTAATTTTTTAAATAAAATATTATAGCCGTGCGGCTATATTCGGTTTTGTAATTCTTCACACAGAGATAGTATAGCCGTGCGGCTATACTCTGTTTTTTACTAATTTTTAAGAAGTATAGCCTGCGGCGTTACTCAACTCTTTATTTTTTCTTAATAAATAATATAGCCGCGTGGCGATACTCTTTTTAAAAAAAAATAATAATAATAATACACATGCCTTTATGAGATTTTTTCTTATTTTTTTTAAAAAGAAATAGTATAGCCGCGCGGCTCTTGTTTTTATTATTAATATATAGTATAGCCGCCATGGATGTACGATTTATTAAAAAAAATTAAAAAAAGGACCAAACATTTCCAACAACCCGCTTGGCTAACTACCGTCAACTGGATATCATCGATATTCAAATTGATTTTGAACCAAACTCCATTGGCTGAAAATGTAATTAACCCATAATTATTTATCCAACAACTGCTATTCAGGCACCCCATATATATATAGGTAACTTCACGTTAATAATTGTAGAAACCTTACGAGAACTACCGATCGTAATTTTTCATATGAAGTTATTTTTCTCCAGTGTTCGTGTAATTGCTGAAAAATTGAGTGCGTGCCAGCGCAAATAACTTTTTTACACGGACACGAGTAGTCGGGCCGCGGACGGTCCAAAAATAAAAAATAAAAAATAAAAAAAACCCTGCTCCCTCCCGCTCAACTTTTCGAATCGTTGTGTGAGTCTTCTTCTCTTTCTCTCTCTTAGGGTTCTCTCCTGAAACTTGACATGTGAGATGAACGAGGTTCAGAGCTCCGACCCAGTGGACCCGCTGCAGGGTTACACAGGCCTCGCCGTCTTCCCAAATAGCGGGAAAATCTTACCGGACAATTCCAAGCCCTACGACATCGGCAACGACCTCCAAACCATCCATACTCAACTCAAGTCCGCGGTACCTACTCTCGCTCTATCTCCGTTCTCATTTCTCACCCACTTTCTTCTTATACTTTTCAAAATTGGAATTTGAGTTTAATTTTGTTCCGGTCAGATTGTTTTTTTTCTCTCTCTAAATGTCTGATCTATGAAGTGCAGGATGGTTTGTTACTGTGTAGTTATGAATCTTCTATTTTTCTTTTTTGAGGTGGAGGGTTCAATGTCTAGTTGACTGAGCTTAATGTAACTATTTTGATCTGGGTTCTTAAATGAAGGCTATAATCCTGTTTGGTTGCTGAGAAAACGAATGAAAAGCAGATAAATGCATATAAGTCTAAACTTTTGACACCTCGTTTGGCACTTGGAATTTGGGAAAGCTGAAAACTGTAATAAAAAATTGTGATCCTTCGATTATTCCTTTCGGATTTTGGGGATACTAATTTTGGAAAGCTCATAATACCATTTTTTTTAATGATTTGATTTGATTTGTTAAAATTCAACAAGCAGGCCGAGAACCAAGGGGTTTGTCATTACTGAACTTATAGCTTAGTATCTCACATACAGTGCGGAACTGACTCTATAAGTACAACATATGTTCTTTGCTTTCAAGTTTTGTCTCAAATAAAGTCATTCTATGTTCTGCCGTAGAGTCAATGACATGGTACACACTGTAGTTCAATCACTGGGTGGGAAGCAATCATAGTTAATAATATATTCTGCTTTTTCAGGCCTTACAACAGAGTCCAACTAAACTTAAAGATCAGGCGAAAAACATTGTAAGTGGTACTTCGGAAATTCCGAAGTCTGTTAATCCACAAGCATTGAAACAGAAAGATGCAGCTGTTCCTGAAATGGCTGAAGAAAATCCCCGACAGCAAAGACGAGCCTTGGGTCGTAAACGGGCTCGTTTCTCTGTGAAGCCTAATTCCAGGTAAAGCTTATGGTTGCTGCTCTATTTTCTTAAGTACTCTTACTCTTTTAAAGATACAGGTTGATGTTTCTTATACTCAATTTGCAGTCAACCTGCTATGAGTCTGCTACCACCTTTGGATATCAAAAACTTGAAAGACACTGAGGAATTATGGACAGCCTATGAAAGGCATGAGAGTAAGTTGCACTCCCTCTGTATTTCTGAATCTATACTACAAACCCTTGAGCAACTGTAAACTTTTACTGCTTTCTGATTGGTGCACAGATGCTAAAAAAGAAATAGAGAAGCAGATGGGTGGTGCTGTGTTGGATGCAGATCAGCAAAATCCAACCCCGATTAAACGGAGCCGTCAACCAGGAATTTTGGGGTAAAATTTGTTTACCGGCCTAAAATAAATACTTTCATCTATTCCTTCAATATGCCTGCATTAGCGTGCACCATCCTTTTTCCTATTTGTGGTGTAAGACAGCATTTTTGTTGATAACACAGGAGGTCAGCTAAATATAAGCCTCTCTATCCATCGACTGATGCTGAAACTAGTGAGAATGGTGAAACCTCTCAAGATATGCTTGAAACAAGCATTCACAGTCCATTGAATCACAGCTCACAAGCAGAAAACAAAGATGTTGCATTGGAGGAGGTGGATTTGGCTGGTAAGCAATTCCTGTTAAAGAGAAAAGGTCTTTTAGCATCTACTGTGTGAATTAATAGTTTTCCCTGTTATCTCCCTTTTCCCTTTTCCTGTCGTGCATTTTTTTTACTCCCCACCCCTCCTATTATTCCTTCCTGATGGCATGATAACTGTAATCTTCACAGGTGCAACAGCTAAGGCAGATAAAGAACTGGGTGAAATTTTACATGACCTGCTGTCTAAAAATTGTGAAGATCTAGAAGGGGATGGGGCGGTCAGTCTTTTACAGGAGCACTTGAAGATCAAGCCTATTAAAATGAAGAAATTAAGCCTCCCAGAATTCCCAAGTATCCGCAAGGTTGATTATAGGTCTTCAAGAACAACCTTGCCAAAGCCTACAAATGTCTTGACAGACATAGATAACTTGGTTAAAGGGATGCGCAGTAAAACACCTGCTAAGCGCAAACAGGGGGCAGAAGGGTCTATTCATTTAGCTTCTCCAACACCACCAAAGAGCCCTTTTGCTTCAATTTCGGCCCTAAAGAAGAGGATTTTACAGTCAAATCCATCAAGCGATCCATTTTCAGCTGATGATATTGATAGGTTTCTAGAGACAAATCCTTCTTTAGTTGAGAATGGCAACAAACAATCTGAGCTGGTTGACATAAGAGAGCAGGCGACCGTTTCTGATGAGTTGAAGTTAATTAAACAAACTGATAATTTTGAAGTCCCGACAGGTTCACCTGAAGTGGCTATTGAAGAATTCAGTCATGCATTTGAAAGATCTATGAGTGAAGATTCAAGTAAACATGGTGAGAGTATTGATGTTGGCTCAAGTAGATCTCATCTTGAAATGGAGGATAACATTGGAAGCAACAATATGGATAACAGGGTTATGGATGGTACATTAAGTAGGCCTGATGCTGACACAGATACTTGGGAAAATGGGGCCAATGATGGGGACAAGGTCAATTTACCTTTTGGCTTCTTTATGTTTTATTTTCAGAACTGTAAATGTTTGCTGATTTTGTGATGTATTATGACGAGATACAGTTGGAAGACACACCGGAGGAAGCACTGGATAGCGCAGAGCCTGAACTTAATGTGTCAGTGTCAACTTTGGAAAAGTCGAACGGCACTCAGAATGAATTAGGTATGAGCTGCTTGTACTACATGAGAAATACTTGTGTAGTGTGCAATCAACTAAAATCTCATATCAGAGCTTCAATTGCATTTATTTGCCACTAGACTCTGCAATGTTCCGCATCTACCATAAGTATCCAGACCCACCAGTTATGATATCAGGGACTGAAAAAAACTTGTAAAACTAATTGAACCCAGTTACCAGTTCATATTGGAGATGAAATTTCACAGAGCCCACCAGTTAAACTAAGTCCTGCTTGTTGAAATCTGCTTCTAGTGTCTCAATACATGTGTTTAACATCAGAAATTTGATTTTTCTTTGCTAACATTAAATTGTTTTTGATAACTTCTATTCTAACTACCTTTGCTTGCCATTTCTTATTTCTCCAATAGATCAATTACATTCAACAGAAGTTGAGGAGCATCCAACAGATGATCTCTCCAGAAACCTAGACACTGGTCCAGAGACACACAACGAGGTTACTAATTACCAGGCTATTTTCCTTTGCCATTCTGTCATGTTATTTGGTGGTTCTCACAATTTTTTAATACCTTTTGACACATTCTAGCATTTCTGTAGTGGTCACACAGAACTTCCATCGTATTATATCATCACTGTCGTTATCGTTGTCATCAATTGTTTTTATATAAATAACAAAGCTCTATTCTCAAGTTTGGCAATTTTTGAGAAGCAGTGATGTTCTTAAGTTTCTTTAAGGTATCCATTCATCTGTACTTATGCGGGCCAAATATGGCCCAACAGTGGTATACAGTGTACCCATCTACTTTAAGTTCGTAGTTTTCCACCTGGTAGGTAGTCTGATGTTAAAGGTTACTTTTGAATTCGTGTTGGACAATATAAGCCCATTCTGGCCTTCTTTAATAATGGGTGTGGATGAATCAGAATTATCAAGAAATCAGTAGAGACTCAGTTTGCATGTGGCTGAGTGTAAACAGAATATGATAGAAGTATTTGCCCTTGAAATCTGACTTACTTGAACTATAATGTCCAGAAGCTTGTTGCTTGCTTTTTAAGCTAGGATTTCTCTTCGTTATTTTTTCTTTCTCAAATAGTCTTTTTATCATAACTAATTTTATATTTATGTTTCTTGTAAAACAGAGAATACAAGAGCATTCTGGAGCATCATTGAATAAACAGATCAAAGCAAACTCACGTCCACGCAGAAAGCAGAAGAGTCAAGAAGTTTCTAAAAGGCATAGTCGAGCAGGTGTTTACTCAGGCAATCTGACACTACTCATTTTACTACTTCTCTGCTGCCGGTTTACTGCTTATTTCTCTAATATATCAATTACATTCAGCAGCAGTTGATGAGGATCCAGCGGATGGTCGGTCCAGAAACCTAGACAGTGGTTCAGAGACACACAATGAGGTTACTTATTTCTAGGCTGTTTTCCTTTGTCATTATTTCATGTTATTTGGTGGTTGTCATGATTTATTTGATATCTTTGTCACATTCTAGCATTTGTGCAGTGTTCACAGAATTTCCATCAATTTTAATCATCACTGTCAGTATCATCATCATCATCATCATCGATTGTTTTATCAAAATTACAAGTTGTGCTTGTCACTATATCCTGAAGTTTGGCAATTTTTGAAGAGCAGTGATGTTCTGAAGTTTGTTTAAGCAGTCCATTCATTCATACTTATGTGGAGCAAACATGGCTTATGGGTGGCATACAATTTTACATTTATGTTTCTTGTGAAACAGATAATGCAAGAGCCTTCTGGAGCATCATTGAATCAACAGATCAAAGCAAACTCGCCTCAGCAAAGAAAATGGAAGAGTAAAGAAGTTTCTAAAAGGCAAAGTCTAGCAGGTACTCATGCAATTCTGACAATATACTGATATTATGCTGCTGCTTGGTTACTACTAGTATTAATATTTAATTTTCTATTGGAATTTTGTACCTATATTGTTTTCCTAGGGGCTGGTACATTGTGGCAATCTGGGGTAAGGCGAAGCACGAGGATCAAGACTAGACCTTTGGAGTTTTGGAAAGGGGAACGGTTGTTATTTGGACGTATACACGAGAGTGAGTACTTTGTGTGCATTTATTTGGATGAGAAATTCCTTTTATGTCATGATTATATCGCCCACCTATCTATCCACAAAGTTTAAGTATTTCCTAGGTTCCTTGTATGGATCACAGCCAGAATGCTCTTTGTTTTCATTTCTATGTTACTAGCCCTCTCCCATGTATCTGATTGCCTTTGTAAACACGAGTGAAACAAATTAATTGCATTGGATCTTGCAGGTCTGCCAACAGTAATTGGGATGAAGTACGCCTCTCCAGGAAAGGGTGACGGAAAAGCCCCTCTGAAGGTGAAGTCCTTTGTGTCTGATAAATACAAAGAGCTTGTTGAGCTAGCAGCTTTGCATTGAGTTGGCTATATCACTGAAGAATTTGAGATTTGAGATATGCAATGGCTTTCCTTGTTCGTTCCATCCCTAGGAACGGTTTTTCGTTTTAAGAAGTATTCACCAAAGTGGAAGGCCTATCTTGTGAGTAATTAGTAAAGACTATTGTGGTAAATTAACCTTGCTGACTATTGTAGAAATTTAGTCTCTGAGGATTCCATGATGATCAATATATGAAAGGTGATTCTCATTGAAGTCTTTGGAAAGATCCTTTTTTTCTTCTTGATATTCTCTCTTTCTGTGTTCTTGTCAAAACGAAAATTCCATAGAAAATGCTATAAGAGAACAGCCTTCTAATTCAAAGGTTATGGAAAGACCTTAACTCTATTTTGTATCTTATCATTGACAAGGGTTTGAATTGGGTTTCCAGTCCTTTTCCGTAAGTTAATTAGTCTTGAAGGTGGTTCCCATTGAGTGTTGCTATTTCTTTCTTCACATGCGTACAGATTGACCTAGGTTTCGTGTATCTCCATGGAATCGGAAGCTCCCGCAATGCCTTTCTTTTTCCCTTTTTGGGTCTCTAAACGACAATAACTTTCTTGATTGAACCACATTATTAGCAACATGTAAGGGTTCTTTTCTCTTACTTCCTACCAAATGATAGCAACCTTTGCAATTTAAGAAAGATATGCATATTCAACGAACAAAGTCTCTGCGGGTCCCGTATTCAATCTAAATGGCTTGAAATTTAGTTGAACAAAATAACTGGGACATTTGATTCAAAGTAACTTGTTTGAACGGCTTGCACTTTAGTTGAAAAAAGAATTGTGACGTTTGGTTCAAAGAAACTTCGGAATTTCTGAAGTGTTATTTATTTATTTATTTTTCTGGTGGCTAGAGGCGCAACAAAGTGCTTCTTCAAACCCTAAATCCTAATTCAAACTACTTTACTCCCTCTTGACCTACTTATGTATAAATGTTGCCATTTCTCCAAGGTGTTGCAATTATCAAAGACAATAGAATTTGTTTCCAGAGACGAAGTCATGGCATCGGAAGATAACTTCCATTTCAGAAGTCAAAAGTCATATTGTGGGTCTTCCCAGTGGTTCACGCCACTTGAATTTTCAGGACAAGCAAACACTGTGGATCAATTAGCAGTCAATCTGACCCCAGAAATATATATATATATATATATATATATATATAGCAGTCAATATGTCAGCGTTGCAGGTTTTGTCACATGTCAATCTGTGATAAGCTAAGTGCTTACGTCAACATTGTTCATATTAATCAAACTCCAGACTTCCACATTGACAGACCACTGGATAATACCGTTACTTGTGCTACCTTAAAATAAAGTCACTAATAAATTCATTCAGCACACAACTTTTGAAAAGTGTAATAACAAACTGCTTATTTTGACACAATCATCTTTCTCCCTTTGACATTTGAAATTCAGTTTTCCGTTTTGAGTATTGTATGGTATTACTGTAGCGCTTGGCGCTATCGGTTAGAAAATTAGTGTAGCGATGCCTACTTGTTCGGGTCCGTATCACATGTCATCTCATGATTCAAATCGTACATCTTTTAGGTCATTATTAGTTAATTTTCACCCTTGTATTTAGTCTTCATTTTATTAGAGAATGAGAACTTAAATTCAATTCCCATAAAGGATAGTTGTTGATTTAGGAAGCGAGCCAGAGAGGGTAAGACTAGAGCCCTTACCATGAGAGTGATATTCATTTTTTGCTGATGACAACTCGCTTATTCAAATAATTGATCCAAAAATTAAAAGGATTGTGTCATGGAATCAGAGTGACTTTGAAGGCAAGTTAGATTTGCCTCTCAAAACACATGTTGAAATCGAACCTCTGCACAAAAGGAGCACAGATGAGAAACATCATGAGCAAGTTGTCGAAGGCTCCAAAAAGGAGTGAAGCACCAGTTCTGGACTGAGTCAACCCACAATTAGATTAAGGCACCCTTCGGAGATGGAATAAGCAAACCATCTCTTAAAGCTAAATCCACTAGTGTTGAACAATCTGTAAACGCTTGCTCTTTTATTTATTTATTTATTTTGGTTGTTTATTATTATAACAGAAAACGGTGGCTCTATGACAAGCCGAAAATATATATAAATCGTTACTTCAGCTTGATGTCTTTATCAGATTTAACCTTGACACACTCGCAGACTATATATATATACCATGTGCTTGCTGGTTTTATAGTGCTTAGAAACGCATTATTTTTAGGGAGTTTCACTAAAACACCAAAAATGGGGGCTGAAATTATAAAAAAACTCAACACTCAAAACACTTTATAAACACACCCAAAACCCATCATTACACACACTCAAAACCCATTTATAAACACACCCAAAAAATATACAATTGTTGATTTTGGGTGTATTTCTATGTTTAAATAGTGTTTGGGTTTTTTTATAAATACATGTCTAGGATTGGGTTTATTTATAAATTTGTATTATTTTTATAATATTGAGGCCAAAACTGACCTGAATCTTTAAATTTGTAGGCTGCTTTGCCCGCCACTGCATGTTGTTTCTTGAAAGAGATGCATTGGATACAATTTTTATATGTTATATTAGGATAGTTTTGGAGTATATGATGTCCTTATTTAAAAAATTAACGGAGGAAATTTTTCTTAGGTCAATCGTACAATTATTGTACTACAGTGCGTAGTTCAACGATCGAAATTGTCTATAATTTTAGATATTTGCATAAAAATATCGATATTGGAAAGTATATGCTTATCTAAAATGTTCAAAAACCCCCCAATCCGTTTGATTACAACCCGAAAATAACATACCCTTATTTTCCCTCACTAAATGTCTTTAAAAAATGACATTCATCTATTTCAGCTTATATTAAGAATCCACTTAAAAAAAGGTATATAGTGATATAAGGTCGTACGTCCATTAATTGTGTTCCCTAGATAAATAAATGGACCCATCAATCATGAAACATAAGCATGCTCGGGTCCGCATAATTGCTTTCCCACAACCAATTAGAAGATAAAGAGATAGTGCCCTACACAACTCATGCAAGTCTTGTCCAAGCCATTTACATGATTGCACCATTTTCTTAGAGTTAAATATTAGTTTATGTCGTGAACGAAATCTAGTCTAATTAAAAAGACATTGTAGAATAGTGATCTCAAGTTTAAACGTCCATAATATTTTGGTAGTGTGTATGAGAAACCTAAAGGTTGAACTAGAATTATAATGTTGGGGTGGAATGCCGAAATAGAAAATACGACTATATCAAATATATAAGTATTCAAGAGTTGCATATTACAGCTAAATATTACTAACTCAATTATAATTTGTTTTAGAAAATTGGGGGGCAGGCCACTCATTGCCTAGAAGTGGCTCCGTCACCCCTCTACTTCTTCTCAAATCTTGATAAAATATGCTACGATCAATCGTTTATAATTTTATAATTATTTTGTGATATTCAAATTTGGTCAATAATTATAAATCAACTGACTTTAGCAAAATCCTACCTCAATATTAGGAGTAATAACTTCAATCGCTCATAAAACATGGTATAGTCCTCTACCAATTGATGCCAAATATAGTTAAACAAAAGTAAATTAGTGTAAACTTGTGTGTATATACACAAGTAAAAATATAAAAAAAGATGGTCCCACAAAGTACTAATAATTCATTATTATCTTTTTGCGTGTTTTTCACTAAAGGATAAACTAAAGAATTAGCGGAAGTCGGTGATTAAAACAGGTAATTAGATTAGATCTTGTATAAAAAAAGTTATTATATTTGATTTTGATTGATTACCCAAAAGATGATTAAAACACGTAATATACATAACGAAAATTGGCGGCCTCTTCTCTGAGGAAAAAACAAATGAAATAAAATAATTTAAGGCCATAAATCAGAATGACACTGACTGAGATAGTCTAATCCAATGGTCTCATAATTACCCCATTTTTGTGGCAACACCATATGGAGGCTGGGGTTTCCATCACAAGATCTGACCCAGACCACTTATACCATATAGTTTCAGATTGAACATCATACTATAATTTACTATGCAATTTACAAAACCAACAATATTAAACGTCACACATTTGTGTTATAGATCTTCATTTCAGTCAAAAATATACTCTTTTTATGAGGAGTGAGATCGAGAGAAAAATGCATTGCACTCGTAACACGAAAGTTTTTCTCTGTCATATTGACGAAAGACGGTTCATATGTACATGACTCTATTTAATCAATTTATAGTTGGTTGGTTTGAAAACCTAATTGTATTTAGATTGCTTTACAAAACTTCATAAAGCGAAGCATGCACATGGGTTTGTACAAAATAGTGGGCATCATTCGGGGAAGGAAGAGGCTCCTCACTTTCTTCAAAGTTATCATAATTCTTATGCACATGGTTTTGTAACCAATTCATGAAAACCTTCCTCGACTGGAAATTAGCACTCATCACACTTTTCAAAGCTTTCATAATTCTTTCTGAATTATTCTTATGCCTTGGAATATACGAAACCAACTCGACGTGGCATTATTTATCTCTAGTTAATTGAATAAGAATTTATGTTTGGTTCACATGAATATAAGAACGATGTGTATTTATAAAATCGATTTATCTTGTTTATTATCATTGATTACTGCGCAAGTTTTGATCAAATTCATAGGCGCAATTGATTACATATAAACATTCAGATGATTTTGTTGCACAGATGTGGGATGGCTTAACTAATAAGTGAGTTCTTAATTAGCTTTTTCTTTTTCTTTAGGTGCACTTTGGAAATGCTTTCATTTGACTTCATTGACTCTTTGGTGCAACTTGGGAGTATTATAACATAAAAAGAAAAAAGAAAACAAAGTCCGGCAGTTGTAATACGAATGCATGTATACAAGCATACTTTTGCCATATCATAATCAATTTAGCAAAAGTAATCTGTGTACTTTGATAATAATGACCATCGTTAATGATATTGGTCCGGATTAAGTTATAAGAGTACTAACACATTTGTCAATATAGCTTAGTTGGTTGAGTTCTTCCAACTCCACTCATGTGGGGAGAGGTTCGAAATTCCCAAGCACTAAATGATATTTATGTAAACCTCTCTCCCTCAATCACTTGTACTAAACAAAAAGAGTATTCATGTATCAATTTTCCACACGTTTTTTTAGTGACATGCAAATTTAAGTTAACTTTTTTCAATTTTGATAATGAAATTGAAAGTGACGTAAGATCTCTAAGTTGGGCCCAAAAAAGATCATCCATTTTTTAGCACTGACAGTTTATGATTTCTCTTGTTGGCATGCATTTCTTCTTTTGTACAATAAACATGAACTCTTTTGAGCAAAGTCGGATTATGATTTCTCTTGTTGGCATTTCTTCTTTCCGCACATGGCAATGGCATCACATGCTTTAAATATTTGTCAATCAAGAAAAATGTGCAGATTACGTTAAAGACACACCGACTGTGACAACCCAATTTACAAAACAAACCCCACAGTCTTCTTCTATTTGTATAAATAAATAATCAAAGAAAGGGAGAATAATGACAATTCATTGATGATAAATCAAATGAGAAACTGCTGGCAAACAGAGTCCGTTACTGCCGGGAACGTGAACATCGGCAAAAACAAGGCGCTGTTAATTGTCTCCCCCCCTGTCTCAATCAACCAATCAAATTTCAGCATCACCAAAACCTTCTCTCTTTTTTTTTTTCTCTCTGCTTGAAAGCAACAAAGCATCACCCAAACCTTCTAGACCTTCATTACCTGAAAAAAAAAACACCATTCAAGGCAAATACTTATTTATTTATTATTTTTTGTTATAACAATAAAATAGTGCCCATAGAAGGAAACATGAAACACTGGCAGCTAGGAGACCCTTCTTCTATTTCTTGCATAGGAATCGAACACTGCCTTCAAAATTATAAAAGCCCCTTCTGAGCAGTCCCCGGAGCTCAAATTCAAAAACCCATCTCTCAGAATTCATAAAATCTCTCTCAGAATTCAAAAACCCAAGACTCTGTTTTTGTTTGATACCAATTTTTGTACCATGGTTCTGATTTCTGGTCTGCCTGACGATATAGCCTATGATTGTCTAATTCGTATCCAATATGATCAGTTCCCAGCTATGGCATCGGTTTGTAAGGGTTGGAAGGCTGAGGTTGAGCTGCCGGAGTTTCATCGGCTTAGGAAGGCTGGCGGCCATAGCCAAAAACTCATTGTGATGGTTCAATCACATGTTGTCTCAAATCATGGTGTTGGTGTCTTCAAGTGCCCGGATAGCCCGGTTTACCGGCTCACTCTTTGTGAACCGGATTTGGGTAATTGGTCCGAGTTACCGCCGCTTGCCTGTTTTGCTACTGGGCTACCCATGTTTTGCCAACTGACAGCGGTCGGGTCGGATTTAGTCCTGATCGGGGGTTTGGATCCGATGACATGGACCATCTCGAATTCCGTGTTTGTCTACAACTTTGTGTCTGCCACGTGGAGGCGTGGAGCTGATATGCCAGGTGGTGCTCGGATTTTCTTTGGATGCTCGTCGGATTCTGATCGGATGGTGTTCGTTGCGGGTGGACATGACGATGAGAAGAATGCGTTGAGATCGGCAATAGCATATGACGTGGCGAAAGATGAGTGGATTTCATTACCTGACATGGCAAGAGAACGCGACGAATGTAAGGCAATTTTCCAGCATGGCAAGCTCCATGTCATCGGTGGCTATTGTACAGAAATGCAAGGCCGTTTCGAAAGCAGCACCGAAACATTCAATTTCTCCACATGGCAGTGGGAACAAGTACAAGACGACTTCTTGCTAGTCGCCACGTGTCCAAGGACGTGCGTGGACGGTGATGACGAGACAATGTACATGTGTCGTGGCGGTGATGTGGTGAAACATAGACGCGGAACATGGACATTCGTGGCGAAGCTGCCAGGTCAGGTGCGCAATCCAGCTTGTGTGACAGCGTGGCAGGGCAAAGTATTAGTGATTGGATGTGCAGGGTTTGGGGAGCCCCACATGGCTTACATGCTACATTTGGACAATTACACATGGACAAAACTAGAAACCCCTCACAAGTACTCTGGTCATGTTCAATCAAGTTGTCATTTGGAGATTTAAGTCTCAGCATCCAACTATCATTACTTGTAGATTTAGCTGCAAACATGTCTTGTTTGGGTCATATTTTTGTGTTAGATATACAGAGAGCATTAATACAAAGGCCTTCAGCTGTGTGTATAAATAAAGAAACATATTTTAGCCATTGTCGCTGCACATCACTCTTTTTTCTGCAGTCATCAAGATTCAAGTAGATGAATTATTTTGCATAACTCCTAGTCAAACCATGTGCTATGGCTCGTGGAATTTAACCTTTTTTTCACTAACGTTATTGGAACGAAATTTGGAAGGGAATGTCGATGCCCATTTTATCTGAAGTCAACCCTGAATTTAAATTTGTATGTGCAGGGTAGAAGATATGCAGGTTAAACCTAGTTGACTTGGAAACTTGTTAGGAGATAAAATATAGATGATTTTGATTATGAGATCACATTGTACCAGTGGTTCACTTAAAAGAATTATCTAAAAGTCGCATGACTCACGTAGGTTTAATGTTAAGTTTATTTGCAAATGATTTATTAGTGTAGTGGTTTGAAATAATTGCTCCCGCATAATATTAATTCTAAATTGACCTTGAGTTACCAAATGGAAAAAACTTGCTGGAGAAGAGAAAAAAGTTCGGGCCGCAGAGATAAGGAAGCATGAGCAATCGTGTTTCCCAAGTGGCAAAGTTAGCCGGGAAGTTTCCTGATTGCGGCTGGAAAAAGTGACCACTTTAAAACATGTGGGTTTAGTCATCATATAATCTATGTTCATATAATCCTAGTTTAACAAAAACAATTCATAGATTAGTAGGAGAAAAGAAAGTGCGAAATGAAATAATTGAATTAAACTAATGATAACCAAAGTTAGCATCTTAACAACGCATGTTTATTTAATTAAGCACCAAGAATATTCTGCATGCTACGTTGGTTTTGGGGTGTAACTTCAACTTTCTTCATAGTATCAGAGCGAGTTAGTTCATGTGTGCAAGCCCAACAACCACACGTGCTCTATGTCACTCAATATGTGTTGTCTATGTATTAGACTTGAAAATTCGCCACATATGCAGAGTCGTGTACAATGCCGACTCTAAACATAGGCGCGGGGTGCGACAGCCGGGGCCACAGTTCAAAGGAGGCTCCAAATTTTTTACTAATCTTAGGCATGCTTTTGTATTTTTTTAATAACAGAGGGGCGGCTAATAAAAATCTAAAGCAACTCTTTGTTGTTACTCTTTTTTTCGGTCGGAGAGTACCTCTTCATTTCTGTTGTTCTATGTCTCCTCCTTTTTTTTTCTTTTTCTTCTTCTTGTTTTTTTTCTTCTTCTTGTTTTCTTGAACATCTCTCAGTATTTCTTCTTCTCTTTTGTTCTTCAATCTCTCACTAAAAAGCTCTTCTTTTTTTTTCTCTTCTGAAATTTCTCTTCTTCCGTCAAATAAAAAATGTATCTTCTTCAGAAATTACTCGAACCCTTTTGTCAAACCATTTTTTTTCTACTCAAACCACATCAATATTTACCTTCCCAGTCTTCTTTTACATGGAACAAGCCATTGATTTCTCAGTTCTTGTTCCCTCCAATCTATTACATTGAACAAACCCTATCTATTTCACCAGGATCTCTCCAAGGTGGAGAGTGAAATTCCTTCCTATAAGCATAAATTAGGTTTTATTCCTCTTTGTTTGCTATTTAAAATTATTATTTTTTAAATCTTCGTGGTACTTTTGGTTTATTTATTATTGATTGTGTTAAAAAAAATTATGACAAAAAAATCAGATAAAAAAAATGCCTCATTTAATATATGGCACCTGGCCACCAAAATTTCAGGGCCAGCCCTGATCGTGTAAGAATGTGAAGGTGAAAATGTTACACATTGGAAATTTGAGAAAGCTAACAAGGGCTTATAAGGTGTTATACTCTAATCCTTAGCCATTTTAGCTAAAATGAGGGAAAAACACAGCTCCAGTAGACTTGCTATCTAACTCTCTATTTTAGAGAACTCCCTATTTAAGTTGGTGGCTCTCTACATTTGGAGAGGAGGAGAGAGAAATTGAGTTTTCCCCATTTCTTCCTCTTCTCTCTCCCTAGGCACACAACCCTCTCTCACCTCTTAATTTTTGATTTTTTTAATAAACTTTTAATTTAGAGAGGATGAGAGAGAAATAATAAAATATTAAAGATTAGCCAAAGTAGAGAACATTGTTGTAGGAAACTACTTTTAAGTAGTTTGCTATAATGGCTTTCAAGCTATCTTAGTTAAAATTTGGCTAAAATTTGGAGACTCTCCTAGAGATGCTTAGGCTACTCCCCTATTGCCAATTGGTTGTGGGGTGAAACCTCAACTTCCTTCATGTTATAATTATTATTAGAAAATTAGATTCTCATTTTTTAATGATATCTAATTTTCATTAAGCACAATTATTAGATTGAATTGATTTTCTTCCTTCATGTTGGCATATTATTACTAAAGTGTGAACATGTACATATGTACATTATTGGTTGTAGGCATATTAAGATTAAATTATGTAGCTAAAAAATTGTACTAGCGTTATTTATTCTTACTTTAATAATAATAGTAATGTACCTATGGATACATAAATTTTACAGATGCTAAGCATAAAAATATAATCACATAATTCATTTGTATTCTTCTTAAGATACAAATAGAAAATTAAACACTATTAAAATTTAACTGAGCAAAATTTTGATACAAATGCTCTCCTCACGAAAGATCCTGAGCTCGAATCCTAACATCCTGTAGTGTGTGAGTGTTTATCACCTTTCTCAATAGGAGAGGTCCCAAAAAAAATACTAAGCAAATACTGCTTAATATATTTTAAACCACCGCCGTCCAATTTTGAAACTTTTCCAAGTTGAGCTTTTGTGACAAAGTGAACGCCTGCATAGGACACATAATTTCAAACTTAATTATAGTCTAAGGAGGATACACTACCAATTGCGAAGGACCCATAGTTTGCATAAGCTATATAAACAAGGACATCTGACTCTGCAAAGTCATCTTAGACACATCTCTTTGCTCTTTCAGTCTTTTGTTCTCTTCATTCTTCAACATCCTCACTCAAAACCACCGCTTTGGTATTTGTTTTGTCATGGAGCACCGGCTACTCCCGGGTATACCCGATGAGATTGGCCAAGAATGCATATTTCGTGTACCGTAACACTACTTGTCACAAGTTGCATCTGTGTGAAAGGATTGGAAGGCGGAGGTTGAGCCACCGGAGTTTCTCCTGCTGAGCAAAGCCGCCGGTTATAGCCAACCCATCGTTGTAATGGCACCAGCACGGGTTAACATGAACCTGGATGCTAGAAACCCAAAATATCATACTCTGCCGGATTACAGGCTCTCACTTTTTGAACCCAAAACAGCAAGTTGGGCTGAGCTGCCACTGATGATCTCTGGGATTCGTAATGGGCTGCCCAGGTTTTGCCAATTGAATGGGGTCGGGTCAGATTTGGTTGTGATGGGCGGGTGGGATCCAAACACTAGGGAAGTGTCCAATGTTGTGTAGATTTACAATTTTGTTCCAGCCACTTGGCGGCAAGGACATGCCAGGTGTCAAGAGGTCATTTTTTGGAGATTGCACTAAAATGCAAGGCCAATTCCAAACAAGTGCCGAGACCCCTTGATGTAGACACTACCAATTGGGATCACGTCAAGGAGGCTAGCCTCGCGGCTATTCTATTTATAACATATTAAACGGAAAAAAATACATATCTGTTTTATTCAGAATTTTTTTGACAAATTACAACTTAAAAGTTCGGCCACTATATAATATTTTAATATAATATACTTAAAATTTTAAGATATATTATTTTTATTCAATAATATGTGAGAATTATTTGTATAATACGTGAATTTTATGTATTGTATTGAAAAGTTTGCAAAAAAATATGTGTATTAAACATGAAAAATACGTATATTGTATGTTTGCTTTTTAAAAAGCTTGAATTTACCAAGTCTTGAAAACGTGTACAGAACACTGATGTATTATTGAAAAATACGTACATATGTGTATAATAGATTAGTAAACATGAAAGTGGTAAATTCTTTATACGGATAATAACTCTGGAAAAGTAAAAAATGAAAAGGGGACAATAGAGACTTGAGTATTAGCAAAATAATAATGGATAATGCTCTAAACTACATTTATTGATAAACGAAAACGGGGGAAAATTTTTTAAGGAAAAAAAGGATCCTCAAAATATATAGATATAAAGAGTATAACCGCTCGGCTATACTATTTTAAAAAATTTAGAAAAACATCGAGTATAGCTGGGCAGCGATACTATTTATAAAATACTAAACAGGAAAAAATACGTACGTGTTTTATTTGGAAATTTTTTGGCAAATTACAACTTAAAAGTTTGGTCACTATATAATATTTTAATATAATATATTAAAATTTTAAGATATATTATTTTTCTTCAATAATATGTGAGAATTATTTGTATAATATGTGAATTTTGTGTATCTTATTGGGAATTTTGTAAAAAATAAGTGTTTTAAATATGAAAAATACATACGTACATGTACAGTACGAGTATTATATGTTTGCTTTTTAAAAAGCTTGAATTTTACCGAGGCTTTAAGACGTGTACAAAACATGAATGTGTTATTGAAAAATACGTATGTATGTGTATAATAGATTATTGAACGTGAAAGTGGTAAATTCTTTATACAGGTAATAACTTTAAAAAAGTAAAAAATGAAGAGGGGATAATAGAGACTCAGGTATTAGCAAAATAGTAATGGATAATGCTCTAAGCTACTCTTATTGATAAATGAAAAAAAAAAAAAAAAAAGAAAAAAAAAAAAAAAAAAAAAAAAAAAAAAAAAAAAAAAAAATATATATATATAGCGTATAGCCGCTTGGCTATACTATTAAAAAACATTAGAAAAAAATCGAGTATAGCCGTGCGGCAATACTGTTTTTAAGAAAATTAATAGAACCAGGTATAGCCGGTTGGCTATACTATTTTTAAGAAATATTAATAAAACCGAATATAGCCAGGCTATACTAGTTTAAAAACAAAATAAAGAAAAAAGGGAAATGCACGTACATACTCACAAACCAGAAATCTTAATCAAGAATACTCACTTTGCAAATATTAACCACAAATACTCACTTCCTCATGTGAAAGTACTAAACTGCCCTTCATATAAATAGATATTATATTGACCATGTATCCTTCTCTGAAACCCAATTCCTCCCAACTCTTCTTTCCTCTCTCGCAGTCCTCTGTCATCCCCATCGCACATCTAGAACGGCGAATCAATTCATAGCATTATAGCACATTTGGAAGAAAGGCATAACGCAAGAAGATCGTTTTCAAAATTTCTAGAGAATGGTAATGACAATCTTCTCTCTTCTAAATCCCTAGTTTTCTTGTTTTTCTTTTTATGTACTTTTATTTCATTATTTTGTCAAAATAAGTAATTTAAGTTTGCAAAATTAAGTCGTTAGGGTTCCTAATATTACAACTCATATTCAACTCAAAACTTTTGCATTTGTTGTCTTCAGATTTATTTGTTCCTAACTCTGTGATAATTTTATTTTTTTTTCCAACGAGTTACATAATTAGTAAGCCACCACATGACCCACCCAACTACAGAGATTGATCACCAATTGCAAGTAATTAATTGGGTTTCAGTTGCTGGCATTCTTTATTTGTGAATATTGGTCCTTTTTCTAGAGAACTTTGATAGTTTTGTGTTGATTCCCACAGTATCATGGGTCCAATGTTATATCCTTCTACCCGGTATGTAAGTCTTAATTTGTGTCTTTGTGTCTTATTCAAAATGCTATAAAATTATAATAAAGTTTGGACATACTGGTTGTCGATGGACTTTGCTGAGTTGATTTTTGCAAAAATAGTTGTGAGTAATGTCCAATTATAAATAATGAAATTTGCTAAGTTTTTTATGAAGCTTCCAAATTATATTGTCCAATTTCTAAATAATGATCAACTTTCGTTGATGAAGTTTCCAAATAATGTCCAATAATATTGTAGTTGGTCATTCCCTTAATAGATTATACACATCATACTTGATAGTAACTGATCTTTAGGAATTTTTATGCACTTTCTATTTTCATTTTGTAGGTTATCTAGGTGAGTGTAGAGCTAAAGTTGCAGAGCTATCAAATTTGGTCGTCTAGTAAGTGATTAATGTTTAGGATATTACGAATTCCCATAGTTTCATAGTCATCGATGACAATTGATACGGAAAACTATATTTTGATTCTCAATTTTCATTTGCTTGAGTTGGTTTTATGGATGTGGCCAGTTAACTTCGTATGATATAGAAACCAAGGGGTGTACAATGCTCATAGTATGAAGTTTGAATGGTTTGATTGTGTTGGCCGTAGGAATTTCATATGTAAGAGGGCATGAATGTCTTGTGAGAAGAACTGTAATTTATGTACGAAGCTTTGGTCATACAATACCAAATGTTATAAACTAAATTATTCCAGGGAAATTGACTTACGTAGTCACTAAAGATAAACCTTAATCAGAAATAATCACTTTATAAAACTTAACCACAAATACTCACTTTCTAACTTGAAAGTACCAAATTACCCTCCATATAAATACTTCAATATTCACCCTCTCAAAAATTTATTTCTGATCTGAACCCAACTCTCTAGCTCTTCTCTCCTTGCCGCACGTAGAGCAGCTGAGACCAGCACCTTAATTCAAGAGGAGACCACGCCCACCCCTCAAAAGCCTACACAAAGAAGAAACATAAGAAATAGAAAAGGACGCATCAACAACAGCAACCCGCTAGACCCGTTGCCACCAGGTGCTCTCTTCTGATCCTTTGTCCCTTTGAGTTCTAAGCTAATTTTCCCCTTCTTTAATACCCAGGAATCATTTTGCAAAGTAACACAACAAATAAAAATCAAATCTTGATTTTCTTTAGCATAGAAATAGGTAAGTTAGGTCAGTTTTTGCTTCAATTTTGATTTTTAGGGGTTTGGCTTCTAATCCTGTTTGTTTGAAAGGAAAGGAAATAAGTTTTTGGAAAAAATTTCACGAGCAAATAATTTGCAATTTGAGAGTAAAAGGACTGTTTTTTATGTAATTCATTCTATTTTGAATTTTGAAATAGGTTTCATAGCTCACTTTATACACCATACAAGTTCACCAATTCTGCATTGGTTTCATTGCTTTTGGCTTTTTGAACACTCTCGAGAGTGCACTAGTAAGGGTGATGAAGAATTTTATAGGTTGCTTCCAGACCAATGCATGGCTTTGTTTTGTAATTGCCAATATATATGTATATATGCCAATAAATTTGATGGTATGCAACCCTTGTTTGTAATTTTGAGTTTTAAGATATTTGTCCCCTTCTTCAATACCCATAAAGCATTTTGCACAAAATAACACGAAACATAAAAATCAGATCTTAAGTTTGTCTAGCCTAGAAATAGGTTAGTGAGGTTAGTTTTTCCCTCAATTTAGATGCTTAAGTGTGAAATTTTAGGTCTTTGAATTGGATTTGACTGACATTCTGGGTTAGGTTAGTTTTGCTAAGAACTTAAGTTTTCTATTTTGATTTCTAATTTGGTAATGTAAAGAAATGAGTATACCTTATGATGGGGATGCAAATAGATTGATTTATTGATGTTATTTGCAGAAATGGAGACTGTTGGCATATTGGTATTCTACAATGGAAGCTGGGTTCACAAGGATAACATTGAGAGTTATGAAGGTGGCGAGGCTAAAGGCATAATAGTATCACGGAACGTAACCTTTTCTGAGCTTGTTGACCGCATTTATAAGATCACGAATGCAGATCTCAACAAATATAGTCTCACACTGAAGTATTCAGTTCCTCTATCATCATCTGCCTATAAGCACCTAAAGGTTGAAGACAATGATGACGTTCAATATTTTCTGAAGTACAGCACGGACGTTATGACCTCTAGAGTAACCCCTTTATTAGCAACCCTCAAAGTTATAGAAGGACATGGTATTCATGGCTGCAATGGCATTGTAAGCATTGGGAATAGCAATGCTCCCCTTGCAGTTGTTGTGAGAGATAGGAATGAGGTAATTGGGGATAGTGGAACTGAAAATGGTGTAACTGGTTTTAATTGGAAAGATTGGGTTGAAGATGTTAATTTTGAATGTGTTGAAAACATAGTCGCAGATTTTTGTGTACCTAGGAATGAAGAGGAAGCGTACTCTGCACCAAACGTGCATCCTCATCGAGAAAGCAATTTCCAAGCCTCCATGGTGCAGGTTACACAAGTGCAATATGAAAATCCGCAACAATCAAGTTGGACTCAAATGGATACAAGCCAGGTTCATTTGGTGCATGGTAAGAGTGTGGAAGATATTGATTATGGTGGAGGTCTTTCTTGCATAAATTGGGAAGCAAATTTTAAGGTTGGACGAGTTTTTCCAAATAAGATTGCCCTTATAAAAACCTTATGTTTAGCAGCAGTCAGAGGCCACTTTCGATTTAGAACAGTCCAATCTGGGAAACGTAGGTTGTGTGTTC